TCACTTACACACGTGGAGATTATTAATTAAGCGTTGCGTAATATGCAATTATAATACTCATCGCGTGGATTGCATGGGAAAAGGTCGTAACCTTACCGGGCCTCATTGCACGACTGCCATGGCCGGGAGGAAAGATGAGTCGACGTAGCAAATAAGCCGTGTGACCTTGATTTAGGCAGAAATTTTACAAAGATAAAATGAAATTCTCTGCTTCAGTCCCAGTTAATTAGCTACGACTCGAATGTGGCATATTTCTTCTTCTTCGTCGTCTTCATTGTCTCTACAGACAGATTTGGGCTCATTAATTAATTGTTTGGAGGTAAACAACGCACTCAAGTAGGAACATTGTGCTAATGTGGAGCAGAATTTGGATGCTTTAGGGAAGATGGTACCAAATAGGGAGCGAGTTTATTTGGTATATTCATAGGCATTTGGCCAGATAATTCCAGCTGCGTTCGTTGAATGTCAAGAACAAGACGTTCCAATTAAAATCTTACATCTCACAAAGCAAACCTGTCCGTATTGTATCCATTTCGTAAGATGGGATGTGTTGACTTTCATCCTTCAATATGAGCGAGTATGCACACATTTCTGCAGGTTCGTTCACCAGCATTGTGCAAAAATAGATGTGTGTACTAATAACCATAATTTTCCTTGTTGTTGACAACGAGGTTTTTAAAGGTCGTATGTCAAGTTGAGTGAAGGAGGATGAGTGGGATGACCACCTTGCTTATTCGTGGTATAAATAAATCGTCGAGTTTTGACCAGACATTGACATTTTGGTGCCAGTGTTATATAAATAATTGTTGACGAGTTCGTTCTCCTCGCAGCTCGAGACGTCTGGATGCAGTTATGTATGAGTTGGTTGGGTTAGGTTATAGTCGCCCACCGCGTACTTACCTGCGACGCCCTTCACGGAATTTGTCTGACTGATTACGTAAATAAGAGCAAGTGGATAAAGTCCTTTGAAGACGGGGAGAGAACTTGTCCCTAATGAGTTATAAATCTGTGTGGGTCGGTCGGTTACGGAGGGAAGGAAACCAGAAGCGACCGCAACACATTTCGGGATTTAAATGAGGGTGCGGCTTCTGAGGAGGAGCTAATTGGATCTCCCATTATTCCGACCAGCTCGACCCCACTTCCTGCACCTTCCATCCCATCATGCCCAACCGACATCATTAGCGTCTCACTCGGCTAAAACCATCTCATTCTTCCCACCTAATGAACCCGCACGGCCGTCACCCAGGCCTCGCAAACAAATTGTACGATACAACGTATCAGCCGTTCCATTAAGTCTCTCGCCAGGAGCGGTATTCAGAGAGGAACGCAACCCTCCGGAAAAAGGAGGAGCCGGAAACATGAGATTGAAGGCGAAGGGAGCAGAGCATGCATGAGGAGAAAGTGATCTGCAATTTAAATGAAACATCATGATCAAAGGATTAGCGTCCAACTTTGGACGGGAACATGGTCAAATCCAAGGCATGCTCTGCTCGCATCTATCCCACGGCTTAGCACCAACCACCACCACCACTTTTGTCCTCGCATACACATAATTCCCCAACATTGGGAGGGCTGACCTTCGCCAAGTGCATCTGTCATTTCTCACCTCTCTCCTCCATCCACATTTCATTCGTCTCACAAACACACACACACACGTCCCCTTCACCACTTTCACGCCTAATTCCATGTGATGAATCCATCGTCCCGAATATATTATCCTCCTGCCTGCTGAGAGTGCGGGTGGTCTGGCAGCCAGCCCCCGCATCCTCCACAAGAAGCGACTTTCTCCTTCCATCCCCTCCTCCTCTGTTTTACCCCCATCCATGTGTGAACTGCCAACTGGTGCTAGTCCAACGTGCAGATAATGATGATGACGGCGAGACAAGTTTGCAGCAACACCAATAACCATAACTGAAGATAAATTAGTAAAATATTCACTCCTTTTATCCCTCCATCCATCCATCCATGCCTCCAAATGCAGGGCAATGACGTGGAAATTCAGTCTCAAACTATTCATTTGTCTTTATCTTGGTGGAGGAATTTAATTTAACGATACCAATTTCTATTCATACCTTGAAATCGATGGAGATATGGGGAGGAGGAGGAGGAGGAGGAGGGGACATTTGTTGGCAGAAGATTCCCTCGCAAAACTGAACCACGTCGTACACACAGACCACTGACAGAGTTGTTTCGCTTAATTAGTGTTGTGTAAACTTTCCTTTTTCTTACTTCTTCTTGTTCTCCCCAGCCAAAACTCCCGTAAATTTCTATGGGCGGCCATGCAGAATTATTATTTCCAGCCAGGGACTGCATTAAATTTGGAGGCAGAAGGGAATAAAGCAAGTGCATTGAGCCGGTGAAAGGAGTGCATAAAGTGAAAGCATACATAAAGACGACGCCCGTTGTGGAGGGTGGAGAAAGCTCCCACAGGAATAATTCTGCTCAATCAAGCCACAATCGTTTCTTCAATCCCAATCCTCCGAATTCACATATTACCACTGATCGACCATGGCCAGAAAGAGAGAGAGAGAGGTTTGGTATGGAGAAAATATAAATACAGAGCTAAAAAATTCAGCCCAGATTGCATAATGGTTTCCTTCCTTATGTTGATGCTTACTTTTCCTCAGGATTTTCTACTCCATGTAAGTATGTACGTGAAGAAGGAGCACTTTTGTAGTCCTGCGTCAAGAAAATCACGACCGATTGACCAAATTGTGTGGAGCGGGTAATAACACTGAGGAGAGAGGAGTGGGAGTGTGTTCAAAACGGTTATTTCATCTCAAACGGGATCCTAATGGGCAGATTTTTGTATGGAAATTACTTTTTCCGTTTAGTTGTGTAACTTAATCGTTTCGTTACTGCTGCTTCAATTGTTCTAATGCAGTCATTCTGGAGGAGAGGGAAAGTCGCCTTTGAGCGGCCAGGGAGAAAGCTGCTTGGTCGTTGGTGACGGTGACGACGAGGAGGGAAATGGAATGAATAGGAATGCATATATTTGCGTCAAATGCGTGAGTGAATCAATGGGACAACAGAAGGAAAGTCATGGCTGGAAGGATGATGATGATGACAAATATGATAAACGGAGGACGACTCGGATCAATCAATACATTTATTGGCCAAGAATTGACACGAGGTCCGGAGCCTTCAACGCCACTTTCACTCCTCCTGCTGCTACTGTCACTGGCCTTGGATTGATATTCTGTCCAGGAGTGAATCGACGTTCTTATCCACGTTGTTGGCTCTCCAAGTGGTGGAGGACTCGTGAAAAATCTCCACGAGTGCTGAGACCATCACAAAAATCTTCACCATCACTCTGGCTGTGGCAGCAGGACAGACTCGAAAGATGTGCCATGCCAGTCTCTTTAGTTTTCCATTTTTCTGCACCATCACCACCACTTATCCAATTCTTGTCGAGGAAGGAGGTGGACCAGTCAACTGGACTGCATACAAATTGACAAGAATTGGAGGAGAAGGCGAAACTCTATAAAAATATGTTGACTCATTATTTGTTTTCCATTTTGCCTTGCCTCACCAACCAACCACGGTTGACGGTTGGTGAGGAAAGGTCACACGTTATACCAGATGTAATAATAAATAAACGCAGAATATAGAGGAAAAAAAGCAAATATGCAATGCGACGATCACATGATCTGGTTTTGTCGTCCGAATTAGACTTAATAATTTAGTGGGCCGTCATTTAATTACCCCGAATGTTACATAACCGGAAATCTGTATAAAATATGAGATGATATGGTTTGCATGCACTTTTGATAAGGTTTGAATCTCTTGTTTTTTGTCGTCTGGAGCAGTTTGAGGATGGGAGAAGAGCAAGAATGCATGAATTGTCGACATGTCATCCACTTGAAGAGAATATAAACAGTTTTTCTGGAGGAGTTGATTATGCAGCAGACAAAAGAGGAGAAAGAAAGAGACAGAATTTATGAGAATGGTCGCAAAAATTACGCATCTCCTTCTCTCTCTTTTCGGAATAAAATGGAGAGCAAATTTGGTCTTATGCTTCTTCTCCTTCCTCGCATGCATGCATAAGAGAGGAGCAGAGGAGGCAGAAGTGGGTGCTGGATTCGTTCCTACGGCACGATAAATCGATGCAGAGATGTTTTCAAAGGGAGTCGGCCTGATTTCCTCCATAAATCATGAGACCCCTGTGAACCACTACTTACACTCCTGCAAACACGCTACTACTCCACACATTTGAAAACATGCAAGGACCATCACGCTGCCCTGTACTTCCAAAAGACCAAGAAGTGAATTCCAGCAATTTTGGTCTACATATATGCACCGCGATTGCCCCGTAATCCAACTAAATGGAGCTGGATTTACCCAAATGTGCAATAACACGGAGAAAGTTATTCATTTTGTAGCAGAGTGAATGGGAAGAAATGGAGGAATAAAGTACAGCGACGGAAAGAACAGATATGACCAGCAATCAAATAATACTTTTTCTTAGGTGAGGCTATGGTTACAGAAAAAAATACCTAAGTAAGCATTCCATGACGGTCTGAAAAGTGACCACAGGCCATAACTTTTTCATTTCTCAACCGATTTTGATCAAACAAAAACCCAGAGTTAATTATAACGGTGCTTTATCATAATCGCTTTCTCTCGGTCCAGAATTCTTACTACTTGTTTAGTTATTCAAGAAAAACCGTCGCTAGGGTCACTTGTTGGCTTATTATAAAAATATGGATGAGGTCATCATCGTCATTTTATTAAAATACTGTGCAAAATTCATTTATCTTTCATTTAAAATTGGGATGAACAAAATCGGTTGAGAACTGAAAAAGTTTTCCCCTTGGCATAAACGTCATGTTGCACATGGTAGGAAGTAATAGCCTAAGGGGGGTGGTCACATGGCAATACCCACTCATAGCACTTTGGATTAATTGAAAAAATAATAAAAATTACAAATATGGTTGCCCTCTTAAATCATTACTAAATATTAAATCATTGCTGGCCGGCGCATGCACATGTACTATATGTATGACTCTACACGCATGGTAATAACGCTCATTACCGTTGTGGCAATGCAATTTTAATTTTAACCAAATTTCTACCAGCCAGGTACGAAATTACTATCCAATATATACAAGTATGGAGTATTTACATCCTTCCATAAGTACTAGATTTTTTTCAGTGTGGTTAATTTATTTCATTTCTAATTAATTATCGTATTATTATCAATTAAAAGCTTAAAATAAAATAAACCTTAAAAAGGATTACTTAGGTGAGACTGGGGAATGCGATTAAAAGGATGAAATAACCCCCTCACTCCTCCCACACTGGAGAGAAGGTGTTGGTAAAATGAGCATCACCGCCCTGGGAATGATTTCTGAAAAAATTTGATTTCTGATTTGTGTAAAAATAATTATAAGGATGATGTATCTCAATTTAGCATGAGCACACCCCAACAGTTTAAGGCTTATTAGTTGATTCTGGGGTGTGCATTCAAGAATATGAAGTAAGCCCCACCTACACTTTGAAAAACCACTTCCACCAATCCGCCTTATTTTTCTTACCGAATACACTTCATACTTACGCGGTATAATAATGCTCATAACAAATTAATATGAGTCAGGAACGATGAGGCAATAGATTCGGAAAGTATTTGAATTTAATTTAATTCTGACAAATTCCGCGAAATAACTTCATACTATATGCACTAAAGATCATTTGTCCATCATGGCATCATTCCCAGGGTGATGCTCATTTTACCAACACCTTCTCTCCAGTGTGGGAGGAGTGAGGGGGTTATTTCATCCTTTTAATCGCATTCCCCAGTCTCACCTAAGTAATCCTTTTTAAGGTTTATTTTATATCGTATTTGTACCAGAGTGGACGACATTTCTTTCTTGCAAGTACAAAGGATTTAGAGCTATGACTATGTCAACGGGCCAAGTTTACAAGTTGGTAATTTCTCTTAAATTAAATATAAAGGAAACATAACACATAAAAATATAACAATGGGCATACTCAAGTGATCCATTTGCCTCGTAACTTTTGCTATATAAAACCTGCCACCACGAAAAAAAGTACATATATAAATGGGTAAACTTTTGGACAACAACATTTCAACTCTTCAATTGTAACTTTTGGGTAAAGATGTTAGATAAGCGTTTGTTGATTTCTCCTCTCTCCCTCTCTCCACTCCTCCCTTTGGTCAAGTTAGGACGGAGTGATGATAAATTCATCACAGGCCAAGAGTTTCTTCTCTTCTTCGCACCTCAAGATCCATGCCGAGTTCACTATGGAGAGGTTGGGGTTGTCCGACAGGGCCTGCGAATACGAATACGAATAATAATAATAATACCGTCAGTCGTCGACTCCACTACCACAACACTTGCAATCACTCATCTTCACGAAAAAAGGGGAGAAATAAGTCTCAAAATAGTCTATGACATAACGTTATGTAGCGAGTCAGAGTATCTAAAACTCGACTTTTTCCCTGCGAGTATATAGTTTTTTGACAGTTTTGACACGCAAGCAGAATACATGGAACCTAGGAGAGCAGCCTCCCAGCTATTCTATTCTGTTGACATCAGATTACAACAATAATGGGAGGGAGGAAGAAATAATATGGTCAGTACGTCACATTTGTCGACCTTTTCTTCCCTTTGATCGTTCAATTTGATCATGTCGCACGCCGTTTAGAGGGAGAGAGAGAAAGTTTTTCTTTCTATGTGCTTACCTCTGAGAAGGCTTCGTCCCAGGCGAGGCGGTGTGTGATGAGGTAGTCCACGTCGTCCGTCAGCTCGGTCGCCACCACCCTGTCGCAAGAACGTTGAAATGAATGAATAAGAGGGGAAAGGGCAGAGCTTGTCCCAACACCAAATTTGTTTTCGTCAAACGCCATCTCAAATTGAATTAGTAGGACCGCAACAACAGCAACAACGGGAGGAGGAGGAGTGTGAGGGGAGCTAAGCCCAGCTAAATGGGAGTTGTTGCTCGGCGGGGTGTAGATGGATGGATGGATATATTGCGTAACATGTCGACATCATCACTTCTCTTACGTCAAGTAAATCCTGTGTGCTCGCGTGGCCGTGAGATACTTTGGCATAAATAACAGCCATTATTAGACGAGGAGGATCGTTGTGGGACACATTGCTTCACACCAACCAAGCACCACCGATTACGATCACAAAATCGTGCCACAACAAGAGCAGAAAATGAGAGGATATCCATGAGCCATGAATTGTGAGTGAGTGACAGCTGCTGCCCCGAGTTTAAACCATCTTTAGCCGTGACCATGGATGAAACCAGATAAAGTTTGAACGGGAGAAAGCAATAGAACCGTTTCTGCTGCCTGCCCTATATGTATTATTGTTGTATAATCTCGGCAAGTTCTCCACTTCCAACGAGACTGCTGGTGTAATTGAATTCATGGACGTAGCCCATGTACACAGCCTCTGCCTCTGCATCTGGCCTAATTTAATTTGGATTCGACAAAAAGAAAAAGTGGGAGCAGAGAGAAGGGAGACTGGACGACGCGGACGTGGCTGGAATCAGGGAACACATGTATCTAAGAGCTACTGGAGAGTCGATGACTAATAATCGCCTAATACTTTCTCCTCTGCCCAATAGTCCCCTCCAACTTACATAAACGCCCTGCCGTCCTTACATGAGTAGGTACTTAAGCATTCCTTTCATACCATCCCTTCTCCATTCCTCCGCAGCCTAAGCTCTCCCTCGTCCACTTTACACTTCTCAAGAGGAGTTGCCAAGGTGTGAGCACAGGGTGGTGCAATTGCATACATTTAGCTGCAAATGTCTGTACACGTGGAAAACGGGTATGAATAGCGCCACCGGAGGAGATAAGCGACCATCAGAAGTACATGCATACATAAATACGCTATAGGAATAGTTCCAAGGCAAACAGGGGGATTAGATTACTCCGACTGGTGGGACCCATGATGATGGATGATAAGACTTTGATGGATTGATCGCAAAACTGATTTTGACTGGAAGCCTCATTTTCATCTCGTCCGTTTGGAGGGGTTGATGGCGAGAGAGGAAGAAGATGTTTACTGCAATCTGTATCGAATCATGATCCCCTTGATGATTTGAAGGCAAGGAGGCGAACAGAGACGGAGAAGAAAAAGAGGATGTGAAGCACATCCTTCATCTTCTTCTTCTATTCACGTATGAAAAGCATTCAGATGAAATCCGACCCAGTCCTTTTGTTAATGCAACAGTATACGTAGGTGTTTTATTATTAATTTTCAAAAGGTATGTTCCACACTGTTTCTGACCAAACTTTTGATGAAATAACAAACTTCAAATACTTTTAGAATGCTGTGATTTTTTTCAGTTCTGTAGGTTAACATTAACACTAGCAATAAATCGGCAAACTTTACCTCGACGGAAAAAATGCTAGATTTGCAAATTAAATATCGTAGTGTGATTTAATTTTTAATGCTGGATGGGTAATAAGTGTCGCAGATTTATGGTTGAATCCTTAAAATTTACGATGAAGACTGCCCAACACAAAACACAAATTCAATTGGGTCAATAATTTTAAATGATGGCGAAACGAGGTCTCGGGCAAAAAGTCGCCAGGACGCTCAAAATGCGTTTCTTCCACAGAAAGGCTCCGGAAACTAGAGGAACAAATAATGAGAGATCCGCGATTGAAACTCTCCTATTTAGCAGATGAGATGGGTGTTTCAAAACCAGCAATTTGTTCCATGTTAACTGAAGACTTAGGTATGAAAATGGTTTCCGCCCGTTGGGTACCAAAATTGCTTTCAGCATCTCAAAAACAGGATCGAGTCGACTTTTTCAATGCCAATTTTAACCTATTAAATGAAGACTTGAACCTGCTCAATATTTTATTAGTTGCATATGGTACTTGGGTTTACTATTATGACCCGGTGACCAAATAATAATTCCCTCAATGGAATTATCAAGCACGAGGGGTTGCCACCGCCCGTGAATTGAAAAGTGCAAAAATCTGACAAAAAGATGATGATGACCACTTTCAAGGATACCAAAGGTCCCCTCCTTATAAAATTTATTGCTGTAAATACTACAATAAATGGGGCCGTGTATGCAGGAACCCCGAAGGAGCTGCGTCCTCCGGTTGAAAAGAAACGTGGGGTCAAAATAAAGAGTTGGCCTTTTTTTAGACGACAACGCGCCACCTCATACCTGGCTTTTTGCGAGGGTTAGTGCAGACGAAAATCGCTTTACCTGCACAAACCACACCCCGTGCAGTCCGGACTTGACCCTTAGTGATTATTATTCGTTTCGAAACTTAAAGAAAAACATCAGGGGAAAATGGTTTTCGGATGATAATGAAATCAAGTCGTAAATTTTGGCATATTTTCGAGGTAAATTTTAATGAGTTATTGCTAGTGTTAATGTTAACCTACAGAACTGAAAAAAATCACAGCATTCTAAAAGTATTTGAAGTTTGTTATTTCATCAAAAGTTTGGTCAGAAACAGTGTGGAACATACATTTTGAAAATTAATAATAAAACACCCACGTACACCACGAATAAAGGATATCTCTTCCAATCAGGGTGGCTAATTGGATTACACGATGGCATAGTTTGGATCCACGCTGTGAGTGGTCGCATGACCTTCAAGGCTTGCTTGAGGAACTGGACGAGCAGACTGGACGAGCGGGACCGGTTTGTGCTGTGCAATTAAAGACTTCAATTCAGCAGCGTAACAAGCAAGGAACAAAAACATCCTGATGAGCGACGGCAGCGTAGTCGTCGTTTCTAATAAGTGGACAGAGTAAATATTATTTCAAAGAATTAACTCCCCGGCAGAAGAGGAGTAAAGGAAGGTGGTGAAAATACTCGGAAAGGTCGGTCACTCTGTGTGTGTATCTAACGGCACACTCCTCCACTTCACTTTCTCCTCGTTCTCATAAATCACAAGGAATGGGTGCTCGGAGGACGAGGAAGGAAAAGGAGTAGCCCAAATCGATAATTTGTTCGATTTAAACTGTTTAATCCACATTAAAGCAGGGATTGAGGAGCTGTTGTCCACTCCCGAGCAGCAGGAGATGCAGGAGTCAAGCCAAACCACACGGATTACTCGAGTGAGTGAGTGGTGTCCCTTTTGTGTCCAATGGAGAGAAAGGAATACCGAGGAGAGAGAGAGAGAGAGAAATGTCAGCAGATGTCCGACACTTGACTCCCTTGTGAACAAGGACCAAAGCAAAGCGAGGTTATTTCGATTGATTGGATTTCAAAGTTTCAATTTTCAAGACAAGAAACCTTGACGCTCATGTCCCTCCATGCCAGAGACGTCACATATTCCGCCGCCGCCCAGATAACAACAACACTTGTTCTTTCCCCACCAACCCTGCTCTCTCCCGTGTTAAATAACAACAGCATCCCAATGTCAGGTTATAATTAGGTCCCAAGTGTGCCCCCTTCAAACTTTCTCGAGATGAAAACAAAGTTGGGCTAATAAATTCCACCCGTGCCTCGTCTCTCTCTCTCTCTCTTTCTCTTTCTCCTTGGCTGTCTCGTCTTCCCTGGCACGAAACAGTTTGGACACTTTGTTTGATTTTCTCAACTGAGATTTAAAGTCTACAAAGATCAAATAATGAAATAAGTTTTGCTACTTTCATGCGATACTCTGCAATGGCACACTTGTTTGCTCAGAGAGAAAACCCATTATGATTGCTATGCAGTATTCTTCCTCTCACGTCACAAAATCATTTCCACTCGCCCGTCCACATTTATTTATCCCCATGCTCCTCTCGCCTATCAATCCCACTTTCTCATCTCGACCATCAGACCACTCACTCCTCCTTACGAGGCCTTTCTCTAGCAACATCATTGTTACATTGTAACCTAGCTGGGCGTGCAATTAGCTTTTATTCCATGTGTTTTCCTTCGCGGGGGTAGATAGTCATATCCCTATCAACCCATGAAATATATAAGGTCTTCTTCTTCCAAGAAAGTGTAACACAAGTACAAACAAACTCTGATGAAGAGAGAAATGAGTTGTGGTGTTATTGTGCAATGCTTACTGCCCTCAAGATATGCAGTTTCTCATTACAAGCTTTCTCATTCATTTAGCGGAGCAAATAGTTGATTTAGAATGGCTGGATACTCACCCGTTCCTTCGTAAAATTATTTGCTCAATCCGATCCTTCTCATTGAAAAGAGAACGCGTGCCCCCTTCTTCTTCTTGAGGGTCATGGAGGAAAAATGTGACTTGTCGAAAGAACGAGTCCGCTTCATCAGCGGTTGGTGGTTCCTCCTCAAAATCCGTTTCTGCTCCCGATGAGTCTTCCTTATTATTGGCAGCGCCCTCTTTTCCATTGGTTTTAGGATCGTCCTCATCTACGTCCGTGTCTGCGTTATAAGCTTCAGCCAACTTATCGTTGTCATCATCGTCGTCGTCGTTGAGTGGGAGGGGTCGCTTTCTCTTCCGCTCTCCTCCTCCACCAGCAATAGGTTTGTCCTCGTCGTCATCCACTTCCATTCGGCTGGCAAAAGGATAAAAAACAATTAAGACTAAGCCGCTGTAAATAGGATGAGCAAATAGGACCCGCAATGGCATTTACCGCCCATAATGAAAACTAATAATGTTTCTCTTTATCGCAGCAGGGATTCGGAGAATAGTCATCCCAACAAATTAATAAGTACAGATAAGAACTAATAAGGACTATATCAACGGACCTCGTGGGATCTTGGGACGTGGCGGTCGTGGTGGCATCTTGACCTTCACCAGCACGCGTTGGGTCTCCCCTTTCCGTAACTTTCTCGCCATTTGCCCCTACAAGAGAGAGAATGGGTTATTAAACGTCACTAAAAATGCTTACAATATGTTCAATGTTATCCAATCTAAAGACAACAAAAAGTGAAAGATGGATGGAATGATTTACGTGCACCCTGTCAATGTACATGCATAAGTGAATATTTATGAAAAGGGAGGCAGGGTAACAAATTTGGACGACACATGAAATGAACACGAATGTGCATTATGGGATATGCAATTAATCATGACTCAACAACAGAGGAACGACGATGTCTGGCAAGTTATGCAGAACCGGTGGAGCTTTCCCTACCAATTTGTTTCTCGTTGCGAATTACAGGAGCCCAGGAGGAGAGAAAGTAAGTATTTTCTACGACAGCATCATTGGAACAAGGAGGTTACGGCTGGTGGGTGGGAAATGGGAGACATGGTGGAGCGAAAATTACACGAACCACCACAACCACATTCTTGTCCTTCTCTCGTCGACATGCATGAAAGTAAGTCGAGCCTATCTCTCTCTGGAAATGGAGACTTAACCAACCAACCAACTTGGTTGTTGTAAAGTCAAACAGACATAAAAACAAACGAGTTTTGTTGTAAATACAGAACATTGAATTTTGATTAGGACGAGAAAATAGAAAGTATTTCCTCCACTCCGCCTGCACATCCACGTATCTCCGTGGTGGAGAAGAAAAGAGCTCGAGCTCGCATTTGTATTCATTTAAAGATTTGAGAGTTTTGAAGGGAAAGTGTGGTCCTTTCTTGTCTGCGAGAAGAGTCAGTGAGTGTGTAGAATGGAATTGAGTGCATGAACGCTTATAATATTTTCTCATTGTTGTGATGTGCTGTTTACTTACGAGGAGAAGGAGGATTTCCAGGATCTTGTTCTTCTTCGACCTCATCTTCCTCACCGTCGTCGTGGTCTTCTTCTGCCAGAATCTCCTCCTCACTCTCCGCGCCCTTGTCATTTCGGTCCAGACAAAATCTAAATTCACATATGAAAGTCAACAACAAGCCACGATTTAGTACTTTATCATAACACATTGCCCGTGCACTCCTCTGACCAAGAATAATAAAACGGCACCTTTTTAAATAAATAGCTCCAGCAGTGTGCTGAGGGGGGACGTGTTGTCGAGCTAAAGTGCGAGCGAGTGTGTAAACCTACCAGATTTAGAGGGGAGAAAGGTGCAGGATGAATTTTGATTTGAGATTGAAAGGAGGCAAAGCATTTTATTCCTTCTTTTTGCCTTTACTCGAGACGTTCATTCGTCCACCAAATCCATACGAATGTGATTTTCATGAACAAACATTACATGAATTTTTCATCCGTCTCACCTCATTTCTTGCATAGCTCACACAACTCACTCTCCGACTTCCTCCCTCTCTAGAACCCCACTTGAATCGGACTTGGCTGCTTGGTGGCAAAAATTTGGAGCGAGTTTAATAAGGACAGCTCAGGCCCAGAGAGGCAGGCCACTCAGCCACAGCTGCACTTACACCCAACGTACGTATGCTTTGTAGTACATACATACCACTCGCATCTAGCCTAATCCATCTCCTCCTTCCACATATCTGACCCACCCCTTGGTTCTGAATGATCAGATGTGACAAAGATAAGCCAAGTGCTTGACTTCACTCCAAAGCACTTTCTCTCCACTCCTTTGTCGAAATTGGAAACAAGTTGGGAGGTGGAAGAAATATAATGGAAATGGGACAAGATGGTGCAGCAAGGACAAGGCCGACTGGTTAAAATCCTCCTCCCGTGTACCTACCTACGACATCCTTACGTACGTGTAGGAAAAAATAAATGGACAAACCTTCTCCACGGAAATCGGACCCTGGCCCCGTATGACCGCTCGATCCACTCTTTCCTCACAATCTTGCCGTTATTTCCGGCCGTGCGAACCTCTTGGAACTTGGGCGTGTTGATAAAGGCGCATCTGTGGAAAAGAGAAAGTAAAACCATACATAATATTTCTTTCTTTTTTGGCGTCCTCCTCGTCGACTAAAAGTTTGGCCAAAACGAATCCAGGGGAAAATATAAAGGGGATTTAAATAATAAAGTTGGATGGTTGGTTGGTTGGTTGTGGTCCTGTTTTTTAGAGAGCAGGAGGAGATAGAGATTTGTTAAGTTCAAGGTTTTATCTTTTTATACTGCCACGGCTCCCTCGCTCTCTGTCCTTACTTACTCGTCGTCGCTTTCTTTCATTCTTATGAATAAATTCATAAAAGTAAATTGAGCATCCGCTTTCAGATCAGAATCCATTTCAGCCCTTCTTCGCTCCCATTCAGAGCTATGTAGCTCACCTTCAGCAGAGGGGAAATTTGTTCATTCAGATTTGCAACAGCCAAACAGAGACAGAGGCGCACTGCAAATGGTAAGTGTATGTATGTCAAGACGACTAGACATTCATACACGCAGAGCTTATGGGGATCGGACTTGTTTCTATTTCCACTTAAGAAGGGGCGCTTTCATTTTCACCTGCATCATCGCACTCCGGTCGGCTACATATCCACCCGGTGAGTGGAAGAAGGGGGGAGGGAGGGATGATGGCTCGATGGGTTTATTTAAAGTCTAAGTGAAACTGGAGTCTGGCATAAAAATGTGTTTAATGACTTTGTGGCCCTTTGCACAACGCAATAATGCTGCTGCCCCTCATCCTGCTTTCACTTTCCTCCTCTGTCCTCACTCCCGTGTAAGTTGAGACTTTCCCAACAGTCTGTTTAATTCCCTAAAAACTTTTCCATTTGGGATTTCCAACACATCAATCCATTCCAACCTCTCTTCCTCTCTGCATGCTGTGATCTTTCATCATCTCATCTCTCAGGCTTCTCCGCTTTCACGTGTATAATAATTTCGTCCTTATTAACCATCAACTCGACAACTACGTCGTAGAGTGGTTGATGTAACCTGGAGGAGCATTTCATCCGAACCGTAGAAACATGAAGAGGAGAAAAAATATGGGATTGATTTATTTCTGGAAATGAAAATGAGTAGAGGAGGCAGGCAAATCTTATCCTCCGGCTTAAAAAAGTTAATGGTTGGTGAAAGCACTAGAAAGCTTACAAGACCAAGCAGATCAGATAATACACTTTCCTGGATGGAGGGGGATAAGATTCCATACGATCTATTATAACAACCGTCTGCATATTTCAGCCCATATGTATAGTGAAATGATTGAGCCCAAGTAGGCTGATAGCAGCTCAGCCATGTCAACGATGGTAAAAATGGGCTATGGGATAGAGAGGGTATCGGATCAGATCATCTCGTCATGGGAAAGTCTAATTGCAACCGGCTTCTGGCCCATCCCTTCCACTGATTGCAATCAATCTCTGGAGAGAGAAGTGGAGTGAGATCAAAGTCAGAAGAGAGAGAGAGAGAATAATAGAAATCGACGAGAAATTCTTCCACCGCGAAGAAGAGGCTCAAAGCGATTATTCTCCTTGAAATGAGCCAGCAGAAGTATATAGCAGTTTTGTTCTTGAGGCAGCCCGGCCCAAAAAACGGGATAGGAAATGAAACAAATGGTCCAGTCGATGAGACGAGTCTAGTACTTACTGGTTCTTCTAATTGTAATGTCACCTCTTTACTTCCATGTGCTCTACACGTTCAATTACGCGAAAGAAAGTAGCAGGATCGACAAAGTCCTTGGAGAAAGAGAGAGGAAACGACTTTCTCCAACTTTACCCAATCCACCGCCACGAGTGTATGCCCTATGTGAAATACATGCCAATTCAGCTACCTTGGTGTGCTAGTTAAGACGGATGGTGGATGTGGTTTAATGAGGGTGCCCTTCTTCAAAGGGATGAGGTTCCTTATGGTCAAAGAAAGAAAAGCAAGGTCTGCATGACACACGCCTTTTGAAAGGGCAAATCGAGGAGTTAGCTGCATAAGCATATTTTTGATTGAAATTCAAGGTTGGGAGAGAGACAAGGAATGGAATGTTTTAAGTGGAATCTACGGCCTGGGTCGATATCAGCATATGTAATGTAACGCAATAATGGGGAACTGCTGAGCTTTTGTTATCCTCCTCCACATCAAATCAAACCACTTGGATTTGCTGGATTGATGGATGAATGATCTCCTGCTCGTCAAATCCAATTCACTTTAACAGCAATTTTGTGGTTGGGAGCGAGCGAGAGAGACCACGCGCCCACAAACAAACCTGAACCACACCACTTCACCGGAACCAACCAACTCATTGTTTTCTTGCGTCAAGTTTCAAAGGAAATTGATGTGTGCACCGATGGAAGTGGAGGAAAGGGATTTGTGACCATCATGAAATTACGGTTGAAAAAAAAATCATGGATGGTTAGATGGAACCAGAGATAGAAGAAGAATCAATCGAGGACTATTTGTTACTCTTATCCCTTATCAATACGACATACATGAGATGAGTGCAGCTCGAGTCCCAATCCGGTTTGCATTTCGCTCCCATCTCAATGGCTCGATCTCTTAGATGTTTCCGGTACGGATTTTGAAATCCGCTCATCACAAAGACGACTCCCTCAAACAGTATGTCGAAAGGTTTGTGTGGCTTATCAGCGTCCTCGCTGTCTCGTCGTCTTACCCCACCGAATGCAATGGAAGACGAAGTTGCAGAACCAGTGTTTGGTCCGCCTCCACTTTTTCTTGTGCTCGAGGGAGATGCTTGGACTGGACCTTGGCTGTTGCTGCTGCTACTGCTTGCACTACTGACGTTGTTTTGATTGCTTTTATCTTTTTCATCCGTCAGCTTTTGTTGCTTCCTTAGTGGTGGGTCTGCCAAATTGTTCCTACTTGGGAGCTTATCACTTGTACTGCTGCTAGTTGTACTCGTAGTGGTGGAATTAGTTGTTCGTGGGCCCTTGTTCCCCAAGGAATCGGCTCGTTCGGATGACATATTCTTGGTCTTTTTAGAATCGAGTCCTGGTGAAGAAGAAGAGGAAACATCCAATTTTGGCCTCTTGAGCACTTCCTTCACCGCATGTTCACTCGAAGATTGGGACGCACCTGAGATTGCTTTTGTAACTTCACGGATGGCTGCATTCGTCGAAGTTGAAGAAGTTGGTGAACCGATGTGTTCATCTGAACCTGGCAGTGAAAGAAGAAGAAACAAACTAGAGGGATGTATGATTTAAGAAGAGGAAGGGATGGAGAATGAGAAATGTGGTGTCTGGTTTGGATAGTCTTAGTAGTTGAGAGCTGTTAAGAATTCGATTTATAAGCCATGAGGGCCAAGCAGTACGTGATCATCAGAGTCTCTCTCTCTCTTTCTGCGGTCAAACCGAAGTGCTGAGAGTAAAATACCAGGAACATGAAATCAAGAACCACCAACAATAACAAAACTACTTGACATTTAGCTCGGTGGAACACGTTAAGGCCATTTCTCAGCCCCTGTAATTCAATTCTATTTAGGATCGAATTGAACGATTACGGTCAAAAGGATTACAGATTGTTACGAAACTGTTACGAAACATTTTCTTTACCATTCTTTTGCTTTTGCATCTTCTTGGCAAACAGGGTCCCAATTCGAAATTGTTCATCGTCTTCATCATCCTCATCGTTTCCAATCCCTGTTTTTCTGATAGCGAACACGCCAATTTTGGCAGGCGCAGTGGGATCACCTGGGGCTCTAAACTTGACAAAGTTTAGTCCAAATTGGGTCTGCGTGTTAAATTGCTGCGTCACAATCAGTTTCACCAAGTCCCACTTTTGGGCTGACGTCTCCTTATCCAGAGAGGCGATGGTGAAGTTGCGTACACCGCAAGGATTCTTCAAATTTCGTGAATCTGAGGCAGTCATTAGGATGGCGGAATTGAGGAGGACCTACGGAAATGGACATAATTTACAGCTTAGGCAATGTACAAAGAAATACATGACGAATCATGCAATCTTGACTATATTGCATTTTATTCTGATCTGGGTAGCAGATGGAGAGCTGGTGCTCTTCATTTACCTCAAACTTTGGGTCACTGGTCCCGGACCGAGCAACTTGCACCTCGATAAATGCAGAAGCCTCATTTCCAATATCTATCCCCATGATTTGAACCGCTTGGTCGAATTTAAGGATGACAAATTCACTGCGGCTTTTTGATGTTTCGCTGCATTTCCATTTTCGGAATGACTCTCGATTAAGAAGATTGCTGGCTGGATGGTTCTGAAATGTAATACATTTAATGTATTGGAATAATAACAAACAATAAACATACGCAATTTGCGACAATGTGAACCTTCGAACTTAAAAAATATTTTATGGAAAGGCAAGCTTTTTAGTAATATTAGATAGAAATATTTAATCAACGTTATATTTTAACGTTAATAAAGATATCTGCATTAAAACAACTATGTCGCCCGATAACTCTAATTCTAAGTTATATCTTAACTCACAGGGTCCTCCGAGCTAAAGGTGACGACAGAAGTGGGATGAACGACAGGCATACTCGACTTGTGGTTACCGGTCAGCTGAAGGGAAATTATATGCACGCGTTAAAAATTATGTTTTACATACGGCCAATAATTCACCAAGTCTAAAGTTTTATGCACTCACGATCAAAAATGATTTGCATTAAACCACGTGCTTTTATCGTTTTGTTTACTGCTAAAAACAAGATGTACAATTTCAAAACTGCATTTATTAGCCAACTATCATAAGGTCACCTGTATTTACGTCGGTGGTGCACGAGATTCTCGTGAAAGAAAGGAAGAAGTGAACGTTTGAGAGAGCGGCAATAGTAGAGACGATCTGAGAACAATGTAAATAATGTAATGATAATGCTCAACCGGGCAATTAGCTAACCATTGTTGGAGTCTGAGTTGTATCAAAAATACTTTTCTTTCGCAGTGGTCTCAAAAATTTTTTCGACAACCTTTAAAAACTTGCTAGCAAGTAGTAGCAAGTAATCTCCATTCGAAATGTGGTTGTGCCGTCCACTTGAGCATCGGATGGCTACAAAAACAGGTTACACGCTGGTTCCAAAAAACGGTTCTATGGTGTAATGGTTAGCACTTTGGACTTTGAATCCAACAATCCGAGTTCGACTCTCGGTAGAACCTGCTGTTATTTTGCATTTTCCACTTTACATGACTCAAGTTTTTGTTTTATAGTCACTCGAATATAGGTATAAAATATATTTGTGTAAATAATCAAATTTATAATTTTTTTATGAACCTGATTCAGTTTGTGCTTAACTTGTTTATTAGCATATCATTCTTTCAAAAACATTATGGAAACTTGACAAATGCTTAACGTAAGCTATGTTGATTCGTACTTATGTATGTATCTAATAATGAGACAAGACACGTAATAAGTAATACCACAACCAAGCTAACTACGGACTATCAATGCCAGATCGTATATGATGTATTAAATTCAGTGAGTAGACAAAACTTAAGTATTCCTTCATGACACTTGTTGTTCTGGTCCCTCCAAAAGTTGCTTGTTCTCTGGAGTTTGTTCTTCTGCCAGTACGTTCGTGTCCGCAATGGTAGCATTTTCAGGGAGTGGTTCATCTTCTTCCGTTTCTTCGACTTCTTTCGTGCTGGGTGACAAATTTTCCTCTGAGATCTTCCCAAGTCGCGTCGCTTTTCTAAAGATATTCGCTACAAGAACATTAAACAGGACAAAATTAATTAGACCACTTTTCTTCGCAATGTATGAAAGCACGTGACTACATTACATCCAATTCCATTATGCTAACCATACCACTAATTAATTAACGTCATTAATTAATTGCTTGAAGGCTTACACTTTTTCTTTTTCGGCTTGGCATTCCCGTCACCGAGAGCAGTTGTGGAGGCATTATTTTCAGAGGTGAAAGCATTATTAGTTTGGTCAGCAGAGTCCACCCCTTTAGCGGTGGTTTTGGGGTTAGTGTTAGTGGGAGGAGCAGCCACACCCGAAACCTTGTTACCACGACGGAAAAGGGAAGAAAACAATCCGGAGGAGTTGCTCGTACGCGTCGTTTCAAGCTGCTTCACAGACGATCTGGTGAAAGTAGTGCACCCACCCACGCAACGAGAGCAAGGAGATGATGAGACAATCAGAGTACAAATGTTATCAGTTATTATTTACTATTATAGTCAACTCAATGCGTATGCTAGAACAGTAAGCAAAAAAAAAGTTTCATGCAACACAAAGTATAACCAAAATTGCAAACCAATCAAGCTGAAGACTTACAGTTCAATGTCGTAGATCGTAGTCTTTGGGCAGAACGAAGGTGCTCGAACGTGGCACTCTTTGTGACACATCATATTACAATCTCGGCACTGGTAACCTTGTTTTCCAATACTGAAGGGGAGTCGCATGGTACAAATTTCGCACATGGTTCCACTGCAATATAAAAATTAAGGCACCTGTCATATGTACTGACTTGCACATTTCTTTCTGCACTTGGTCTTTGTCTTAATTTGTAACTTATGTATAAACCTGGGAAGATGTTTGGCTAAAAAGGTATGGTCGTTGTAAATATGGAGTTTCTTCCCCTTCTTCCGATACCGGCCAGACTCTGCCAGGTTGGGTGGGACCAGGAAATACCTGCAACAGTCGTCAATATTTAAACAACATCATTCCACAGTGATGATGTTCATATCTGCGATTGCTGTGTTTGTGCTTACTTTTTGACCCGATTTTCCACGCACTCGATGACGAGGGTAGAGTTTTCATGAACGAAGGTGGTGGTGGAGAAGCCGCTGATGCCGGAGAGCTCGGAGGTGGACGATCTGTAAATGCATAGACGTACTCAATTCGCCTCATTTCGAAGACGCATAAAATAATAGGGTACAAAAAGCTACATAAATCACACCCAAACAAAGTCTAATAAGGTGATTACCGTGCGGAGCCCAGGCCGAGGCGAAGGTTGTTGGAGGTGGAGGCCATGCTGTGCCGATCCGCGGAGATTGACCGCTGCAATGTGACGTCATCTGCGTCTTTGTCCGCCATGCTCGCGTCCTTCGTGCCCCCTTCTCCCATCACGGAATGTGAACGCCCCTTCGAAAAGCGGCGACGGATCGAGGTAAAAATGTCGCCTTTCCTCGTCTTCCGCCGACCACGCTCTTTAGTTTTACACGTGGAGGTAATAAATTTTAAAATTTTCGAAAGTGCCAATGTTATCGTTATCAGATTATAAATATTTTCATGTGCGTGTGTCATACCATCTCCATACTGCGTGATTGCTATCGCCTCCGATGGGTCATCTCCGTTGGCACGATCCTGTCCAGGGGAAGAAAGTTGTTAAATACAGCATAAAATAAGGTGGGTAAGCGAATAATATGTGTAGCATATTATTGGCAGAGCGGAAGAGAGGAGAAAGCTGAATCTCCATTAAACAACGTGTAGACAGAAAATAATATCAATGATGGGAGTTTAGTACTTTCACTCACGAACGACATACACACCGTGTAGTATTCCCTAGTAAATTATGGGTTAGTGTTATGTTATTGTTATCTTGCACGCACACCGACCAACCGCCCGACGCCACGTGAAGTGGCAAAGTTCATAAAAAATAAATAATCCCCAAAAAGCCGAATGAATAAAGAGTAGAGCAAAAAAGTAGCAGCGAGGATTTTGTGCATTCAATATGACCACGTCATCGTAACAATGAGGACTAACCCTTTTTTGAACAACGGCATGTATGATTAGAGTGCTAATTGTGTTGGTGTTACTAGCGGAAGTGGGGGTACAAGTGAAAGAAGAGTCTTTTCCAAGCTCTCGTATTACATTTTCTGCAAATGCTGCCGCCGAAGACTTGGAGTCTGGCGAAGGCGTGAAAACTCGTCGCGTGGTCGTCAGCAGTTGCTGCCTCTTGTTCTTGGCCGACCTTTGGAGGAACTCGGGCTCGCTCAAGGGAGTGAACTGCGAGGTCAGTAAAAGGATTAGTTAAGGAACTTGGTACAAACAGTATTTTCTGCGAGGAGAAAGTTAATACCTGAACATCGATGGATCCAGTGTACCCTTCGGAATCCTCTAACTTTCGTGATATGAGTTTCAGTGTTTCATACCGCCCTTCAGGTCCGCCCGTTTTCATATCATCCACTGAAATTATGTTGCATCCCAGGAACCGGGCCCCCACTTTGTCGTAAACTTCAAACAAGAGTTCACCTCCTCGGGGAAGAATGTTGCTGCAAACATATGCAAATCCATATGAAATTCATCGATACAATTATTTAATCCAAGTTTGTATATTTGTATGCCATTCAGTTTCTCTTACAACACGAAATTTTCATTCCACACGGGATCATGGCTGCGAACAATGTCGGTTTGAAACTTTTGTGGGGGATCGTCCAGCTCGATGGCGCAGTAGGCCTCCTGACACCCCTTCTGCACTCCCAGCTCCCTGCCCCGCACGATGGTGGCCAGGAGATACCTCACCTCTTGGGGCAGCCCGTCCTTCCTGGGACTGAACTTGGGGGCCACGGGGAACTGGGCGAATTGGGCGTAGCTCAGCTCCGTCAAACAGTTTCGAATTGCAGAGGCGATCGCGTCGCCCACGATTTGGGCCGCACCCTTGTCCTGCTCAAAGGACACGGCCACACAAATCTCCGGCCAGCCATCCAACTTGACCAGGGCGGACTTGTCGGCAGAGGTGTTGACCAGGATGGAGAGTCTCCCCGATATGTGGTCCACGAAGAAGGGGAGCCGGCGAGGAAGCTGCTGCTTCTGATGAAGGGTCACTTGGCCCTGAAGCTGGAGTTCGCAATCAGACGTGACTTTCTGCAATTCGAAAATTATGAACTTAATAAAAGTGTGAATAATCATTTATGGTTTCGAGTAAGAATGTCCGTTATAAAAATATGTAGTACTAAAATAATTCTAACCACATTGTCTGGATGGATGCATTCCGCAAACATGTTGTACAATTTTAGATCCTCCTTCAAGTTTAGGTCGATGATTGTGATGAGAAAATCATTCTGCTAATTATTGCAATGTGTAAAAATACTTGTTAATAATTATTCAGCTTCATTTTCCTCAAGTCGAGTAGGAACTCAACTCCATGCATATTTACTTATGAATAAGTCGTGTTTTGAATTTGACAGATAATCACTTCATATTGTAAGCGTGTACAATGTACCTTTCCCCCCTCATCTCGCAACACTTGGTTCAATGCCGTCATGAACGAGGATTTGATGTCGCCCACCCAACTGGCTCTGTCCTTGCCGTCCTTTTTGAATGCCCAGTCGTAGATTTGCTTGATAAATTCGACCGCGGCGGGATCCGGCCCGGTGCAAACGCCTTCTGTCGCATGGTCATGGCTGGGACTCGTTTGGGGAGCACCTGCCAGTTTGTGCCTCCGTCGTGCGGGTGGCTGTGGCTTCGGACTGGAGCGAGCGGCCTTGAGGGCCAAGTCGCCCACACTTCCGTTCTGCTCGGGAGGACCGGCGCCACCACCAACGTCGCCCCCCTCGTGGCTGAGAAGATTGGCTCTCGACTCTGACGAGCTGGACTCAAACTGAGGAAAGCCCGTCTTTTTGACGAAGCGAAAGTACAGGTATTTCACGACGACGATGGAAATCAATATGAAAATGATCCACCCGGTGAGAAGCATGGAAATGGTATCCATGTCTTGATAAGGCCCAATCCCACCTGTAACACGCACAGAAAACTGCCATTATTTAAAAATGTGAATTAGTTAGTCGGCCAATAACTAGATATATCGTGAAGAAAGTGGTTGTTAAGTATTCATTAGGGATTTATTTTAAAGTGCTAAATTGTATGCCGACAAGACAGCGACTAACCGCCGCTGATCTCACAGAACAGAGAGTCCACCCTCTCGGCCAGGTCCTCCTCCAGCATAACCATTCATGCACTTTCTCCAACCACACCCACTCTCTGCTCCAGACACTCTTCTCGAGTGCACCTAAGGACTACAGGCAAATATCTCTGTCTCCCTGGTGTGGTGAATGCTTTCACCAAAGCGAAATCAATGTGTAATATGTACGCGCTGCTAGGTACGAGTGGACTCTAATCTAACTGCTCTAATAATAATATGGCTGAACAAGTTGACTTGTTCTTGATTATTCTTCGGCCCGTCTCTTACGTTCAGATGCCTCGGTCGGCCAGTTGATCCAACCACTCACAGCGCTCCACAAATGCATCGTCTTGGCCAACTCCAAGCTTCCGAACACTCCCCACCACCAACCAAACGACTCTCTGTTCTTATTCCTGGCCTGACGTGAGCGGCGGATGTGTAGGTTCGGATGGGCGAACGACGTCTATTTTTAGGAGAGTAGGGAGTCAAGTACATACACACGACAGAGGAAGTGAGGAGCAGATCCAGATCTAGAAAAAACAAAACAAAGGACATGCAATGCAAATGAATTCGGTTTACAAAAGATGAATGGGAATATTCAGCAATTGAAGGAGTGAGGAAGAACCAATGGCAATATTATGTATTATCTTATCTGCTGCTGGACGTTAAGGACTTTAAATGTTACGTACGTGTTGGTCTCGGTTTGGTAAAATGAACTCCGTAATTGTCTGCTGGGTAATTAGTGGGAATTGAGAAATAGCAGCCAGTTGCTCACTTTCACCACTGGATAAGTACGGAGGATGGGAAAGCAACAGAGGCTGTTTCCACCCGCAAATGTTCCCTACGCCACCACGCTCGCTTTCTCGGACACTTATTACTCACTCCGCATCCATTGTGTAGGCACAGCACACAACCCCTTCACGTATATGCATAGCAAATTCGGATCGATTATTTTGGGGAGTGAAAATTCGGGGGTTTCTCCTTCCACTCTTTCTCCGTGGCACTGATGGGGAAAAGTGGTGAAAATTCACATTGATAGGTTGAATCCATGCACTTCAATGTCGACGACGATGTGTATGTACTTCTTCCCATCCATGCTTTTGCAAGCCTTATTTTACATTATTGAATTGAACGCTCGCCTACTAAATACAATTTGTAGTCATACAACCACCAATACTAACGAATATTTACTACATGCACCATCTTCATCTTAATGTGCATAGGCTGTCATCATCATCATCATCATCGATATTTTTAGGACTCCTGGATTGATAGCATGATAGCACTAACTAAATAACCTCATTTATGCAAATTCGTTAATGATCCATAAAAGGAAATGAATAAGACTTGTATCATCCTGAATATGAACTTCTTCACTTTATTACTACTAAATACGTATGACTGAACTTTGGAACTGATCGATCAGTGTTTTTGAGATGTTACTCTTCCTTGGTCCATTTACGAGATCTTTGTGCATCTGCTGGCGTGGTTCGTTCCGGCCTTTTTTTATTTGGGGCTGGATTCCACCTAAAATAACCCAACTCACGTATCTGCTTATTTTTGTATGAATGGTGGTGGCATGGCTTATCAATTCAATGGCATTTTATTATTGAGCTGCCCAAGTTTATATAGAGTATAGTTGGTTGATGTTGTTGTTGTTGATCACCGAATTGCTGACCACCACAGCTGCGAGACGACCTCATAATTAATTACTCCCCATTAGTAATCAATCCACGGATTGAACTTCCTGGATTTCCGGTTCCATTCATAAATATTTATTTTGATGATGGCGAGGTCATCTCTGCTCCCGTTTCAACATGCGAAACTTGGAGGTTTTCTGCAAGCTCCCCCCAATTTGGGGAATGTTTACACGGGGGACGCCTTCCTCGCCCGCGTCCTGGAGCGACTCCTCCCACCCAAAACCTTTGCCGAGGTGCACGAAGACCTTGAACGGCTTGGTCACCGGGTGGAATCTGAAATCGACCCTTTGGGAATGCAGTGCGAAAATAATGAGCCAGTTCTTCGCCAATTTGATGCGTGGGGACGACGTGTGGACGAATTGGGTAAGACTATTGTGGCTGTGTGATATGAAATTTGGTTGGATCCGATCTTAATTTAACATGCTCTTGATATGGTTTTGGTGCAATCTGTAGTGACCTGCCCGGCCTGGAAACGTATGAAAGAGATCACGGCGGAAGAGGGAATCATATCATCCGGATATTCTGGCAAATTTGGCGAATTTGGGAGAATTTTTCAGTTCGCGAAATGTCTCGTCTTCCACGCCTCGTCGGGGCTTTATTCCTGTCCCATCGCAATGACGGACGGAGCTGCAAAAACGCTGCAAGTAATCAGCACATATTTTTCTGAACATTTTCCATGCCTTATTTTTTGTAGGTGAAACTGTTAGCTGAAGTGGAAAAACTGATGCCAATAAACAAGTCTTGATTATTATTTGCAGGAGCTGAAGCTGCCTCAATTTGACTCTGTTCTAAAGAAACTCACGTCCCAGGATCCTGCCCAATTTTGGACGTCTGGCCAGTGGATGACCGAACGTGGGGGCGGCTCTGACGTTGGGACGGGAACGGAGACGGTTGCCATTCCAAAATCGGATGGGACGTACACGCTGCACGGCTACAAATGGTTGTCCTCTGCCACGGATGCGGACATTGGTCTTTTCGTCTTGCTAAAATATTTAAGGCATTGGCACTGACAATTTGTATTTCAATATAGCTCTCACGCTCGCCAGGATTGTGGACAAGGGAGAAAAGGCACAGGATGGTCCGCTTAAATATTTCAGTGCATATTGTATCAGGCCGAAGAGGATGACCAAAGTTTTCATGTTGCAGGGTTGTCCATGTTTTTGTTGAAAACGCGTCGAGAAGACGGCAGCCTGGACCCTGGAATACAAATGATGAAATTAAAGAACAAGTTGGGAACGAGGAGTCTGCCCACTGCAGAATTACTGCTCGACGGCGTTGTGGCCCAACTCGTGTCTGACCCTGGTCGTGGCGTCGCAGCAATTTCACACATGCTCACAGTCACACGATTGCACAACACGACGGGGAGTGTCGCGGCGATGAGACGGTATAATTCCTTCAGTGCTGCGTGCTACGTCTGTAATCATGCCAAGTAATGCACGCTGTATTTGCAGTATTCTTCTGCTGGCCAGAGATTATAGCATGAAACGTGTGGCCTTCGGAGTCCCCATTGCGCAACATCGGCTGCACGTGGACACTTTGGCCGGAATGGAATTGACCGCGAGGGCTGCAACCCTCCTCTTTTTCGAAGTGGTCAGGTAGAGAAAACGACGAGTTGCATAGGGAGACCATAATTTTCTCCTTTCTGATAACTCTTAATGTAGTGCAGATTATTTGGGCTGTCAGAACATGGTCGTGTCGGAAATGACGACGAGGAGAATCGCCAGCTCCTTCGCCTCTTGACGCCCGTGGTGAAGCTGTACACTGCCAAAAAGTGTATCCCCCTCATAAGTGAAGGGTTGGAATGCTTCGGAGGGCAGGGCTACATTGAGGAAACGCGGCTTCCCGTTATCCTCCGAAATGCTCAGGTATCTCTTGTGCCATGGCCTTGCTTGCAAACATTTGTTACATTTTGCATGTACTTATTTATTGAAGGTCATGACCATTTGGGAGGGGACGACCAACGTGCTCTCTCTGGACACCTTGCGCGCCATCGCCAAGTCCAATGGAGCAGCAATCGCCGCATTTCATGCCAACATGAGTAGAAGGTTGCGACAGGTGGTCAAGCCCGACTTGGCCCCATCGATTGGCCGTGTGCAGGCTGAGCTTGAGGACCTGGTGGCCATTCTTCCAGAGCTGGAAGCCACGGAGGTCATGGCTCGAGCGAGGCTGGTTTCTTTTGCAATCGCAGAAATAGCTATAGGTACAGAGGAGGCGAGAGAGAATCGCTAAATCTACTCCAGAATAATCATCAATCATGTCGTAATCATCTCGTTAACTTGTAAAACTTAACCCCATGTATTAGGAGTGCTCTTCATTGAGCACGCATCCAGTGGAGTCGCTCAAGGAACGGATTTGGCTGCGGCGAAACGATGGGCGTCCCAAATGACGAAATGGTCTCTGCAGCTCAAGGATGCTGAACGGTTCGAAACGGACAACTCCAACCAACTTGTGTTTGAAGGTTATCCTGGCCCAGATTTTTCCAAAACATCCAAACTGTGATTTTGTGGATGTCTATGAACCCCATATACTACGTACATACATACGTACTCAATGGTCAGTTTATTTATACTTATGTAACCACATTCTTCAGCAAAGAGCAGTGTGAACATAACCTTTTGATTTTGACTATTTTATTTGTTGTATGCATGTAGTTGAATAAAGGTTCAAATTAATTTGCTTAAAAGTTGAATTGAGAGAGGTGAGGTCAATTCAGAAAATGACCCATCATCATCTCCATCATCTCTGCAATCATTCCATTGGCAGCGTAGTTTTATACGATGGGAATTGGACTCATGTCGTCTCAAGTACATACATATTTCACTTATCTTTATCTACTTGTTCTCATGTGTTTTTATTATTACGAGCAAAAAATGCATGAAAGCCGATGAGCGATGAGAAATTCAGTACATTAAATTGGAATTATGCGTCAAAGAACTGTGTCAGATTCAAGGTCAACACTTTCCACCCATAAAAAGAGGTTGAATAATTCATGACATTTCCCAATGTCCCGTCGTCGGATACTCGTCTTGACTCAGGAGTTTCGAGTCAAAATTCTTGACTACATCATACACAAAGTTGTTATTTGAGCTAAACGTACGCTTCAAGTAATAAATTTTGGTAAACTGCTACGCATACAAAAGTTTAGATCTAGTTAATAGACACATTAGAGCTTTGCTAGAGCTCATATTTCGATCTTTAAGCCTCTCACACACAAAATTGTCGTCTTGATTTTCATGACTAATCCAGTTGGAGGATAAGATAAGAGGATTATGTATGCTGGATGTTGGTTAGGAGGGATATAATTAGAGCCAACGGAAGCCAAATACGTGCACTATTTATTGTACATACAAATGTAGAGCCGCTGACTCATCGCGTTAACTCTACAGTGATAAAAATACAATAAAACGACCATAATAATAAATACTATGCAGAAGAACAAAGTTATGAAGCACACTATTATTTCGTGGTGTATGTAAGAAAGAGGTTGTGTCGGGGGTGGGTCCCTCGTGGTCACTGCGTGCATGCGTGCGATTAGCTCTTGCTTGGGCCCTTTATCAAGTCCAGTTTCAGTTTATCTTCTCGACCAGATAACGTTTTTGTCATCCTCCTCTTTAGCATAAGTGCTGACCACAGTGACCACCAACAACTTCTTCACATGCACTAATGTATGAGGATGAGATGACCAATGTACCATAATAGTTGTGATGATGTGAACCCACCATCATCGTCATGAAACATAGGAAGATGTCATTTCTTGCCCTTCCTCATTACGACGGAGGAATGAGCGTATGGTTGACTAGCTAATATCAATATCATCGAGGACCAACAAGTAGTTTCGTCTCATCTCATCTCACAGTCTGACTCGAGTGGAAGAAGGAGCAGCTGAGGCTAAATGAACAAAAAGGGACGGAACTCGCAGAATAGAAGAATTCGCGAAACAAACACGTAACACCACATTCTTTTGTGTCGTCTTCAGTGAAAGAAACTGCTATACAAAAGCCAAGGTCAGTCATCTTGTAACCGTCTTCCGATTTAAATAAACAAGGTTTTTGCTTGCATAAGTTTGAAAAGTAAGATTTTATTTGTCTCCCAGTATTTGTAGGGAATTCTAAATTAGAAATTCTTTGCAACAATTAAGGGCCCGGGGGAAGATTTACTTGATTTTATGTTAGCAACAATAATTGCCAGGGCCCCAAGATTATTATCGCTCTGTTAGGTTACGACCACAATTAATTGACACCGTTTCTATGGGACGTTCAAAAGCTTTGGTTTTGTCACTGCTTTTGAAAAAGTTTCCCTCAAGTCCCTCAAGTTTTTGAAAAAAGTTGTTTCTTTTGTTCCATGGATACTCAAAATGCAATTCCTGCCATTAATTTGGCAATTCTAAGCCAATTTGTCCTCACTTTACGACCAAATATCTCCACTGCACAAGAGGGCAGATCGTCAAAAAAAACTCAAGTAAAATCTAAAGATATGATTAACGCATTAAACATAATTTAAAAAATCTGCCCTCTTGTGCATTGCTGAATTTTATCGTCAAAGTTGACGTGATTTCTAAGCAACTTCCCCCAGGCCCTTAATGGTTGATATTTTAATTCTTCCTGTTCTAGAATGCCATCTCGTTGTCAGGTCAAAGGGCAAAGTTACTGACAAGTATCTCCGGCTGGCATTATCCGAGGGAGGGGAATCATCTTTGTTCAGTGAACTCAACCATCATTACCATTCATCATGATAAGCGTGAAACTAAAGGTAAGCAAAATGCTGATTAACTAAATTAGTACAATCCCATGTTATATATTATATTATAATAGAGATAATGTACTATAGTATATTATATAGATTATCCGCGTCATTTTGCATTTGGCTGACTAATGTTAGTACATAAGTACTTAACCATTTAACAAATATTTATTAACCGAACAAAAATGTCTTCCTCATTGACAATCATCCATCCTCTCCGTGCTCCATGAACAATATTAATATTATTATTATAAGCATTATATTGTCTGTGTAGTTAGTGTTGTGTTAACTTTTGAACTCCATTCACAGTTCCCAGTTTAAATTTACTACTAACACGTATTACCGCATCATGTATGCTGCACTGGATCATTTTCCAATCCATTAATATTAGCATTTACCCACACACATGCATAGTGATCCCATCTCGCAACATTTAATTTCTGGAACTATTATAGTGAACAGACTTATCTCGCCTCTTCGTTTTAAGCTGTGTGGTTTAACTAACGGACATGACGTCAATTTTGTGCTCGTACTTTTGCCCCGTCACATGTTTAAAGAGATGCAATACACCTGTCGAATAAGCGAGACAACACAGCACCTGCTCTAATTCCAGGATTATTACCATTTCCAAGTTTAATTCTGATTAATTCTTATCGTTCTAGATTGACGATAATAGAATCATCTCCTTGTCGTCGTCACCTCAAACAAGCCGTGTTGAGGGGAATATTTCTCCTCCCCGTCTCATGTCCCAAGAATGACCCCACAAGGAGGAGACCCCCAAAACCGACGGTAGTAGAATAGTTTCAGTTGTTTATCATCCTCCGCCCCTCGACCTCTCCTCCCCAACTGCTGCTGCTCCCAACTGCTGCTGCTCCCCAACTGCTGCTGCTCAGACTCATCACTCCCCCACTGTTTTTCCACTTGTGATATCCGTTCTTGCCAACCACCAGCACACCACCGAATTGTTGGAGCTTCTCCCACTTCCTTCTCATCAAGAGGTTAAAATTACAAAAATGATGCAACGACCGGTTGCCACGATCCCTCCCAGCAGGGCAGGGGCAGAATCCCCAGGTGGTAGTTCTTCCAGCTCATCCAGCAGCAGCTCCACCTCTTCCCATCATCGTAACAATGGTGGTGGTCTGCTCGCGTTAGGAAATGATAGCAATCAAACGTCCACCCGATCCAGGTCACCATCCATTATTGTTCGTACAGGAGGAAGTGTGCATCGTCACAGGAGGAGGGACTTGCCCTGGGGGATCAGAATAATTCAAAAGGTTTCGGATTGGTGGTTCCCCAATCTGCGAGTGAATCGGGACACGTGGTAAGCCGAATACGCGAAGCAAATGGTCGCCGACAACGATCTTGTGGTGATGTATTTTTTATGCAGTCTCATTTGCACATTTTTAAATTTAGGTACCGTGTTTCGGTGTTGGTGCTCACCTACATTTCCTACACATCGTACCACATGTCCAGGAAGCCAATCAGTATCGTGAAAAATGTTCTTAACCATAACTGCTCTGCGGGCGAAGTTCCTGTCTCAAACACAACAGCTTCCTGTGGCTGGGCCCCTTTTGGTAAATTGCTATAGTTAAATTTCTTACCCGGATCTTCGTATTTACAAAGATGCTCATTTTTGTGTTTTTTTTTAAATATCAGACCGTGATGATGCTGACGTTTTATTGGGAACGTTAGATTCCGCATTTTTGTTTGCCTACGCTGCGGGAATGTTTGTCAGTGGATTCATCGCAGAGAGAGTGAACCTTCGATACTTTCTCTCACTGGGGATGATTCTCTCGGGTTTCTTTACATATCTATTTGGATTAGCGTACAGTCGGAATATCCACAATTTGTCCTATTTCATCCTCGTTCAGGTGATTCAACTTGTTTCGTTTGTAAAACTTTGTTTGGTTTTCACGATAATCAGTACTTTTACCATTACTGTTTATGCGTTTTTAGGCTCTTGGTGGAGTTCTCCAAACGACAGGCTGGCCTGGGGTAGTTACCGTCGTGGGCAATTGGTTTGGAAAGGGAAAGCGTGGCCTTATTTTCGGCTTATGGAACTCTCACACCTCACTCGGAAACATTTTGGGCTCCTTGATCGCGGGATCATTTCTAGAGACGAATTGGGGACTCTCCTTCATCGTTCCTGGCGCGGTGATTGGGGTGGCAGGATTTCTAATTTTTCTCCTCCTTGTCCCCAAACCACAACACGTTCACTGCAGCTTGCCAGACCACCACGAGTCGGTTAGCTCGGACATGAGCAACGACGACAGTTCCGACTTTCCTTCCACCTCTACTTCCATCAGGGCTGCAAGGAAGAGGAATGGGCGGTACAACTATACTGGAGATTACGACAATAGTGAGAGTTGCAGCAGGCTGCTGGATGAGGACGATATCACGTGTGGTGGTGATGCACGAGAAGACACGCCAATGATTCCCCAGTATGACCCAGACGTCAAAGTTAAAGCAGTTGGATTTACAGAGGCGCTAAAAATTCCAGTAATACCTTGTTTATCTCTACCACCTATATTAATTATTTATATTTTTAGTTACACATTGCATTACTTTTGCATTTTTAGGGCGTGGTAGAGTTTTCCTTATGCCTTTTCTTTGCCAAACTCGTCAGCTACACATTTCTCTACTGGCTGCCGAGATATATCAACAATTCGAGTAATGACAATATTTTTTGAGTTATTTATTGACCTTAATTAACTAACTTTTGGTTATTTTTTAATAATGGTAGCTAATTTTTCTCCAACGGAAAGTGGCAACTTGTCGACTTTGTTTGACGTTGGTGGGATAATTGGTGGAGTTATTGCTGGAGTCATTTCCGACTACTCGGGCATGAGTGCTACCACGTGTGCAGGCATGCTGACGGTGGCGATCCCAATGGTAAGATTGAGGCGAGGACAACGGCTAAGAAAAGAGAAAATTGATGCGACTAAACTATTTGACACGTTTGGTTTGTAGATGCTGGTGTACGAGACCTACGGGACGGAAAGTCTGTTTATGAACATTATGTTGCTCATTCTCGTCGGAATTTTGGTAAACGGGCCATACGCTTTAATCACTACGGGTGAGTTTATTAGTTGTTCTTTAAATGTACGGCATGAATTGAGTGAAAAATGATAGATTTCTATCCGTTCAATTGATCGTGTACACCGTTATTCACTGTTACATAAAATAACTGCACATGTGTTTAATGTTACCCTAATAAAATTTTATTGTAAATTGTGTCATGTCAGCCGTTTCCACCGAATTGGGGACACATCCTTGCCTTATGGGGAATGCAAGAGCGCTTGCAACTGTGACTGCAATTATTGATGGGACTGGTTCTATTGGTACCCACACATAATTAGCATTAAATAGATAGCAAATATAGCTTAATATACAATAATAATGGCACGTCATATCATATTTCTTATTCTTGTTTTATTTTAGGAGCTGCAGTCGGACCGTTACTCGCCGGTCCAGTGGCTTCGATAAGTAAAGAGCACGGTTGGAAATATGTCTTTCTCATGCTCATGGTTGCGGATGTGATTGCGTTAATTGTAAGTCGACTTTTTACACTTATTTTGTCTTATTTGTGAGTAATAATTTGTACACCTCGTGTTCTTACAGCTACTGGTTCGCCTCGTGTCGCATGAATTCAGACGTTATTTTGAAACCCGTCATGCTAACCAACTGAAGGTAACGATTCACTCCATCCCAGGATCTGTGTCGTCCACGCCTTACAATGGACAGCTAGCCTAAAACAAAATCCATCTCCAATTTGTAACATCGGGAGTAATGAATATAGCAAATTCATGACGAAAAAGCAAGCCTGTCTGATTATGCTGCTATGACCTTTTTATAATTACTCTATTTATTTTGCACATATCGTCCTAAATAATTTTTAGTTTATCTTATTTATAACCTCAAACAAAAGTCTGATATTTAGAAATAGTTTTTTTGTATCATTTAAACTCCTGATTGACAGCAGGTATTTAGGGAAGCTTGAAATAGTTTGTAGTTTTACTCTGTTAGGACGACTGACTATCTAATGGTTGTACAACTTGGCTTACTCTAAAAATGTAATATTTGATTGCCGTGACGTAATTATTGTTGTGCTCTATTTTTCTTTTACTATTGATACATGTAATTATTTTTATGATTGATTGATTTATTATTAAGTATTTTAATCCCCAATTATATCTTTCCCATTTCGTTTAGATGATCGATGGCAGATTTGGGAGGAAAACTAAGTTGGCTGTTGTCTAGTTTGCTTGCTGTCTACATATATGCACCTACTGAACTGATCTTGCATGTTATGTGACAGCTTAGAACTTTCTCTTCAATACAAAATGCAGATTGATCTTTTTGATACAAACACTGATATCATAGTTCATAGTCTTGTATTTATTATTATTATTATTGCTATTATGCAATCAACATTGTCTGATCTAGTCGTCAGTGTGTAAGACTTTTCAACTTGTATTTACAATTATTTGTATAATTTCCACAAGAAGCGATGAGTAAATATCAAGTAACTGTTCTACAATACAGAGTGCCTTGTACAAGCAGATTCATGACCCTTTGTTTTACCAACTCCGCCATAACGATTGGGGGCTATAAATAGTGGACTACTCAACTGCTTGCTTATATATGCGTGTGATTTTAGATGGTAAATATATTTTAGTATGGTCTTTTAACTGACTTATAATGATGAGATGACTAGGGTCAACCTACTGCAATTATTACTTGTTTTATGTAGTTTCATGTGATGAACCAATTTTCAGACCAATGTTTGATTTGAAATAATAATGATTACTGGAGTGATTTCATCGACATTTTGTACATTTTATCCATAACGAGCATTCATTTTAGAGTACCGTTTTGAAAAAAATATCGCCCAATGACGGCGTAAGACAAGCTGTGCGTAAGACTATCAAGCTCACTTTTTTAGTGGAGCCCCATCACCGCCAGGCGCCAACCGCGTATTGCTCACACTTGTAAATAAATCTGCCTGAGAGATAATAACGTGTTGCTTGGCTGATTAAATTGCGACTAACTAAAACTATATATTTATCTGCATAAAGATTACATGAAGTCAGTGTCCATATAAGGTTGCATAATAGTGTATTATTCTTATAATTATTAAGTAGAAATTGGGGGCTCACGCTGACCTGACCCTGTCAAATTTTAAATATATCGTAAGTGTTACTTAATAAAATTAGTCTCCAATATTTAAGAACCAATTAAGTCATTTTACAAAAAGCTAGACAATTTGCGATGCCTCATAATCATTTAACATAATGAAAATAATTTTTATTTAAACACAAACACATTCATTCATATGATATGTCATAAAATACATTTAGTTGGCTTTCGAAAGCTTTCGAAAATCATTCAGAGAATCTTGGTCAGGCAAAAAATGCATTGATAAACTCTAAATTTGTACAGTGTTAATCAGCCGGTGTAAGTCCGCAATTAACTTGTTGACTATACTGTATTGAATTCATTTTGAAAATGGCAAATACAATATGCATAATGAATGAGCACTTTGCACTTATCTAGGGATACCTATACCTACGTATACTATTTCAGCGCTGCAGTGAACTCAGTACCGTGAGCTGAGTATCGGTACAGGTAAACTTTGCACTATGTGTTTTAATTTCATGATTTAATTTCTTTTTGCAGCTCTTTTCAAAACTAATTTACTTTCTTCCGGCAAATATGGATACATCTGCTGCTAACAACGAGGAGGATATGGATTGGAATGTGGACGAGGTAATTAAATAAATTCATTTCAGCGTCTAGCGCATCTTTAAATTAATAATACCAAATCAGGTGAAAGGTGACCATGAGAGTGATGAACACTGGGAATTGCGTCGAAATTTCCTTCTCAAGAATAAGGGCAGTTATCCGAAACTCAGGCTCTTATCCCTCTCCCAGGTTTTTGCAAATCATGAATTTCTTGGATGCAGGTAAATTAACCTACCTACTTGTATAGGTTAAGTTAAGATAGTCAAATCAGGATACCCGTACGGTATCTCAATATCTGTTTCACCTACTTTTGTCAGATATCCAGAAGAGACTATGCAGCTGGTGGCGGAACTATCAGCCGGAATTGTAGAGGAATACCGGACGGCAAGACAGGGTCGACTTCAACGGACTTTTGTCAAGGCATCCGACGCTGCTGAGCGGAAATCAAAAGGCACTACTCCTCAAAAGTCGTAATCCTCCTTCTCCTATTTTGTACTTAAAGTAGCTCGTAGAAAATCAAAATTTTGTAAACCGTTTTTATACATGTTTTTCTCAGAGTAAATCATCTCACAAATTCGTTGTATACTTTATACTTTTATTCTACTAAACAAAAAAAAAAACGAATTGATTAAGCATCTTATAGACAACTCATATAGCATCCCCTCCTCCCTTCACCTTTTTATCCTTTCCAAAGCACTACTTTCTTCTGATTAATGTCTGGCTTGGTTTAACGCAGGTAGCATGAAACGAGTCTGGACACCAACCTCACCATCATTCGGTCAGACCAGATTCACCCCTCCAATGAAAATTTTTGTGCGTGAATCACCAGCACCACCCAGTCTCCCCACGCTTTCAGAAACCTGTGATACATTAAGTCCTGTCCCGGAACTCAGTCACGATGTTGGTGTCGTAGTAAGAATGGAAAAACAATTAGAAGCTGCTCTGTCCCAATATGGCGATGACTTGCGTGGCCTTGTGCTGGTCGATCAAATATTCCTGGATAAAGAAGGAGCCCTCCAGACCATTAATCGTTCATGCGGCATGTCACACAAACCGCTCAGAGTAGAGTATGGAACAGAGCCTAATTGCGGAACGGTCCAGTAAGTAATTAACTATCTATAGTCCATGTAATCACGATTAATACACCCAACACCATTCCAAACTGAATAAAGTTGTTTTGCAGATGTATCATAAAAATCGGGTCATCTTTTGTCCAGGAGGGAAGAGGTTTCAGCAAGGAGACGGCGAGACAAGAAGCTGCGTCGAGAGTCTTGACGGCGCTTCGTCAGCTTTGCTACACGATTGAGGTGTATGATGAGTTCTAATATATTAATAAGATTCATCAACTTAATTGGATCAACGTGAATAAACTCGGTCTTGTTGGGTGGTATTATTCTAGGTGAAAGCAAATGTCGTCGCAGCTACAGAGTTTGGAAAAACGGATATTCATAGTCACAGTTTGGGTAAGAAGGATAGCGACCACTCTCTCACAGAAAACAATGTCGGCAACAAATTGCTCCGTCTGATGGGGTGGAGCGAAGGAAAAGGTCTTGGGAAAGATGGACAAGGGATTCAGGATCCAATCAGGTGTGTTTTTACATAAATATTAAAGAGCATACACATATAAAGATGTGACAATAAACGGTCTTATCCACTCAATTACAGTGCGGCTTCCTCATCCGAAGTAGTGAAAAGAAGTCGACTTGGTCTCGGCATGTCGAATTCAAATGAATTTAACTTTGCTACAAAAGTGAAAACATTTCTCACGCGTCAAATGTGGCAATGTGACCAGTTTGATCTTCAATTCACTCCAGAATTCTCTCCCGACGAAAGGAAAATTATTCATCAGTGAGTCTTATCTGTATTTTATATTCCTGGCCAAAATTAACGAAAACCCTTACCATAATTTGAAATAAATTATCTATCTTCAAGGATCGCAGGACAGTTGGGGCTACGCAGTCGCAGTCATGGGAAAGGAAGTAACCGCTTCCTCGTTGTGTCCCGAAAAGTAGAATTGGTTCAATTGGTCCAAGAATTATTGACGTTGGGCGAAAGTGCCAAATATCGCGTGATACCTCCAGGCATTCTGAACCTACAGCAATCAACTGATCTCCTTCATAACAACAACAGCAATGTCACTAGTTGAAGGTGGCCAAAATATAGGCGTGAAATTATACTAGAAACTACGAGTAATTTCCACAGCATGACTGAGGCCTTATCAGGGATGAGACTTACTTTTTAGTAAATTGAAGATGATGTGATCAACTGCTGGACAAGTACAAACCTTATACAAATATTATACATTAATAAATCATGTTACATATTATTAGATAGATGTGCACTAAATTTTATTTCTATCTCAAACTGATCCTAAGAAGAAAACTACACCCGGTTAGTAATCACGGATTTTGATGCTCTTTTGTTGCATTGCATCCTATTAGACAGTATATCTGCCCATTTGCGCCCCACGCATCAAAATCAGTGGTTGCATACATCGCATCTCCTCCTAAATATGCAGAATAAGCCAAGTTCTAAGAATCGAAATCGACGACGGACTTGCTGTTTGTATACACTCTTCCTGCACTGAGGTTATTGTCCCATTACCCAATTTCATCCATGAACATTTGTCCCAACTAATTAGACCGTCTGTTGTTCTGCTTGTGTGATAATTGCTTCACGTCTTTTAACAACCCAATTGTGTCACTGGCTTTACCTCTCTACATATATTTTCCCTTTTCCCCGATAACAATAACGTAGCCAGTAATTCTACGAATTAAGAAATTTGGCAATGATTCCTCATCTAGGACCTGAAAAGATTTCTCTTTAAACGAATCAAGTCATACATACATACGCATACGCAAACATATATCTATATTTACATACATGCATCCGTGCCATTCCGTGCATACATATATTTATGTTTGACGAATTGGCTCGTATGACAGAGTTTGACATTAATTTAATGAGGAAATAAATCCTGTATTACATTTCATCTATTATTTCCATACACTTTGACAAAATGTGACACAACTGTTACTCTAACAAGCTTGACTAAAGAAACCGAATAACTTTTTCCTGAGCTTGCGGTGAACTTGATGTATACATAAACATAAGCACATATGAAAACAAAGGTTTGGTTAAGGGTTACGAATTTCCTGTGAAGTTTCACCACATTTGGCTTTTTTAAACGGGCGCATATATGATAATCATACTGTGATTGCGCATACTGCAAAATTTCCTTTTAGAAACTATGGATAGTTGTGAAACAATCCTAAGCATTTCACTAAAATGCCTCACGCCACATGAAAAATAACAGGAAAATAAGGAAACGTCTCAACTGAATCGTTTAATCCTCTGCCTCTTCTGAGTACATGACTCTCCATGAAAGTGTGACTAATGGGATTGACTTCGGAGCCAAGTAAATGTTGAAGAATCAAGACAAGGACAAGACATTCCTCAATTTATTTCATTTCCTCTTGCTCTTTACAATAAATTGCGAGCTGTTTGTGGAACGGAGCGAGGCGATCGTCGCTGCATGTTGGATGCTATTGGCGAAGCAGTATTTATTTGGTTTTCTAGCCTGATGACGATGCATTTCCCATGAGCAATATTTATGTTTATTTTTACAACTAGTGTTGGAACGTTTTTTTTGCAGAAGGATTGAGTCAGAGTGATGATTGTAAGCAGAACACTGTCCGTGTGCATGAAGGGACATGACACACCATGAGAAATATCCCCACACAAAATGACCGGTTCCATTAATTCAATTCAGGTGAAGCTGGTGTCCCGAACAAGGTGAAGGCAGGCACAAACCCACGACACCACACAAGCCGCAATGCAAAAAAACATGCAACTTTAGTCATAGGAAAATGGTCTGAGGTTGATGGCATCATCTTCTCATCCTCTAGCTGACTTTGCTGCTGCAAACCCGCACTCTTTCCCACCTCCTGTGGTGTCTGGAGCGGCCAAAAATTTGTTCAGTGCATCGCTGAGAGCTCGTCAGGCAACACGCGTCGTTTTCTGCGAAGCATTTCTCCTGTAAGCAGTAACACTCAAGTGATTCGATTTTGTAGCGATTCCTAGAGGAAATATGCCCCCAGCAGTGGACCCAGCCTTCGTGGGAGCCGGATCCAAACCGGGAACTGAAATATGGAGGATTGAGGTAGGTCAAGTTTGTCCCTCTCTGCGAAATAACGAATAAGGGAAGCGCATATGTAATTACTTACAATTAGTGTACATATGTATGTACAATGTACATACATAAAGTTGATGAGTCGGGATGTTGATAAAGAACGTCTTGGTCGCGCACGAAGGAAAAATATGCGGTCCATTCGATTTAATCTTAACGATGTGTAACGCATTCATTTTCTCCCCTTCAACACCTTCCCCCATTCCACTGCACGCCATTAACCCGACCCGAACATCTGCAAATATCCAGCTTTTTAAGCACATACATAAGAAAAAATATCTCATCAAAACTATCCAATCTATCCGAATGTAATCAGGGTATGTGACATAATATACGTGTGCAAAGTAACGGGAAGAATGGAACTTTTTATGCTGGTAACTTCTATTCTTAGCCTTCCAAGACTTGTGTACCCATGTATTTACCATATCACTACTTACTTAATACTTACATATGTATGTACACCTAATAATAATTAAACCTTATTTCCTCCCAATACCGCCGTAACTCCGAAACTCGCAATCACCACCAACTCAACTGACATCCGTTATATATTCGCTGAAATTTCGTTTATGCATAATTACTTCTTCGTTTGTCATCCATTATACAACATATTACACAACATTGCGATTACAACAACAAAACACAAACTCGGGCTCGAATGCTTGTTTTCTTATCCGAGTGAGAAAAGCTTTTTATGACCCATAATAATGTTATTGTGCTGTCATTCAGCTTATGCATCACCAACCATGCAACCCCCCGCGGCATCAACAACACAGAATCCTAGAATCTGCCAGACCTTACCACGAAAGCGATAAAATTATTTTTACTGATGCAGAGATTCGACATCGAGGATGATGATAGACGTCGGCTTGTGAAAAAATATTGCACTCCACATCGTGCCAAAAAGCATAATGATTATGCCACGCCAATAAAAACACCAGACTTATCAACCTAACTTTCTCGAACGCATTTATGACGAGACACGAAGGAATAGCTCATTTTCCATCGATTAATGTGAAAAATGTTCCTAATGTCGCCCTGACGGATTTCAATTTCTTTGCAGAATTTTCATCCCGTTCGGATTCCGGGCACGGATCATGGCAAGTTCCACATGGGCGACTCCTACATCATTTTAAACGTAAATCATGATATTGATATTTTTTTCCGTAATAATTACCCTCAATTAAATGCATTAATATTTGATGACAATTTTAAATCTAATACTTCCCAAAATTTTGGTTACTGCTTCATCCGCTTCATTTACATATGCTCATATCTAGACGAAACAGCTTCGGAGTGGAGCATTTGAGTGGAACATTCACTTCTGGATTGGCAAAGATACTTCTCAGGTACAGTATTCATAAGAAATGAGACGACAACTGCAAACCTTCATCAAGATGAGTTGTCCAGATAAGCACTCGTGCGTGCATATAATGATTTTGACTCGTGTTACGCAGGATGAGAAAGGCACAGCTGCCATCAAGGTATGCAAATCGTACATTTGTTAAGTGTATATATTTCCATAGGTCGATGGCTTTACTTACATATCTGTTTATTTATTACTCAATTTCTGGGTGGGTGTGGTTTGTTTGTAGGCTGTGGAGTTGGACGACATGCTTGGCGGAGCCCCCGTGCAGCACAGGGAATGTCAAGAGTACGAGAGTCCTCTCTTCTGCTCCCTCTTCAAGGGTGGGATTCGATACGTCCCGGGTGGGGTCAAGTCAGGATTCAAACACTACGACCCCACTGACGCACCTCCCCGTTTGTTCCAAGTTAAGGGGAAGAGAAACGTGCGCGTCAGAGAGGTGCAGATACATAAACTATTGCCTAGTTTTATTGCGAATAAGTCAAACGTCCAATGTCGCAGGTGGAAGTCTCTGTCCGTTCCATGAACAAGGGGGACTGCTTCATTTTGGACACACCCACTCTGATCTGGGTTTATGTTGGACGATACTCGAAACGAGTGGAGAGGCTCAAAGCAATCCAAGCAGCAAACCAGATTCGAGACCAAGATCATGGGGGCAGACTCAAGATTCAGATGATCGGTATTGACCAGAAATAATGAGACAAAGATATTTATTACTCATTTTGAGATGCATAAATTGTGGCTGAATGTGATAATTATCTTGCATGAATAGAGCCCAATAGTCCGCAGGACCAGGTTGACGCCTTCTTTAAAGCGCTGGGTGGCGGATCTCGTGCTGAGATGGCAGACCCTCCAAAGGAGGACGACGACTCCCTGTTTGAGAAGACGACTGAGAGCGTGGTCACTTTGTACCGTGTGAGTGACTCGAGTGGAGCCATCAAGGTGGAAGTCGTAGGAGTCAAGCCATTAAAGGGAGCCATGCTGCATTCTCAAGTGAGTTAGTGACTCGTGACATGTGCATAAAATGTTACAAATTAACGTAAAAAGTTTTCCTATGCATTTTCATTTGTTGTTTGAGCTACATGCTTACATTATTTATTAATACGAGTGACGAAATGCCTTATTGCGTGCGTGTGATATTAGGATGGCGTTGGACAGGTTTGTTATTAACCATTAATGAATATGAGATAAACTTCTTGATTAGTTCGTTTATTTATTGTGTACTTTGTTTTTGTACGGAATCACAGGACTGTTTCATTCTGGATGCCGGAAAATCTGGGATTTTTGCCTGGATTGGGAAACAGTGCACCCAGCAAGAGAAACTCCAAGCAATGACCCATGCCGAGAAGTTCTTGGTGGATAAAGGTTATCCAGCTTGGACTAAAGTGAGTGTATAAAATAATGCAGGATCATCATTATGGTAAAACATCACTTTTTAGATCCAACGCGTCGTCGATGGCGGAGAACCAACTGCTTTCAAGCAATATTTCTCTGTTTGGAGAGAGTCCGATATTGTGGCGCCAGTTTACGACAAAGTTTATACTCTGGACCGTCAAAAGTTAGGTATGAAAATTACCGTTTTCATTTATAATTGGTTTTTAACAATTGCTTGAATCTCTTTTTGGTCATAATTGTCGTCTTTCAGCCAACGAAGCCCCAAAAGCTCGATCTGCTCCTCCAATGACTCGTCAAGAACGGGCTAAACTTCTCAAAAACTTGGGCACGGTACTAATGTTGACCAGATCACAATATTGTCCTCACATTTGGATTAACTGTATATTTATATATTATGTAGGCCCTCGGATTCTGTCCCGACGATGGGACCGGACAAGTTGAGCTGTGGCGTGTTGAAAATTTTGAGCTTGCTCCCGTTCCAAGAGAAACATACGGGATATTCTTCGGCGGCGACTCCTACGTTCTCCAGTACACTTACAAGGAAGGGAACAGGGAGAAATACATCATCTACTATTGGCAGGTCGGTCCAACTCGTTTCGAAAATTTGGATAAATTTTGCTAAATATGCTGTCTAATTCTTCAGGGTACACATTCGACCCAAGACGAAAAGTCTGCCTCCGCTCTTCATGCAATCCGTTTGGATGAGAAGCTGCTTGGACGCGCAGTCCAAGTGCGCGTTACTCAAGGTCACGAACCAGCGCATTTCCTTCGCATCTTCAAGGGTCGCATGATTGTGTTTCTTGGGGGACATGCCAGTGGGTTCAAGAACGTCAGGGAGAACGACACCTACGACCCATCCAAGGCTCGCTTATTCCACGTCAGGGGAACTTGTGAAGAAGATACTCGTGCCGTCCAAGTCGAGCTGGCCGCAGCCTCACTGGATTCGGACGACGTTTTCATTCTGGATGGACCCAAGCAAGGGGTCACCTACATGTGGATTGGAAAGGTGGAGACCAAGATATAGCACCAAGTATTAAACTCGTTTTAATTGACCATGGTCTCTGTCGCAGCACGCCTCTGAAGATGAGAAGCGGATGGGGGACAAGGTGGACAAAGTCGTGTCGCCTGACCGGACAGCCCAAAAGGTGAAGGAGGGTTCGGAACCAGACGAGTTTTGGCGTCTCCTGGGAGGCAAAGGGGATTACACGAGAGACAACGAGGAAGTTGCTGACACTCCGGCCTTGTCAGCACGTCTCTTCCACTGCTCAATTGTACCACCCTCCACGAAGCTGGAGGTGGACGAGGTGTTCAATTTTGAGCAGGAGGATCTGAATGAGGACGACGTGATGGTACTAGACACTGGTGACGACGAAATATTCATTTGGATTGGCAAAGGAGCTTCCCTCGAGGAGAAGAAACACTCCAATAAAATGGCTGATGTATGCAAATCATAGGAATATCATGATCCAATCGAGTTTAACTGGCTCGAGAGTAAAGTAATAGGCAATGATGCTTCTTAAATAATTGCAGGACTACATCAAAGAAAACCACATGAGTCGTGGAGCAAATTGCGTGACAATTTCTATCGTAGTGAAGCAAGGAGATGAGCCGGACTCCTTCAAGGCCTTCTATCCATCGTGGGATGATAACTACTGGAAGGTATGTCATAAAACTCTTCATACTCGTTCAGTAATTCCCTTGTACAAAACTATACATTTGCCCCTCCTCTCGTTTTTAGTTAATTTACATATGTATAATAATGACATCGCTCTATCTTTTCAGAAATAAGCTCGCACGCTTTCTTTCTTTCTCTCTCTCTACCACTCTGTTTACTAGATAAATATCTAGATAAATATCTAGATAAATATCTTATTTCTGCTTCTTATTCGTTTGCATATGTGTCACCCGAGGTAAAACCAAAAAAGTGTTGTTTATCCGAATTTGTTTAAAAACTAACTACATGCATACGTTTTTGTAGTATAACGTATATCTGATTGTCACTAAGAACTTAATATTTTCATTGCATTTAGATTAAAAATGTCTTCCTTTTCCTGTTCCCTTATCTTTTAGACAGTACGATTGACTAGGTGTTGTTGCTTTTCACTAACAGCAAGTATAATTTTCATTGCCAAGTATAATTATGACACTGACTGATTGATCGAATCTATTTTGTAGAACATTCAAGATGTCAACTACAATTAATTGGAGGAGTTTATGCATAGCACCTACGGCACCAGAAGGATTTTACCACCTCAACAATGCAATCTTATTGTAAACCATCACCGGAAATATTGATTTACTAAAAACCTCTTTTAAATCTAAATTGAACTACATTCTTGATGTTGAGCACATACTACTGTCACATAAATATATGTATCTTCTTATGTTATTATTGTCGAATAAAGCCTTCATCGTCGGAATAATAAGTCATTATATAAGCTATTGTTTGAGCATTAACATTAAACACATGCAGATACGTAGCACCATTATACTATACATAACTAAATTTTAGTTAAATATTTAGTAAATATGTAATTCATCACATTGTATTACACTGTCTCACATTGATTCCAGTCGCAGAATGGGTGAAAGCAGTGACCTCGCCCAAAGGAAGAGTTCAAACATTGTAATTTTGGCAAGTAACCACCCCTCCATCAGAGTGTATCGGTAGCACCAAAAACGATTCACACACCGTCGAAAGTCCTCCTTATACACTGCACTAATACAATATTTGGACATTGTTGTAAACGACTTCATCGTTTTGCTCGTCTTCAAAGCATGTTCAATTCCACGAATAAGATCGTTCGTTTTAAAGATTAGAATCATCGGACGAGGGACGCGCTCTAAAATCTCAGATATTTGGGGCAAAAAATTTCCAATGTTTTTTCGAATTTTTTGTTCCTACAAAAACAAGCGATACATTTGTTAGGAAAATACGTTTTGACATAACAGGTTTGACATAACAGGTGACATGACAGTTTTTTGGAAAAACCTTACCTCTTCCGGCGTAAGTTTCTTTGCAACACCATCCTTAGACGAAAGTGATTCCCATGATCGTGCCGTCACCATGCAAGCAAATAGGCCATACAATTCACCCACGCCCAAGTTTGTCCCATACTCTTTAATCCCTTCCACATTAGAGTTGATAATACTGAGCCAAAAGTTGGCATAGTTGTAGCGAAATTCAGGAGAAAGCGTCTGCAAAGTTATTAAAGGTACGAATTAAGAAAGATATACCCATCAGTCAACTCAAACAAGTGTTAATATTTGACGATAATCCATATTATAGACGTCTTACTGTGTAGAGACCGTGGTCCAAAAGGCAAATCTGTGTATCCCCATTGACGTCTCGATTAACCATAAGATTCCCAGGGTGTGGATCACAATGGACGAATCCATGAGAAAATATCATCTCAGAATAAAGTCGGCCCACTTTTTCGGAAACTTCGCGAGCCGATATTCCATTTCTGTTGAGGTATGCGAGGTCGTTTATTTGTCCACCGTCACAATATTCCATTATCAAGACACGATCTGTGCTGTGTTCCCAATATACTTTAGGAATCTAAATTAATAATCAGAAAAATCCCATCATTATTAAAGTATGGTTAAATGTAGTACTAAATTGTTGAACCTTGAGCCATTTACAATGCGTCATTAGTGTTCGGAGCATATCTGCATTTTTTCCCTCATGTAAAAAATCCAGTTCTCTCGGCAAATTCTTTTTTGTCTCGTCCACCAACCAGAGCAACTTAAAATCTGGAAATATTAGTGCTGCAGTTCGGACAAGAATCTCCATTGTTTTCATATCCACGTAGGAATGCGCTCTCACATTGGCGTGCTGAACTTTTACAGCAACCGTTTCTCCAGTAGTTCGCAGTTTAGCTTTGTATACTTGAGCAAGCGATGCTGCCCCCAGAGCGTTCGTATCGAATTCAGAAAATAATTCGTCCGTGGACTATAAAATAGGAAATAAACTTAACTTGAGCCAAAATTGGATCACAACAGATACTGGCGCATAAGCACTATACCCACTTGAATCTTGAGATCTTGACGAATGACCTTGTATACATCGTCGAGGGACGAGAATGGAGCTTGGCTGTGAAGAATGCTCAGGGTTTCAATGTACGGAGGTGGAAGAAGATACTCCAAAGCCCCAATGTGTTGTCCCACTTTCACAAACACCCCACCATTAGATTTACACAGGGTCAGAATTCGTTCCGCGCATCTTTTATGGGTCTACGCAATGCACAATCAACAACTTATTTCAAAGACCATATTTGATAAAAAGAACAGTATCCTAATTAAATAATGTATATTACATCTGCCCATATCTGTTTGACTTGTTCCGGATCATCAGGCATGTGTCGGGAGTAGACGCTAAACTTGTAGTCAGCCGTAATAGCTGCGGTCTAACAGAATATAAATAGAACATTGCATAAGAAGTTTCAAGTTTAATTGTACCAAAAACTATTTAATATTACCGCATAGACAGCCCTCCCAAGCCGCACAGCTCCAATGGAATTGATGTCCCAATTATTTTGTGCGAGCGTGACCAAGCTTCCCACCGTGGTCAGACCTCCCCCAAGCAGAGCAATTTTCCGGAAACTCATTTCCGGACGGAGATTTTCAGGATTCTCGGATTAACTTTTACATGTCATAACGGATAAAATTTTAGTAACCTCTTTTCCACCTTTAATTGATACGTCATCAATAACTGTAATAATAATTTGTACTTTGGACATTAGTGACCACTTGCAATAAACTTTTTAGTTGAGCAATTCATACTTTATGGTTCCCATCAAATCGCACGCTAGCAATCAATCATGTTTCACACGATCAAAGTCTCAAAATCGCAGCCGCCAACTTTCCCACAAAGAGCGAAAGAAACCAGTGAAATAATTTAGCATGATGGACCATCATTGATGGTTTTATAATTCACGAATTCACTTCATATTTCATAGGACGGTGACACATAATCTGGCCTGACCATAAAGTAAATATGTGCATGAATGGAGATTCTGAACCGACAACTCCGGAACGGTGGGTCGCAACGGCCGAGGGTCGGGACAATGACAACGTTCACTCTTATGTTTGTCATTCGTTGGACAACCTTTACAAAGAACTGAACAATAACGGGAATAGCAGAAATCCTGCCCAGGTTGCAAACGCGGACAGACCAGTTAATTCGATTTGGAGCTTCTATTGGGTATAATTTTAAATTATTAATTTAATGGATTTCTGCACATTTCAATTTGCAATTGTATATTTATTTCTGACTTTCTCTATTTATTTTCTACTTTCAACTACCAGATCAAGAGCGGCTGCGTTCTGCAGGCATTGCGGAAACATGAGCAAAAAGGTCACATATTATTTACACCTTTCGTAATTGGGGAACTGCTTGCAGGAAAGACCGTGTTGGCCGGGGACTATGAGGAAGACTTGTTGGAACCTGTTGATAAGCTTATTTGTGTAAAAAACCATTATTTATTATGTCTTGATTATTAAACGTTTGTTTAATTAGCGTTAATTTTGGTTTGCATTATCTTGACTGTTTTCAGGTTCGCGTGAACAAAATTAAAAAGAAAGTCTGCCCTGGTCCCGAGAATAATGTAATGTTAGACACCCAAGACTGGCCTGTCGCGACAAATACTAACCAATGCAAAACACGTCGTCGCTTTGAAGTAATGGGAGATTTAGCTCAATGCATACAGTTAGTTTTTTTATAGCCATTCTTGACGTTCAAGTAATTGTTCTCTATATTCATCTCCTAAATAACTAAACTTACTTAAATCTAGGACATTCGTAAAGACGGACGATCTTCTCGTCATCACTGGAGCCACGACTTTACCTTGTAGTTCTGTCAAAGGAAACAAGATATTTAATTATGGACTAAATCATTCCAAAAATTACAAATCGCAAAAGATTTTCTTGTTTCGAATGGAGGTTAACTCATTTTATGTTTGGAAATTTTAAGTAATTGCTATTTTTTATAATAAATCTTGGTGGCCTTTGATTATTAGGACTCTCAATCCATCGACAAAGAAGCTTTTCGTTCAAAACTTCCCAAAGAATATCTTGGCCAAATCATTCTAAAGCGTGGCCAGAATGACCAATGCTTTATTTTCAGCACGAATAAGCCCTTCGCAGAAATTCACATTCCATTAGAGGATTTGGAGCTTGATGAAGATAGTCCACCAAATTCTGAATTTACCCAAAGTGACGAGGAGATGGATGTACATCAAAATAATTTGCGAGCAGATGAGCAAAATCAGCGACAAGACATTGATGACATGGAGGGTGACAGCAACCAGGAACAACAAGAAGAGGAAGACAACGAAGAACAAGAAATAGTTACCGGAGGAAACGAGAATTTTGTCCTAAGCAGCCCAGAGACATCTGAAGACGAAAGAGGCAGAAACGATTCTGATGACGAGGTAGCAGACGTCAACGTCAACGAGAGACGAAACGAGGAAATTGACCACCCAGAAAGTCGACCTTTTGTCAGTGACAATTCCTTTGAAAATTTACAAAGTTCGATACACCAAAATGATATTGAACAAGCGGACATTTTGAGCGAGAGGCTTCCATCACAAAATCTGAATTACTCTGATGTTATCAGTCAACGACTTAGTTCTCAAAATGATAACTCACATTCGGATCTCGCCAGTCAGCGACTTGGTTCTCAAAATGATAACTTGCACTTGAATCTTAATTTCCAGAATGAGAATCAAGAGATTGAAGTTATCATCGATCATAATCTTCATTCAGATTTTAGTAGCCAGCGATTTTCTTCGCAATCTCAACACCTGGAATTATTGCATCCTTCAAGTCAACCAACCAATGGACAAGGTTTGTCCAAAATTCTAGAGGTCCCAGTGGAGCCATTATCCGGCCAGTGTAATATTTCTGATGGGATTGACGGTGTTGAGAATGACCATACGCCTGAATGTAGTCACTCGGTTGACAAAGTTACTGCTGGGTCAACCTTCACGGTGCTCGAACTTGATTCTTCTCCAAGTTCGCCCGTGGATCGTCACGTTCAGGTACATACGATACAAACTAGGTCGTCAAATTACTGAATCTGATTTTGAATAATCATTTACTGTGTCCTTTTTTGGTGTAGTTTTTAATTAAAGAAGGGGACTCTTCACCACCGTCTCCTGAAGGGAGTGCACAACAACTTGAGGACCCCTTCGCTGGTATCCCGGACCCTGCTCAATTTACTGCTGCGACGCAGCCACTTTTTCGTACCTCTTTGCCTGTTGGTCAAATAGGAGCAATCATCCAGGGACAGCCATCCCCAACACCCCACACACAACCCCTGTGGTCCGACGTAGATCATAATCTACTTCCTAATCCAGCACACAAATTCCATGATTTACGAGCGCCTAAGGTAAAGACGATTTATCGAATATTAACCATATGCAATTCACCAAGATTATTAAATAATTAATGCGATAATAATTTACTTTACTAAATCCTAGATCAAGAAAAGGAAAATTGATCCTAAGAGTAAGAAAAAATTTCATTCACAAGGATTAGAGTTGCAGATACGAGGCGATGTGGTGGAAGCAGAAGGACCGTCCAGCAACGTTAGTAGGGGGCCGGACCAATTAATCCACGCTGTGATCGCCTCAAATAACGCTGGATTACAGCAGCAAGAAGAAGTGGAATCTGAATCCATTGATCAGATTTCGATTGAACACTGCTTCGTGAGACTGACGCCGATCGATTTCTTCCGAGGGTCAGTGATGCTCATGTATAGTATTAATACTGCGAAAACCGTGGGTATTTATTTGGAATTTCATGTTTTTTTTAGATCGTCGGATGAAGAAGACTGATCTCTCAACGTAAATCATGGGTCAATAAATTTGGAATATTAAGTTTTACTTGACTAAAATACTCGATAAATTTTTTCTGATGAATAGTTGATTTTTTAAGTTGCGCTATCAATCAGCCTGATTGAATCAAGGGTGATGAATAAATACAAAGTGTTTACACAGTAAGCCTTGATGGGTGTATCACTTTCATCAACAAATAATTTTTATATAATGTGGCCGTAGAGAATGAGAATGGTAAATTGTGCAGGTAAATCAAATGCAATGCTATCATTTTTGTTGACATCCTTTAATCCTTGTATTACTTGTAGGTTTAAGTCATTTAGCAGTGATCTTTAATTATTATCATGTAAACCTAACTTGCGTTGGGTGCAATCACCACTGGGAAAATCCCACAGGTTACTCTTGACCCGGTCTCTCCATTCATCAGCATGACGGATAATTCTCCGTCGATCTGCAGGCAAAAAATCTCTTTAATTTTTGCATGTTTACTAGCATTTTTACGAATCACTCGATTCTCACCCCGTTGAATCTGTCTGGGATGACAAAGTTGTCTGCAACCCGATACTGAATTCCATCCACAATGCTCCCCTCAGCCGTCTTATCAGCAATTCGGTTCACCCCTCCGTTTGGATAGTACAAATAGAGCAGCCAATTAACGTTCGAAGTCTTCGATTGTTCACATGTGTTGAAAATCCAGATTAGCTATGAATACTTACATCATTTTAAAATATCAGTTTGAATACCGTTTCTTGGGACAAAAACGAGATTCCAATTTCATATGTCGTTCCAGTAGAAACGTTGCACGGGGCGGCAGTGCAATCGGTAAGCTCCATTGAAACGAAACCAGAAGAACCACCTGAGCAAAATAAGATACATTTAAACATCGCTGCCGACCTTACAATGGATTAATTAATGCGTACTTCAAGTATTATTTTAATAGATGTTATTAAATGAATTACCGCAGCTAATTGCTCCAGAAACAACGCCCTGAATAGTGACTGGCTTTCCGGAAGAGGCGACAACCATTGCGGCAATAAACGCCACCACAGTTTGTAATTTTGATAACATTTTGAAGTTCAATTCAGTTTTTGAAAACTATTGTTCGTGAAGGGGAACTGGAATGAAGATTCGAGTGAAGTGGTCACCACGATAGAACGGTTTTATATATGAGCTTATCTGATTAAACCATACATAAGTGGGGCTAAAAGTCATTATCAACAAGTTATTGCATCACAGCAGACATGCATATATACCCAATTTTATGATCCGATCACGTCGTCAATACGTTATCAATCAATTAATTAATTACATCATCGTTGTCACCTATTATATGTCACCGATATCACCGATATTTGAAACTGCTTGACATAATAATTGAGTTGGGTCTGGACAAGAGCATCACGCTATAAAATCCAATTATTTAATTAAAGTAATTCATGCGCAACATGATGATGTCTTTTCATACTATTTTTAATAAATATTTTTACTGTTTTTATCTGTTCTGATGACGGGCAATAATATGATTATCACACATGACCTCTGTTAATTCGGGTGAAACATTTTCTGCCCAGTTTTATTTTTTTTAAATATGACTAAATAAGTAGAAATAATATTCAAATTAATTTATTTATGCATGGAAGCATACGACATTGCATTGCATGATAAGCTTTCTCATCAACAGATATTTATTATGTGTCCTAAAATAAATTCCGAAGTCGTATTGATGTTTGAATTGTTAGGATGGATGCAATAGAAGCAGTGAACTATTTCATCCACTATTTAATGGACGCTATCCAACATGTTGCAAAGTTCTTTGTTCGTTGACGTGCTTCCACACGCAGTGAAATGAAGTCGCAGTTTGTGCCATGTCCTTCTTTGTGTGGATTTTATACCAGCTGATGATGCCAAGTGTGTAGAACAACTGTAAATCACAAACAACAACGTCGTTGTTTTGTTAGTCACATCTTTCGCAGCATCAGGAATTAAAGGAAACATTAACCAGCAAAATAATTATAGCACTGCAGTCACTGTAGTCCGTATGTTTTATTGACTGACTAATTTTTAGAAATTCCTAAATGTTCATAGTTTAGAAAACGCGTAGAAAATATGAAGACTAAGAAAAAATAAGGAAACGACATTTACTTTCCTCGTCATTCACGTTGACTATTCTTCACATCACTTATTGCTGACGACGACCTTTCCTGACCTGACGACCTGACTGACACCACTAACGACGATTACAGAGAAAACCCCAAGATGTGGTCGCTCCTCATTGGAAAGTTTCAAAAGGGTGCTTGTCGATACCTCCTTCATCGTTATTTGGGCCAGTACCTGCGCGAAAAGGTCACCGTGGACCAGCTGACGGTGGACTTGTACAATGGAACTGGCTCCGTGAAGGACGTTAACTTGGATTGCGAGGTAAGAGAGCGAAGGTTCATTTTGGTCAAGTTATTGTTTGTGCAATACTATAATCGGGGACCTTTCTTTTTTTATAGGCCTTGAATGGTTTGGCAGAGCAACATAACCTTCCTATCGAGTTTGTGGAAGGATCTCTCGAGGAAATCAATTTCTCCGTCCCGTGGTCAAATATTATGCAAGATAGTTGCGAAATTAAGATCAAAGGGTTGCGGATCACACTTCAACCTAAAAGCAGGACGGACAACAATGGTAAATATAAATTCACCCACCTCAATAAAATTACTACTATATGCACATAAAAACCTAAGCTTACACATAAACTTGGCATTTCTGAAATTCCTAAAGCAACAGGAAGCTCCATGATAGACTCAATGTTTACGAGCATGGCGTCGAGTATGCAGTTGGCTGAAGAGTGCCTCAAAATTAGTGAGGATATCGAAGATGACCACGAGGGCGGAGGTAGTCAGGAAATGTCTGGATTGGAACATTGTGCTAAAACTATTGATGCAGGTAAAGTTAAGAGAGATTTTTAGCATGGCTCAATTGCAAATAGGTCACAAACATCCAACTTTATTTTTGTACAGTCCTTTCTCGTGTCAAGATAAGCTTCCACAACAGTATAATTAGGCTGGAAAAATGCCAACGTGGAAGTGATGTTGGAATTGCACTAGAATTCCATATTAATTTGTAAGTTCTTTCTTCAAGTATTAATCAAATATTCTTGAAATTCCAGCAAGCTTGTTGTTACTATTGTATTTTGTTAAACTTGCAGATGGGAATATTTCGACGATTCCTCCACCGAAACTACTCGACCAGATGAAAATGTTTACGAGTCTGCCTTCTCTCAAAAGAAAATCACTCTAGAAGGGCTCACGTGTCATACGGAAATATTCAGTTCGAAACAGCACTTTGTACATCAAGATGAGGCTCAACTTTTTACATCTTCAACAATGTCAAAGAGCAAAGACAGTGGTGACGACAATGAGAGTGAGGATGGCGAACAAGAAGATAAACCAGAACAACCAATAACGACTGTCCAGATTGGAAAATTTTCAGGTGTCCATGAGATTAAGCTGCAGGTCAAGACAGACGACTCGATGGCTGGCCCACAGGTCTCTGTAGATTGCAGCCTTGGCTCATTAATTGCATTACTGACTCCTCTTCAAGCCCATATTTTATACGACCTCATCAACGAAATTGTGGATCCTTCGGAAAATACAAGGTGGTCAAGAGGAATATTTATCGCTGTTTATTTAATATTTATTTATTTATTTATTGTTTTGGACATATTTATTCTAGTGAACGTGCCTTCAACCGAAGATCTTGCAGTGAAAAACCAATGGACTCTTACGATTTTAAACGTGTTGAAAGGGAACTTCAAGAGCGGGCCAAACCAGAAAATATTGGGCTCACTGGCCTCTCACAACATCAAGGATGGTCTTCTGTTGGTTATGGTAAACATTTCTCGTATATCTTTATTTATAGATTTACACATTCGAACATATATATCAATTTTAATTTAATGTCGCTGTTATCATGTATGTAGATGAAAGTGACGACGAGTTTCAACCCCTCAAGGGTCGTAACATGTATAACAGCTCAACCTCCAACTTTATGAATGCGTCTGTCGTGTCTAATTCTTCTTTGAACTCGTCTATGCATCAATCCATGACTGACAGTCTCAATATCTCGGCCTATAAATCTGCCTACAATTACTCCACGAGTCAAAATGGTATGAGTTTGATATTTTATGCACAATTTTGAATCAATACCAGCATTTTTTATATACTGTTAAATGTACAGGCGTATCATCATCATCCCAATCGAGTGGCTCGGAAAAGACAAAATTTTCCATCTCTTTCGCATCGGTGTCAGTCCTTCTTCTACACGAAGATATTTTAACTCTTTCAAAGTCTGATGCAATCCTAGTGGATAGTCTTGTCAAAATGCAACAGATTTCCAGGCAGTTTTTCCAGCAGCTGTACTACTTTGGGGCTGCGGTTAAGGGAGAAAAGGACATTGCCGAAGTCCGTGAGAAGATGAATGCCGCTTGCGACCTGAGTCATCATCGCCTTATTGGTGCACCATTAAAAATTAAGGGAAATGTTCGAAGTACGACATCATCCTCCTTGGAGACGTTTGGCACACTTGCCGTGGGATATTTTGAACTGATTGAGTCGCTCAAAGATAAGGGGGCACATCCCACCACGAGCACACCAAATCCGGAATGTATTGAGGTGGACTAATTTTCCTATATGAATATTATTATAATGCCTGCAATGCAATCGTTTATGTAAATATTCACTAATGTTAAACATTTGACTCGTTGGCTTAAAGGTCCTGACGTTCCCTCGAAATTTCGACCATGGGAGCACCCAATCTTTAAAAATGGAGTTTAAAACAGAGAGCCGCAAAGGAAAAAGTGTCCAAATTGGAGGAAAAAGCAAGACCAGTTTAAAGTTCTCGTTAAATGAGTGTCGCGCAGAGTTTGACATTTCCATCGTCGATCGAATCAACTCGCTGATTAATTCTCCACTTTATTATTACATGAAACCCAAGGATCTTCTGAACCCGGTGAGGGATTAGTAGTTTGAAATTATTGCTCATTTGTGCATGCTATTTGCACACTAAGTTGTCTATCTACTGAAATTGTTGTTGTTGTTGTTGTCGCAGTTGTTTGTGAACACGCATCCTATTCCGAGAAGCCAAAGTGTGATCCGGATAAATGTTAAAAGTCCAAATTTCACGTTAGACTTTAGGTTCGTTCGTTAGCTTACATATTTCCCATGTGGTTAAGATGTGATTAATCGTATTGCATATTTTCTCTATAGATTCCCCATTCCAGATTTGAGACCGATTGACGACAACACCAGAATCCCGCACTGGATCCGGAACTTGCATGATGATTCTATCACTATACAAATGGAGGAATTAGACTTCTCAACTGCAGTAGCTACTTCCTATGACGTTCTAGAATTTGATACTAAATGCCACGAGGCCAAATTGTTTTATAAGGTTTGAACGAGTAACACCTTGATTGTTGAATCAAGATTGCTGTATTCCGTGATAACTATTGCGCTTGTTATAGAAAGCACCTGGGGAAATTCCTATCCTATTTGCAACTGCTTTAGCTGATGATCCCGAAATTGATGGAATGTCCATGCGCTCACAGGGATTGGATTGGCCCAGGTGCATAATTACAAACATTGGGATGGGGCAACAATAACTATTAACTAAACAACATTTTTGGGTATTGTCTCATTTGCAGAGTTTTGGTATGGATCTCTCCAAGAGTGACAGCAGCCATGGTGGAAACAGAGTCTGATGAGAACGACACGCTGGACACTATGAATTTTATGACAATGCCAAAAAGGAAGCCATCTCCATTCAGTTCTAAGCGTATCGTTCATGAAACTTCCAGTTGTGAAGATGACAACGAATCAACTCGTGCGTAACACGCAATCGGTTTTTTTTGTATTCTTTATGTAACGTATGGATAAAATTCTAGAGGCGAGCGAGAGCGTGATTCCTGGAGATCGGAATGAAATGAGCGAGTTTATTGAAAACACGAATAAAAACGTGATGTATAAAATCGATCTCAACTTTAGATTCGTGGAAGTATCGCTCCCTTCGAAAAACTTTTTTGAGAAAATCTACAATAGGTAATTGTATTTATTCAATTCGTGTTACAGTTGACATCACAAAATGCTAATTGGTGTATCCTAACAAAACACAGGATTGGAAACGACTTGCTTCTTTGGGAACCTTCCTGCAATACAAAGCACCCACTACCGGACAGATATGACTTTAGATCCCACGCACAAGCTGCATTTTCAATGTGCAAGTCTGCACTTCGATTCGGTAGGGAATCTTGTTCTTAAAATTTTCAGTAAACCAATAGTTTAGTTCTACATCAAATGTCAGTAATCTTGTAAGCCTTGCATTTAATTATTTTAGATCCAGATTCTGATGAGGAAGCTGACACGACCGCGTTCTATACTCCATCTGGAAATGCAAACAAGTCTGGGCGACATGGTGGAGGAACGCCTTCAACTCCTCCCCCTTTGAGAACTGGTCAGAGCGAAGTTACCCTCTGTCTCTCCATCGGAAAAGGAATCAGCTCTTTCTACACTCCACTTCAGGTATTTATTTGTAAATATACTTTCCCCAAGAAAATCCAACCGACTGGATCAATCAAGGAGAAGGTTTATCTGTTCAATGTAATATATGAATATTTTGGGGGTTTTGTAGGATGTATTTGGAAACCCCGTTTCTGATCAAAAAGGTCAAATGTCTTTCAAAGTGGAGCAAGGGAACGTGTTCTTTGTTTCTGGTTATAAAGGAGATCCTAACTTGGGTTTTGTTTGCATCATTGCTCAAAAGGCAGAACTGCACCACTCTGGTAAGAGACATGATGTGTAAAAGCTATGCATGAAAATATTACCTTGTAGAAATTGATGATTAAACTAAGGTTCAAAAATTGGGTTGTGCAGATTGTATTCGAAATGGAGATCCATCTCCACGCGTCACCTCCGAGTTAGTAAAAACCATTTATCCCAGCGAGGAAGGGATGCTGCCTAGTCCACCTTGTTCCGATTCTTCCAGCTCTGACATGCTCTCCGTTGCAATCAAAATCGACCGTGATTCATCAAAAAATTTGAAGGTGGGTTCAATTCACACATTGCCTAACTTGTATCTAAATATTTATGCATGCATAGTGGGTGGACTAGTCTTGTAAATAATATGCTAAAACTTCATCATGCAGGTGTTTAAAGTGGCCGCAGGAATCCGCGAAGGGACTCTGGATCATAGAATCTATCTCCCCAATAGGAACTGGTTCTCACAACTGACCGACTTTTTCGACGTTACCGACATGCCAGTCATTGGCTACACTCCCTCCGTTGTTCTTACAGAGTTGCATCTCCACTTGTGGAATTGTGCGGTCGACTACAGGTACTCATGGACTATTTTTGGTCTTTTACTTAACTTTGTGTTTCATACTCAAATTTGCTTGCATGTCCGACCCATCTCTTTAGACCACTGCATATTCCACTCCGATCCGTCCTCACAATGGAGACGTTCTCCATTTCCAGCAATATTGCTGCCGCAACGAGCACCAACGTGCTACGATTCATGGCTGAAGATGCTGCATTCTTTATCAGTGCTAAACCCAACCCATCCTCACTCCGAGACGACTACGTGTCAGTGATGGACATGGACTATTTTGAACTCTCCCTCCGCCTCTGTTCCAACCGTAACTCTAATGCTCCCAGAATCGATTTATCCGCTGCCAGCAATGCCCTTCACATTCGAACTTGTAGCGACGTAAGTGAACAACTCTGCCAAACTGACAATGAGACTCGTGTTTCAGATTGTTTCTGGCAACTTATTTGTATTTTGTCATTTTTTATGTAGTCTTTCAAAGGCCTCCTGGACTTGCTCACGTATTACACGCATAAAGGAGATCTCTTCGACCCCGCAGCCCAACGAGACACTGACAGTTTATACAGTGGGGCTGGAGGAAGCCTAGGAGGCGGAGGACAAAACCTGTCTTGCTCCCCAATAAAGGAAAGTTCTTCAGAACCAGCTCTCATCACCACGGAGGAACTTCCAGAACTGGGGGAAAGGAAAATGTCCGCCTCTCACTTGGAGCATGTGCACGACCTGGTAGCCGAGGCCATGCTCGATGCTGACTTCGGGCGTAACAAAAAAGCATCAAAAACCAATTCTGGTACTCCCCATCATCGAAAAGATTTTGGTGCAGGTGAAGTCAGTCAACAGCCCAGACCCGTCTACGACCTCCATTTCGCTCCTGACTTTGGTGACGTGTTCCAATGTAAGGATACTGATTTTTATCAAAATGACGACTCTGCAAGAAGCACTCCGCTGCCCAGTATGCCTATCATGGAGTCGTCCAACGGACTCCCGATCGATATTCAGCCTAGCGATGAAGACGAGGAGGAGTTTTGCATTTTGGAAAATGATCCAGGAGTTGGAATAATTGTGAGATTTCATAAATGTGTTGCCAGCCATTAGCCAAGCTTGTTTAACCAAGTGTGCAATGCTCCGTTAGAGTTTTTACTATTATACTTAATATTGGTTGCTTATTTAGCGCAAAAATGGAGAGCCAGAAGCCAGAGTGTTAACAGACGAACCGATTCGTCTTATTGAGAATTATTTCACACCACCAGCAGGGAAAATGGATGCCCTGAAGGTTTGACCAGGAATTTACAATATATTTATAAGCAAGACACATTCAAGTATATAAAAGTCCATAATGAACAACTTCAGGCTCCGAAACACTACCCCAGCCCAGTCGATAAATACTCTCTTAAGGAAATGACGATTGTGTGGCACTTGTACGGCGGACTGGACTTCGGGTTAACGCCATCCAGAAAATCATCTGGAAAAAGTGATGAAAGGGGATCCTCGGAAACGTATGAAAAATTAATCTAAGGAACTATATAAGTAACATTAACTGATTCTGGACTAAACTTATTTTCAACCATTCGTGTTCAGCGTGTACAGCGATAGTTGGAAAGAGCAACAGAATGTTCATCAAATGTTTTACGAACCTTCAGAAATTGATATGGCCATTGACGCCCTGAATCCGGGCGTAGTCTTTTCTAAAACGAAAGCATTCGAGGTATACTAAATCATTGCCTATCGTGTCGTGCATACGAATGTATCTGCGTGACATGTACATTTCAACACTATTATAGAGCGCCTGGGAAGCATATGAAAGTCCAAAAAACCCGAGAAAGCAGCTGCCCGATGGTTGCACTTCTTGGAGACAACAGGGTGGGAAAGGCCGACGACACGATACTCTCGTCGAGCTTCACTTGAACAAGGTACATTTTTAGCCATCCTCCCACGGCGTTGTTTTTTTTATACATAGGTTAAAAATTTCTGTTTCCAGATAAAATTCGTGCATGAAATCTACCCCGAGACGACCGAGCAAGCGTCGCGTCAAGTGATTTTGATAAATAGCGTTGAAATTTTGGATAAATTAAGATCTTCCCAGTTTAACAAGCTTGGTAAGCTAAACGTGTCGCTGTTGGACCGCGTATGTCGAATCCTAAATGAAATTTACTCTATAATGTTCACAGCCTATCTCTACACCACACCCAACCGACCGAGACAGACACATGCCAACATGGTGATGATAAAAGCGGCTCATATTCGCCCCGATCCACAATTGGTCATTGAAGAATGTTGCCTCAAAATATCTCTGCTTCCATTCCGTCTCAATGTTGATCAGGATGCGTTGCTTTTCATCTATCAGTACTTTTCTGATCTTAACGTCAAATCCGATTCGGAAGGTGTGTGTTACTTCTTGAAGATTGAAGAGAGTAATTTAAGAAGAATTATTTTTTCAGATGAGGATTCCATTTCTGGTGGTCGATTTACGAATCCGCCAAGTCACACCCCTTCCTGCGAATCACTTCCCGTGATGACGGTTGGAGACTCTGCTTCAGGGACAGTCAACATGGAAGATGACTCCTCATCCAATCTTCTCATCTTTAATGAAGACCCCTTTGGCATGGATGACAATGTTTCAACATGTTCTAAAGATCCCTCCATCGATTCTAATAAATCCTCTACCCCAATTTACTTCCGGTCAGTCATAGCAAATATGTTGATGGCAATTATACATCTACAAAGTCTTAAAAATGTCGATCATATAGCCCATATTTATTTGTTTGTATGTATTTCATGTTTGCGTGTATAGACAAGTAATATTTGCTCCCGAAGTTCCAATTCGGTTGGACTATCGTGGGAAACGTGTTGATATGACGCACGGTCCTCTAGCTGGGCTCCTCATGGGCCTGGCACAACTCAACTGCTCCGAAATACGGCTGAAGCAGATTTATCACAGACACGGGTATGTTTTTCCTTTCTCATCCCATCAAACATGGTCCGATAGGTTTAAACCGATTTGGATTACATTACTCCACACAGAATTCTCGGATTTGATCGCTTGGTTGCATTCCTTATCAACGAGTGGGGGACAAATATTCGTAAGTTTATCATACCCTTTAGAAGTTTAAAACGTTGAAATTTCGTAAACTAATGAAAACTAACAATATATTTAGAGAAGAACCAACTACCCAGCTTGCTTGGAGGCGTGGGACCCATACATTCTTTTGTTCAGCTGTGTAAGCATTCATTTGAAAACGTACCACCACGATTTAGATCATGTCTCATAATGCTTTGACACTTTGTCTGTCGAACAGTCCAAGGCGTCCGCGACTTGTTCTGGCTTCCGATTGAGCAATATCAAAAAGATGGCCGTATAGCGAAAGGACTTCAACGAGGAGTCAACGCCTTCTCCACCTCGACAGGTAAATCTTATCAGCATGGTCAGTTTATACTCGGATTGTATGATGATTGACTTTGAACAATATACAAAAATACCATAATCATCATCATCACCCTTACATTTATCTTGTAATAATTGTAATTAATTTTCCTAACCTAGCCATGGCCGCCTTGGAATTGACGAACAAGCTGATTCAGACTATTCAAGGAGCAGCAGAATTCACGTATGACATGGTATCGCCAGGTCCAAGCGTGCAGCAGAAGAGGAGACAAACCTCTTCGAAACGGAGGAAACGGTACACTCAACCGGGCGATATTCGAGAGGGCATGACAAACGCATACAACGTCGTTCGAGAGGTATTTTAATGCTAGTACAGAGAGGAAATTATACATGGAATTGCTGCCGAAAAAAGTGAGGAGACCACATTCTAATACGCTTGATTTTTTTGTATGCAGGGCCTGGGCGACACGGCACACACCATAGTTCGCGTTGCAAGTAAGGAACACGAGCAGAAGGGAATATCGGGTGCAGTTGGCGGAGTTCTCCGACAAATCCCACCTACTGTTGTTCGACCCATTATTCTCCTCTCTGAAGCCACTTCCAACGTCCTGGATGGATTCAGGTCTCAGTTGGAGCCAGAGTTTAAGAAAGAAAATGAAGAAAAGTGGAAAGAAACGTAGCATTCGAGTCTTTTGACACCGTCGCATCATTATTTTTCCTATAGGTTGCGCAACAACTATGTAATTCTCCTCGATCCCAATCAAGACTACGTACGTGAACACGTGAATCAATCAATCAATCGCAATTGTAATAAAACTATACTTGTTTAATATTTAGTACATCTTATTTATTTATGAATTTTAAGGTCGCAATAAAATATCGGTAAACACAAACAAAAGTTTTCACAATGTTTTCTTTTCCTTCAACTCTTGGAGCAGGCTTTGGCTGTAAAATGATCTCTGGCTACTACCTGTGAACATTTGAGTTTAGTCTGTCACACCCCATAAAGTCCGTCACTCACATCCATTTGCTTTCTTCTCATCTCTCCAATGAGGATGGTGATGAGAAGCCACCCATCCACAACTCGCCGAGTTGTGCAATCTCTATATTTACGACAAGAGGGACCAGATCACACACCACAGTGTTTGGCATCATCATCATAAATACATCCATCCATTATCCCACGCAAGCTTACATCCGTACGTACGTACGTTCGAAACCTTGCCGACTGCTTGCTACATAAGTAAATACATACTCAAAGTATAGGGGAGCTGCATACGTATAAAAATATCGCAGTGTGTCCCACAATGGGCGAACTTATCACCCCAGAAGGAGGAGGAGAAGAACAAGTCTCATCGGTGAAAGTGAGTGAAAGTCAAGTTATTCTTTTGCTCCAAACTTTATCCCATTCTTGGTGATCCAGTGGGAGATGGGATTGGACAAAGCGAGCGAGCGAGTTCCAGGGAGCAGCAGCAAGGAGGCCAGCCGTCCTACGTATGTAGAGAGAAAGTTGGAAACGAATCAAATGATAATATGGATGAGTTGGAAATAAGTCGAATTCTTCGTTCTCCCATTTTCTGTAATTTCATTTTATTCAGTAGTTCTTGTTGGACTTGTGTAGCGTTGCTCTTTTGTAGCACAGCGCCGTACACATGCACACACGTTTACATTTATCCGTACATTACAGGACACATATATAATATATATTTATGTATATTTAGATTTACTATCCTCTCTGAGTAGATGATGAACTTAGAGTAAATATTAAATGAACGGGAAGTATGGATCTGTGCATAGTAGGTAAGTGAGTAGTAGTACGGGGGATATACATACTTATGATAACAATAGTCATGTAGTGGGGCCGGCTGCTTAAACTCTGTTACAATTAGTACACTTACTTATTTAAGGATTAGAGGTAAAAAGATATTATTGACAGTCGGGTTGCTTTGTATGGTTGTGTGTGTGTCGCATTTCTAACATAGTATTCTTATGTATGTAAGTAGCTGTTTGGTTTTTGGTTAGGTTACCCCGTTTCGTTTTCCTTTCAACTTTCTCCTCCTCGTATAAATCGGTTTACATTTTAAGAATAAGAAATATGTAGCTCAGCTCATCTTCAGCCTCTCTTCCGGCCGCGGATCAGTTCTAAACATGTATTAAATATGTGTAGCTTGCTTAAGTAGTTAGTTAGCTACGCAGGTAGTAATGACAAGGAGATATTTTACATGTAGGTACACACATTTACATATATCATCGTAACAAGTAGAGACTTTTGGGAGGGTGTACATACACACGTACGTACGCACGCTATCTTGTCATATCAAGTCAGTTTTGGTTTGGTTGGTTTTTGGTTATCTCTAGATAAGCTCCTAATATAGTATCATGAAACAGTTTGATCGTCATTCTCATCGCATCCTTCCACACATCACGAAAAACAAGACGGCTTTCCCATTTTCCCTGTACACACGTATAATCTACTCTTTTCCTCAACCAACCTTCTCCCTCTTCAATATTTATTCTCAAGTAATTAAAAAATTCAAGTGTTCAAAAACCAGTGATTTGTTACTCCATCGTGATTTCCTTACGGTTACCAATTTGTACTTGGACACCTCCGCCACCTCCGCCCATCAAAGCCCACCCTCACCCAAGTTTTAATGAAGGGCTCCATTTCACCCTCTCATTAGGATGGAGGAAAAGCTCTTTCGTTCTTTCCGCAATTAGGGAAAGGTTGAGGTCGGCTTCTTCCTCGTCTTCTCAGCACCAGAACATCAATCCCATTGTAATACTAACTCCTTCCCAGCCAAATTCCAACCTGTGCCATCACCCACATGACACAAACATAATGAAAATGTTAATAATATCATAAAGATAAAAATTTTACAACCAAGTTTATACGACTTGTTCATTGTGAAATAAAAAATACTTTCTGAGTAGTCCTTGTATCTCGAGGTGATCTTGTTGACGGCAACGCGAAGAGAATTATTTTGCAGTTTACTTTCCCCAGTGACAATAAAAATAACTGGATTTTTCTTCGAGTAATAATACGACGGTGGCTCGACACAGTTTTTCTGCCCGCGTACGTACGTACATAAAACAATGCACGAGGATGACGTAGAAATAATAAAGAGTAAAAGAATAAGGTAATTATGTAGAACAGGAAAAGAGAGCTCTCACAATTTGCATGCATTCCACTCTCGTCTCAAGTTTCACTTCTCACAGGTTTGACATACCACGTCCCACACAATCTGGAGAAAGCCTGTTATCTGGATCTCGTCTTGTGGGTGTGTAGGTAGGAAGGCTTTCTTTCACGTCTGGCCGCATTTTATTACTACTCACTAAATACATATTTACGAATCTAGCTTTCTCTCTTTCTGAAGGGAATCTCAGTTTTGTTAGCACACACACGTTTCCGTCTGTTTAGTTACCTGACACACACAATGCAACGTCCCACCAACATGTACACCCACCCACCCACGCAGGGGAAGAATATATAACCATACATGAGATGTTGCACTCTAGATAAGTAAGTATGTAGCAATTATTATACACTTAATCTAAACAGATGACACACTTACTTAAATACACTTATTACATCTTGTATATAGTTCTCTGCTAAAATGTCATGATGATTTTCCCAACTAATTTAATTACTTAGATTACAGTTTTCTTCGTCTCGTCCTCCTCCGCACTTGTACTTATTCGTAGCCCCTCCTCTTCTCCTACTCAAGAAGAGTCACCTTCTTTGGAATACAAATTGGTTACAAAAGTCCCACCTTTATTTCTACATAAATGTTAAATAACTCATCATATTTAATAACATGTAGCGTTGCGTTCAATCAGCTTACAAAAGGAATAATCTACTACGCTTAATTTGACATTTTACTTTTTCATGTTTTTTTATAAAATAATTTAAACACGCCAAAGAGCTTTTTTTCTTTGGTTGGTTGACAATGTTGATTGTGTTGGTTGGGTTGCATACAAAGTAGTGGGAATATTATTCTTTAGTTAAGAGGCTATGATTCGTCATCGCGCTTAGCTTACAGTTTATTGACTAAAGTAATGGTTGTAACATAGTAGAGTGTGGCATTATCTTCTTGCATACATTCACCATGCACTCTACATGTACGCAAATAGAGCTCTGGTTCGACACGGATGGTTCGAAGGAGGTTGGGAAAAGGCAAAGAAAAAATAAATGCTGAGGCAAGGATGCTATAAAAAAAGGTAATAAGTCTGAAAAAATTATTGGTTTCTCTTCTGCTAAATTATTCCTGGAATCTAAGGATAAGTATGAACCAACCATAATTACTTTTTGAGTTGGGTTTCACATTCCAGTTTACGTACTTGGAGCAATAACAATATCTCATTTTTCTCTAAACTGCGCTGACATGGCCGTGTTACGAAATGTAATGCAATCAATGGTACGCGAGGCGAGCAGGCTGATGACATTTATTACTTGTGACAATTTCAGACTGGTGGAAGAAAGGAAAGCCAAGTGACCACCCCACCAGCACCACCGCTGTCGCCACCAGGACGCTCTCTCAAGGGAGCTCAACTTTCATTTCAGGAGGAGAAGAGACAAGGACGACGACGACGTGTTTGGTTGGGGCTGATGAGAGGACAAGCAAGGAGAGAGAGTGAGAGTGAGAGAGAGAGTTTAGAAGACATAAAGCAAGAAAAGGTTGGGGATCAATCGGGGTGAAAGTGAAAGTAATAATAAGAAGAAGAAGGAGACGAGTTTGGAGGAAAATCATCCGCCCGCTGGCGTCATCTCGTCATGATGATGCTGATGAGAGCTCACTACATAGTCGCCATTATTCCGTTTCATGGGAAAACGCTGCATGCTATTAAATATTGAAAGGGATGGGATTAAATCATTCCGAAAGCTTGCATTTTATTCACTAAAAATAAAATGCATGACGCGCAGGAGATTTGCGAAGATGGTTTATGGTTTGTGCTCTGCTTGAGTTCATGGCATTTTAAAAATTGAATCAGTTTGTAAACTCTCTCTCGGGACGAATCACCCAAACTCTGTCCTTAAACCTAAATGGCCCTTCCTCTCCTCCTGTTTCCTCTCCGCTGCTTCGACACGGTGCAAAACTGCGGGTTGTGTAACGGGGGAAAACAGCATCATTCGGTATTGTTGTAAATAAGTAAGGACTTGAAAGCACCACCTCCGCCGACCTCACAAGCCTGCCACATACGGACGACGGAGAAGACGGAGAAGAAGGAGACTGGGATGGATTGAATAAAGGATCAAGTGCATTTTTTGGAGTCCTCGCAGCATAGTAATTTCTCTCCCGGCCCGTTAACTTTGCACCACCACACCTATTTATTTGCCCTTTTCTCCGGCTCCCTCCCTCCACCTCCTCCTCTCCCCAATTCATATTCAGGTCACATCCATCTCAACTTCTCATTTCCAACCCAACATACACAGACCTTCCACCACCACCACCACTCCTAACACCACCCATCCTCCTCCACCTCTCGCTCTCTCTCCTGCACAACCGGTGTCGCCTTATCGATCCGTCAACCATACAATCCTTGCAGCACCACCAGCAACCACCACAAAAATGAAATGAAAGCAGACAGGAATCCTTCAAACTGCTCCAACCGATCAAACCAACGAACCAACTTTCTTTCTTCCTTCCCCACAACGAGGCAACTTTCTCTTTGTTTTATTGGAAGGAGGGAGTGTGAGGAGATCGCAGTGGTGGAATCATATTAATTTTCATCTCCTCATCGTCCCCATCATCCCTCGCTCACCACCACCACCACCACCGCCAACTTCCTCTCACCGCCTCTTTTCTCCTCGAGGATCTTCAAGGGCACAGCGTCGTCGGTTATTTGACTGTCACTCCACTCACTCGAACAGTTTTCTCTCCTTTATTAAAGTGTGTTCAAGTGTGCAACCCAAAAGTGTCCATTAAATCCACTCTCTCATGGTGAGTCAGGAGAGGAGTTGCAAGAAATCTGGCAAACCCGGTGGGACAAGAGTCACCCGGGACTTGGGACTGGATGAAAATAATAATGCTTATAATGACACATCATCCTTCGATAATATGCAATTTATATGACCAAACCCACACACACACGGAGGCGGCCACTGCGGATGGAGGAAGATGAGGGGGAGCTCAGAAAGAGGAGATAAAACTACGACGGAGAAAGATTAAAGAGGAGAATTGTCTCTCCATTTCCGGTCTCTCTCTCTCATTTCCATCCCAACTTTGTGTCATTATGAAATGCGAGTGGAAAGGGGAGACCTGCTGGAGGTGGATGATCGAGAGAGAGAGCGGAGGAAGAGTACGAGAGACCAGATTCACCAGGCGGAGTACATAATACGCAGAATGGCACTGTTTGAATAAGCGGAGCAGGTTGGGTTGGTCAGAGGAAACTTTTTTCTTCCTCTCTGGGCTCATCTGACTACATGGAGAGAGAAAATAATGACGGGGATGAGAGGGTGGTCTGGTGGGACGGCGAGCTGGGCGACCGGCCGGTGGTGGTGGTTTATGGCCCTGGAGAAATTCTAGTGGCGTGGCGAGATCAAAGGATAAGTCATCTGATTGTCTCTGGGACTCAATTGATTTGGGAGCTGGGGATTCGGGGAGAGAGAGAGAAAGTAAGAAAGCAGAGAGAGAGAGAGAATTGGAGGGATCAAATTGGTGGAGATCAAGCCCGTCTTCTCCTTATCATCATTTTTCGAGGTGAGTGCATGAGCTTCACTCTGATGGACACGGCCTGGAATGAGACCGAGAAAAGCGACCTCGGAACTAATGGCTATTTGGGAAATGAAACACTTTTTAATCAATAATGGTCACCACCACACCGCACCCATCTCATTCCGCACTTGGGTCACGACTCCCCTCTCGCTCGCCCTCCCAGCAGGACAAAGACAATCAATCCACTTTTCATTACTTTCCTCCTCACTTTCACCACCTTTCTTCCTACTCGTTTATTGCCTACCAGTTTGCCCACGTGCTACCCCTTCAACCACCACCGCCGCCATGTTGACTCAACTCCAGTTAACCCATTCCCTCGAAAGTAAAGTCTTACACAACAACAACAACATCTTGGTTTTAAAAAGCTTACACAACGTCCCTTTGCCAACATCTTGAGCTACGAAGGATGACAAATTATCGTCCAGAAGGACAATTGAGTAACAAATTTCTCACAGGAGAGGAGTGACGCCCACTCGCTCCCTGTTTTTCATTTTCCGGAGCCATCATCAAGGCCCCTCATGCCGGAGGTGAACTGCGTTTCTTTTGTTTTTCCACTCGGATTACTTGGTGTGATCATTACTTCGTGTTAAAAAGAGACATTGAAATCCTAGTGGAAACTTTCACCTGTTGTTTTAACCCGAGAGAGGAGTCCAGCAGGAGTTGGATTAGTGTGTCCTCCTGTCCGTCCCACCAACAACCTGTCCATTTTCCCATGTTCATCACCATCATCATCACCACCACCACGAAGGAAGGAAGGAGCGAGCGAAGGTTCCCCCATCGCAGGAACCATGTCGCAGTTAATCTCTTTGGAGCCAGCCAGCTTCCAAGAATTCCATCAATCAGCCAAGTAATTGTTTAAGACTGGTGTCCGTTCCTGGATTGGGTGGGTAGTGATGCAGCTGTAGCTTTCTCTCACCACTTTCTCCTCTTTGTGGGCAAAGAAATGCTGGGGCAGAGCGGAAAAATCTCCATTTTGAAGGGAGAGGAATAAAATAAACCGTCCCAACGAACCGTATCTCTCAGCAGCACCACCACCACCACGCATCCAAACCCATTAGGGCTGATAATATCGGATGGATGGAACTCGAATAAAAAACCAAGTGGGAAAAGAATTAATTTACACACGAACGACCACGCCATCAACTTGGAGCTCTACTGGAGAGAAGAACAGATCAAGGTTTGCTTCGTCGGTCCGTTGGTGAGTCAAGTAAGTGGGGAGTTTTATTTTCGCATGGTGATGTGCAATGAAATCCTGGTGGTGGTGCGGTCCGGAGAAAACGCTCGCCCCAAAAACCACATTCGACCAAATGCCAGCACTACAATACGTGTGTTCCCTCCTGCTCGAGATGAGATGCTGACGTGTTGCATGTCATTCAGCTCCTGGTTTGTGCTGATGGTGCTCTTGTTGGTTATGTGTTGTGTACGTATGGATGTAGTAGATCAGTTCTGGGAGGGTTTTTACGGTGGTGAAGACCTTGAAGTCCTGCCCAACATCTACTCCTCTAGCTCCTAACACGTGGAGGTGAGGCAGGTCTGTCGACCAGTCAGCCAGGTGAAAGTGGAAGTTCTTGGAGCGAGTAAATTTAAAGATGTTCCTCATGAAAGTGCATTTTTTGGGGAGGTTGGAGCGCACTGGAGCCGACTAATTCTCCTCCAGACATCTCTATCCAGCCAGCTTGCATCGATCCTAATCAAGCACCACTGCAAGCGCTGGACCTTACGGGCCTGCTCCTGCATGTCCATCGATAAATACTTCATTTACCAAATGGCTTAATTCCTGACTCTCTCCTCATTATTACCTTTCTTCCTTTCTTTCTTACGGCATTCAGACACCTACACGAGTTTAGAGTCGGGGAATTAATTCCAAAAAATACATTCTCCCCTTTCTCTCACTTCTCCAACATTTGTACTACATCCACTTCACACACTTTGGCTAATGAAAGAAGTAAATTCGAATTGGGAATAACGGCGTCGACGACGATGACGACTCGTAGAAAAAAGTGGAACAACTTTTTCAAACTTTCTGTTGGTTGGTTGGTCTGGAATGATTACGGAATTAGGTGGGCAGGCAGGCAGGCAGGCAGGCAGGGCACACTAGGCGAAGGGAAAAAGTTTTCTCTTGATTAAAAAATGGGAAATGTCTCTTTTTCCTTAATCTGATTCCTTCCACCGTCTCAATCTCGTCACAGGAGAGGTAAATAAGTAGAAGAACTTTCCTCAAGGACTGCCCACCCATCATCCAATCCTACCACCCACCCACCCACATCACTTCACTTTACATCAACTAATCTCCCTCCTCCCTGAGAGGAGATACCAGGCCGAACGAGGTCCATGGGCCAGCGATGGAAGAAATATGACGTACGTACGTACATCCCCGATAAGCGACTTAACATGACAGGAGAACACTGGGCCAAGAAGAAGAAGAAGCAGAAGAAGAGAGATGTGGGTCAGCTTCTGCACCACTTAATAAATTCGAGCTGACAGGAGATGTGGTAAAAGTCATTTTTTACGGGAAAAAACAGGTCAATTATAGAACGGGCGCGCGGGATTACAATTATGCAACTTTTAACCTTTCCAATTTCAGTGGGTGTTACACAGCTTTCTTTTTTCCTAAAGTGTGGAATGGTCACTTTCTCTCCCATTATGATAAGTCTTTGCACACAGAAATACTTAATACTCGTCATCAGTACTCGCCCCACTCCCATTTGGTTGTGACGTGGAAAAATATATAAGCACACAATTGTTTGATAAGCAAGCAGGTAACTTCTTATACTAACTACCGTCTCACTCATCCGTTACAGAACCACCCAATTTTCCCTGCCTGCCAAATACGAAGAAATCTTGTAGTTAGCAATTAATGAATTAATCGTAATAATATTTAAGCTTCTTTTTTGGGTACAGAGGTATTTATGCCTTAAGAGAGATTAAGAGAGTCTTTTGATCACATGGGTGGTTTTTCTTCCATTCTAAATATTTAAACTGGGTCGTACGTAGGAGAAGAACGTCAAGTATTACAGAAAAAGTGGGTGGTTTAGGTTTGGTTTTGGTTGCTGAGGAGGAGGATGCTGCCTTCTGCTCTCGTTAGACGTAGGACTGCGTGTTATTTTTCCTGGGGAAGAGGAACACGCACTGAATCGTCTCCTTGAAGGCGTCCCTGAAGTCTCGGTTGAAATAAGCATAAATTATCGGGTTCAGAGTGCTGTTGAAGTACCCAATCCAGAACATCGTTTGTACCAACCACTCGGGGGACGTGAACTTGAGGAGGGAAGATACCATGTACCAGGTGAAAAACGGGACCCAACATGCCACGAAGGTTCCCATTATTATCCCTGCAAAACCAATAAAAAACGGTCTCGATTACAACATTTTATAACAAATATTCATTTAAACAATAAACATAAACACTTTCTACATTAAGTGATTAGTAGGTCAAACTCTTTAAAGGGAACAAGAGTTTTTTGTCTGTTCGATTTTAACTATGATGAATCTTAAGAGTTTAAAGTTTTTTTTTTAATTCTGTTTTCGTGGATCGACATATTTATGAGGTCGCAGTCGCAAATGGGAAAAGACCCGTATTTCATGAAGATTGGGTATATCGTTCGAAGGTCTGCTCAATGGATGAGTAACTATCCAGACACTTAGGGGTCTGCTCTCTCGTTAAGTCAAGGGATGTGGCTAATGACCAGTTTTCGTCATCGTTGAACAGACAATTTTTGTTACGCTTGTTCCCCGTGGTGGTTTATATCTGATCGGTTTGGTTTATTGCTCAGGAAGTACAGGCGGGTAGGGAAAGGAGTGAAGGAAGCATAATATGGATTCATCTCTCGGTTATTGCCTGTTGCTTTCACTTTCCAAGTCGGCCATCGAGGGGAGAAAGTGAAGATGCGGACGGAGCGAGGAGAGGGAGACGAGGGTGGGAATGGGCCCTTAAACTCCTCGTTATGCGAGTACTGTTCTGGCGAAACCGACAACACCTGCTGGTCGGCTCATCCTCTCGCTTTATCCCTCACAGCACTTTCCCCACACGAGTGCGAGCGAAGGAATTTATGGAATTCATTCACCCATCAACGACCGCCACCACCACCACAAACTCCATTTCACGAGGAATCCATAACAGTCGGATTGGCAGCAATCCCATTCGTATCCACGTACATACTCCCGTACTGCATATGAACTGTAAGCTTGGATTTGGAAAATCTAGTGCTTTCACTGTTAGGTAAAAGGCGTGGGAACTGGCACGACAATCGGACAATGTGCACACCCCGCGTTCGAACAGAGCACAATCTCTCCAGATGACATCCTCATCTTCAATCTGCTGGTAAAAGTTGGTCGATCTCACCACCACCGACGACCGCATCCCAATTCTCGGGAACAGAAATCAGCTTTCTTCATCCTTCAACTCTTTTGTGGCTCCCATTTTAAAATTTCAAATGCGAGCTGCACCACCACCACACATATCTCGTACACCTCGCACTTTCATACTCCTCTCTCCACATGACGTGGCAGCGTCTCGTTGCTGCTGCTGGAATTGAAAAGTCGACTCAACGTGTCATCATCATCATTCTGCCCGCACGCCACGACCGTCCTCTTTCTCTCATCCAATCCAATCCACCTCCGTAATGGGATTCATTCTTCCCCAGTGAAGGTTGCGAAATGCTCACTGTTGTGAGAACACAACAACCACAACAAGAGCACATCCAGGGCAAACAAGACTGACAAGGAACCACGCCCACTCGCCACCAGAAAGACAACTGCTCTCCAAAAAACAACACGGAAACAAACAATGTGACGTGGTAAGTTTGTTCATCAGGATTTCTGCGAACTACGCAGCTGAGACTGCCCACTCTCACATGATCCCACCAAGACAGGGAGGAAGGCGAACAAGTTAATGAGATGTGGAGACGACAGGTGCAACGGTGCTTATTATTATCGCGGACGTGCTACGTGCCCACAAGCCACACCAGCCACCAGTGAGTGAGGAGGACGAGGCTTTCCTATCCGTGGCCACCCTCGTCATCGGCTGTAACCAGTTATTACATCTGAATGAAGCAGCATCAAAGTTGAGCGAATGCAATAAATTAGGGAGAGTCTGAGAGAAAGTGGATACTTTTTTGAGGTGGATGTCGCGAAAATAGGAAAGAAATGGAGAAAGTCGCTGTCTCCACAAATATTTGTCTTGTCCCTCATTAACTCGGGTAAATAGCGAGTATGACGACATGAATTTCAAAGACGATGGTTCCTGGTTACTTGGAATGTATGTACGTACGTTCGCAGGAACACATGTATGCTCGTCAGCTAATTTAATATCATGAACTCACATCAGATACTCACGGAGCGCACGATATGGTATCTTTATAAGTAAACTAATAGAAATAAGCATATAAACCTCAACAGCAGCCAAAATTCAAAGGATGCAGGGAATTGGAAGATCAAAACTCGCTTCTGCTGCTGCTGCTCTGTGTTTGTCAACTTGACGATAACAAATATCCGAGAAGAAAATGAGACAGAGCTGCTGCTGCTTCAGCCCAATTCGCAACTTTATGATACAGAGAGAGAGAGGAGACGAGTATGAAATCAAGTTTTTGGGAAAATGAGCGCAGAGAAGCAATAAAGCAGTTAAAAGTGTCCATCCAACTTCCTCCCGTTCGTTCCACCCCGTCTCATTCGAAAATGATATTTTGGCAGAGAATGGATCCGACTGTGATGCAGTCTCGGAAGGAGGCAGGCTGAAAGGGAATTACACACACCCGAATTACAGCAGGCGAAGGCTCTCTCACGGTCATTTGCCTACATATGAAGCAGCAGACGTAAGAAGATGTTGACAGATTAAACAAATTTTTCCTCGAGCAGTGGCAGCTGCGTTTCCCTCAATTCAAATCTTCTCTCTCTCTCTCTTTTCAACTTCCGACGACAAAGTCTGCTCTTCTTTCCTGTCTACGTGGTATTATTCTGCAGCTCAACGTGGTAGTAAATATGGGCGTTTATAAATAAGTGGGCCGTGTTGTTGGCACGTCTTCATTAAATTGTGACGTGAGGCGGAATAGAGAGAGAGAGGTAAGTGAAATCCAATTCATTTTTCCAACCTCACCACCCAGCTCGAAATAATCAACTCCAATTCGCGAGTAACGGGGTCGAGTGGTCTCAAAAACCAACCCCACGGTCAACTAACTCCTCGCTTTCTCCGCCACCACGGCCCACTGCATTCCTAATCCAACCCAGTTTAGCGTCCATGCCGATTATTTGTGCATGTCCCACTGCTTACGGACGGTCGTTGGTGTGATGTTGGTCCTGCTCCATTCCTCCGGCTCGTGGCTCCATATATATTTTTATATTTTATGCATGGTATTTTGTGGGCGGTGGTGGTGGCTCTTTATCATTTTGTGATTCATGACATGCATATATTCATTATCATCCGCCTCGTGTGGGAGCCATGCTTTCTCTGCATGCTCCAACAAGGCCTGAGTTGCGAGAGATTCGTTCCATCCACACGGGGAGAATTTGAAGGGCCAATTACGCCCCACACAAGCGACTGGTGCTCCTCGTGCCACTTTCTCCGTGTCGGACAGAGTTCAGAGAGTGTATACCTTGGCAGCATCGAGTCAACTGAGGCGAGCTGACTTTCTCGTGATAATGATGACACTGATTATTGTCTGACTCTCCCATTTTGAGAGAGAGGCACACTCGGCAGGAGGAGCAGCGGAGACGACGGCACGGCAGCCGAGGAGCGCACCCGCTTTCATTAAAGTGTCAATTAGACAAGATTTGATTTGTGAGAGGACAACGGGATTGGGAGTGATGGGTGGTAAAGAGCAATTAGAGAGGAAAACACATTAGCACACAATCAGCATCATCGTCTTCTCATCCAGGACTTACCCAGGGTTCGGGCAGCTTTGTGCTCGTGCTTCCACTTCTGCTGCGACTTGTTGTCACAGACGGCCGTCGACGTGGAACCTGTGTCAAAGAGAGAGAACAACATTTCAAAACGTACTCACCACCACCAACGACATGGCCGCTGCTCAACCCTCCGTCGTCCCTGCTTCCAGAGCAATTTCATGGCTCTAATTATTCTGGAAGCCCAACGACGAAGAGCAAAATAATCAAATTAATAAAGTATTTACAAGCGTCGCTCCTCATGCTCATAATAACAATAATAATAAAATAGTAATAGTAATAATAATGCACTCGCATTTAGTTGTAAAATAATTATACAGCAAAATGATAAGTCCACTCGTGCTCAAAATCATAGAATCAAAATATCTCTCGCAGAATTAAGGGTGACCCAACACTCAAAAAGCCAAAAAAAGAGATATGTATGAGTCCCAATTAATTATTTTTGCAGTACCAATCAACACATTCGATGCGATGTCATCCTGGGCATAGTGAACACATAATAAAATGCATGGTGGTAATATTGGGCGAGGGGTTTATGTGTAGACATGCAGCCACTGGGCGCATGGGGAGGATGGTGGAGATATGTACATGGACTCCATTTGTCTTGTCATGGTGTCATTATTAGGATGTCAAAAGTGATCCCATTTATCCCTTCCGTCCCCGCCGACCCGCTCCTGCTCGCTGCAGAGTGGAGGGAGATAAGTAGGAGAGTAAACTATTAACCTTTAAGTGAGGAGCCATTTGGGCGATTGAATGTGAGCCCGTCGCGAAACAGACGAGTTCTTGGAACGATGTGGATGATGAAGAGTGACCTTTCCTGCCTCACCAACAAACGCACCCTTGCATAAGCATCTACATATATGCGCTATATGTGTATGCAGATATTGTGGAGGCAAGGCAGGTGGATTCCTATGCTTTCTCCTCATGTTTCCTGCCAATGATGATTTATTATGATTTGGTGCTGGAGGCTGGGAGGGTGATGTGCGGTGTCTCTCTCGCAGTGCGTTAATTCCACTTCCTCCCTTGTCAACGGTTTCCTTCCGCTGAGGAGGAAGAGAGGAAACCCTTCATCAACAAAGCTCTCTCTCGCCAAACTCCATTCTTCTTGCCCCTGTCACTCCGGCCTTGCGATGGTGGCGATGGTGGTGGTGGCAGCGGAGAAAGCAGGACAATGGGAACACAGGAGGGGGCACTACACCACCCAGCCCAGCCAAGAGAGGACAACACAATGAAATCCACTGCTTACCACTAGGCTGCAGAGAGGAGGGAATTCCACAGGTTCCTCTCTCTCATCCTTTCCCCACACCAAAACAAATTCCGACAACCTACTTATTTTTATGGATGCACACACTGTCATCCAGATCTGGACTTTCTGGCGGCCTTGACTTTTTGCCTGTCCCTCGCTGACATTGTGTCGGATTACGTGAGCGAGAAAGTTGCTGGAGTTGGTGGATCGGTACTTTAGCAAGTAGCTATCTGACCATGACCTGGTGGGACCACACCCACTCGTGCTCCTACTACATGAGCATACTTGGTTTGGTGATCTGATGAAGGTGGATATGTGCAGGGGAGCGTGTCAGGATTTATTCGAGACCTTGGGCCGACCGAGCGTGAAAGTGGAGAAAGTTTGAGGGAGGAAAAGAGTTCTGGTGCCCATTTGACAGCCCACTTTTTGACATGGCTCCCATTACGTCTTGCAAAAAGAAGACTCACCCGCCGCCGAACGACGTAGACGACGTAGCACGGCCCCAACCCCACCACGGCAACTAACCTCTCCTCCCAAGCCCATACAATGTCTCATCAAACGAGGGAAAATAATATAATGGGCCCCACCACTACCACCACCACCGATGCTGCTTGGCTGTCTCGAGGAGAAAGTACTGATGATGAAGCTCTTTTTTCCGAAGTGGGGTGGAAAAGTGACAAGTGCTCGACTTTTGGTGGGGCAGGCGGAGAGGAGCATGGTGTAAATGTCAGATTTTTTGCTTCAGAATCGGATAAAAGAAGGAAACGGTCAATTAAGCCGCTTGCTCATTGAATCCAAGTGTGGAGACGTCCCGAGAGGGTGGTTACTCCACCCGGTATACATACATATGGCAGCCAGAAAGCTTAGGCAACTGTCCGCTCATAGCTATGTACATACATACGTGGATATGCTACATATTGGGCATATTTTGTGCGAATGCCTGTCGTCCCGTCCAGCAGAGTTCTTCCCAACCCATGCTGCCCTTCACTTCCTTTTCCTTTCCTTGGGCGGCGGATGCCATTATTTCAGGAGAGATGTTACACAAGCCAAGGTCCAGTCTCATCCGCCAGAGCACTGTAACGACCCATTTTACTCTCCAACGCGTGACGATGATGACGATGATGATAACCGGATGCGAGGCAGCCTGATAACCCACATACAACCTGCATTACTCCATCATGCCCTAATTTTGGGCGTTATTAAATTTCTCGTCCTTTTCTTGGCCTCTGTCGTCTTTTTACTTCTCTCCCACGAGCAGGAGGTGCGGACACAAGTCTTCCCTTGCTCCCGGTAGGCAACTCCCACGGACCTGGTGAACAATGCGATAAACCTTGAGTCGAGTGAAAGCATTTGCGGAGATGAGAGGACTCTTGTCTGCATGTGTGGAGCCGTTGTTGCGATAAATACCTCATCATCGTCGTCGTCGTCGTCGTCGTCCCAAAGCTAAATGTAGCTGCTCCTCCTCTCTCCACTCTCAAGAGGCGTCCAAGGTCCCTCGCCACCCTTTGCGGATTATGCATGCAGAAGAATGGGAACCTGTGCGAGAGTATTATTACCTCCGAGACGGGAGCAGGGGGAAGGAGAGAAAGAGGAGGAAAAGGAAGGCATGCTATAATTCCCACCCATGCGAAAGACATTTTCAGGCTATTTCACTTTATTTATGGAGCAGGAATCGATCTCCATCCAAGCAATAAAATAAATGTGAATAAACCAGAAACATCCAACTTCAACTTTGCATCCCTCCCTCCCTCGCTCGCTCTCTCTTTATTGAGCCAAGAAGTTGTACGAGTAGTCGGAGGACAAAGGTGCATATTCTCTCCTTCTTTTCTGCAGGGAGGGATGCGAAATCGCGAGAGAGATGCGAAGGAGGATTCCACCATCCGAAATAAGAAATTGATTCCTTTATCTTTATGTCATAACAAAAACTCATTACATTCCCATCCACTCGCAGCCTAGTTCCATAGCCCGATATCGTCCATAGCCATATCGCATAGATGCGTGCTCTGTAGGAGGACGAGCATGTAGGAGGAGGCAAGTTGAATACGCTTTGCTCTGAAAGAAGAAGGGGATGACAAAAAGATTTAAATAAATTCCTCGCTTCCCATTCCGTGGAGCAAGGTAGGTGGATGGATCTTGCACATATGCACATAAAAAATGTCCTCTCAAAGGCTGTAGAACAAGAAATAGAATCATTCCAGACAGGAGACGTTAGAAGAAACGTCACAAATTTGGTGAGCCAACCTTTCAAAGAAATTTTTATTATTATTTGCCATTTCAACTTTCAAAGCATTTTCATCCTTTTCACAATATATCAACATTGCAGTGTGTGCTTGAGTGTGTGCCGCAGGAGCTGAGTTATTTTATTTCTTATAGACGAGAGAAAGAGGAGGAGGAGGGGATCTGGTCCAACTTATTCTTTGTCATCATCATAGTGCGATCATGGCCGTGGTGGTGGGGATGCAACCATCTTTTTTGCTGCTCCAAAGTCAGACAGATAAATCCTATTGCCATCTCCTCCTCCTCCTCAACAAGGCCTACGTATTCCACAGTTTAACCAGCAACGTGGAACTTTTGGAACTTCAGAACATTGAGCATTTCTCCAAGCGGTTCAACTGCAGGAGCAGAAAAAGTGCTCATTCATCCGCAGATGTTGGAGCAAGCCTGCCATCCAGCTCGACTGGCTGGACAGGAAGTGAAAGGATTTCTCCCTCCGCGAGAGAGGTGCGATGTGTGGATGCTCACCGTCTGTAAATCATGCTCCTTTTTTGCACTGCTTCCTGCACCTCCTGCCCCACATTGTCCCCAACGGCAGCGTGGCGGCATGCGAAAGTCATGAGGAGGAGTTTATGCGGACGGTTCGGAAGTGAAAGTTACGTGAGTGCGATGAGCATATGGGAAGGCAGCCCTTTCCATAAAAACTGTGCAATTTATGACCAAGAAATAATGAAATTTTATGCACTGGTTTCACAACCTGGCATGACACAAATGTCGGCCTGTTTCCTGCCATCTAATCCTTCACTTTTTAGCCTCCTCCTCCTCTACGTGTGTGTATGGCCATGTAAAGCTTGAAAGGAGCAGATTGGGGGGAGCACCTGTAAATAAAGTGACCTTTTGCCCAAGATTTGTTATGCCATGTTCACAAAAGAGGGAGGAAATGAGAGAGAGCGAGTAATAATGGGACTAATGGGATTTAATCCTTTCTGGCTACATTCTCCTCCTGCGGGAATTTATCAATGAGTCGCTCTCTCTCTCTCCGCAGTCCATTGTCTATCGCCAACAAGAGGAACAACCAAGTGAGATTTGCTCCTAGGACGGAATTGCCAACTGCACTAAACCCTCAAACGATGTATCAAAGGATATCGCAACGACCGTATCCACGGAGGCAGGCGACGTGACACGAGGCGTCGTGGTGCCAATATCTGGATGGTCTGGCAATAAGCAGTTGGCATTTAATTCGGCATACATTCCTGGATGGAGGGAGGGAGGCAGGCAGGCAGGCGGCGGAGAAAGTCATGAGGTTCGAGGGATGGGAAAGCGTGTGGGCGTAGGATGAAACTTGTCCTACAACACGCGACCCATCAGCTCAACTGTCCAACGCCAGCATCAAACGAAATCCAAGTTCAAATGCACACACAGATCATTTGCTTATCAACAACTTCTTCCTCGCTCTCTTTGGCCGTGTCACGTCACTCTCACAAAAGGCAGCAGGATCATCATCTCGTCATACCCATGTCATAATCAGGCACAGCAATGTATCCAGCCCACTACGCGCTCGCCCAGTCGCCCGCCGCTAACCACCCACCCACCCCAATCAGAAACACATTTCTTTCTTCTTCTTCTTCTTTCTTTTCTAAGTCCGGTGACAGTTTCCTTTCGTGGAAGTAATTGAAGAATGTTGCAGAATTGGCAAAGGAGTGTGGCCCCGAGCCATAAATTTGCTTGGAGAGAGCGAAGCATGGGAGAAAGAGAGCGAGAATTCTGGCTGCTACTTCAGCTCGGAGAAAACAACCGGAAGTTCTCGTCATCGATTTTGGGCTCCATTCTGCACACACAGGCAGCAGCGGCATGCAGGCTTCCACCACCACGAATACCTCCACTTATTAAATGCTCTTGGCTATCTCACTAATAAATGGGCCCCCGCACACACACACACCGGGCTGGCTGGCTACTCCTCCATGCATGTACGTGGCCCGTGAGAAAGCCCTCCTAGAACTCTGCCAATTGGCAACTTCTTCTGAAATGTGACACGGCCTCGACAAAGGTACAACTGGACTGGCTGTGCATGCAGCATATCCACCTCTGCTGCTGCTGCTGAGCTGAAACCTGGTCTCCTAATCTCTTTCTTATTCGCCCCCGACTTTCACTCTCTCCCTCGAATGCCACGCTAAGAAACAAACGCATTCATGGCGTGGAAATACGAAAGGTCATGAGTACGGCCAACACAGTGCTTAATCAGGACCAACAAACTCTATGCATGCATAACTACGAGGAGTTCTCAGGCTAAAAATATGCCATGAATGAGTTGGTAGATAAATGTATTGACCTGTACGAAGGATAAGCTAACCTTATACGCCATGAGTCCATCTCATGCAACGTCAGAATGTTGAACCCCAACCCAGCTCATTATTTCGGACAGGAGAAGGAGCACCAAGTGGAAGAAAGGTGACTATATAAATATTTTACGTGCTCGGCCAGATTTGCTTAATCTGTTCCCCTGAGGAGTGTGTGTGCAGAGCCGAGCGGGTTGGTGGGTGAGGAAGATTGATGAACATGTTGCAAAGAAGCAGAGATGAGAAGGTCTGCATAACTGGTTTCGTTCCGTGGGGATTGATTGATCATCTCGAGAAGAGTTTGTCTTGTCCCACACAATTATTCCTCCCGTCCTCATCACACGTAAACGTACACAAGTGCTTCTTCAGTATGCAGACATATATTTAGAACTCGACCTGCATGTCATACCTCATCTCATTCCACCATAATTTCACCACCACCACTTGAACAACTAGTTCAATATGCACCCACGTTCGTGTCCTGATTAATTTACTTACTTCTTATCCTCCTCCTCCTCAACAAATATTTCAGAGATGTGTAATTTGACCACGCAAAACGAAAGGCATCGTCGCATGTATGTATCTCGAGCTGTGAACGAAAACGGGTTGCACAACTTTCTCCCAGAAGAGATTGCATAAAACACAAACTTACAACTTTCCCTGGGCGAATAAATGATTGTAAGTTGTTTGTTTTTAAGCGGAGTTGCGAAATATCTTAATTGCCATTCTTCACAAGTGCACATGATGACGATAAGAGTGGAACTATGGCTAAAGTGTAGTCGGGTAGGGAGTCTTTACTTGGGTACATAATTAAGTGGCGTAATTGTCACATGTCTACTTATGTATAAGCAAACATGCAAATAAGGGGACAGCCGTTTGTGCATCGCATCGAGACGATTTGGTTGGTTGGTTGGTACTGCAGACTGAATGAATGAAAACAGCAGCGTTACATAACGAACGGAAAAGTGAGAATTGGGATGGATTGGCAAAGTATGCCTTTTGGAGGCTGCTGACCGTTGCTGTTGGCAGTGGACTTACCATTCTGAGTGATCTCAGAGCGGTAGGAGCGACGATTGTGGTTCGAAGATCGAGAGGTACTGTTGACGTGTTGGAGGACGAGGCAGGCGGAGGTGGAAGAGAGGGCACGTTTCTGGCGCAGAGCCTCCCGGAAGATCTTGGAGTACATCACTATCATCACGATCGCCGGGATCCAGAATGAGATCGAACTCGACACCACCGCGTACACTGCAAAAATACATAAAAAATACTCAATTATTACAGAGCATGTAATTCCTGGTGATTTGGGGCAATAATTATTACCCCCCGTGATGAGTATGTCATAATTTAAGTATTCTAGTTCATTGTTGTAGACCCATTATTGTGTGGAGCACGAGTAACAACTAGTAATTGACACAGTTGGCCTCAAGGACAAGAGTGGTGGCCACAAAAGCGACAATAATTTCTTCTTCCAAGAGCATTAACGATATTTTATCTGCGGTCGTCTTCTCGGAAATATGTTCTCGCTCGTGCATACGTCGGCAGGGAGCCATTCCTCATTTCCTATCAGTTTTGGACTTACTTTGGGGTGAAAGTATGACACACATAAACCCTGCGGACTAATAACTAGCACCGTCTCTCTCTCGCTCTCTATAACGTGACAATAAGCCCAGCGGGAGGTGGACCAATGGAAGAAGAACACTCATTTGTTTCCTCTTTATTATGACCCACCGCCAGCCCGACTGCTTCCCCCAACAATGGCGATCGGCTAAACGGAATGCAATCAACCCAGTGGAGAAATATTAAAGAGCGTCTCCACCACCACGACGGATGAGGCACTCCCGCAGTTGTCATTAATTGCTCAATAAAACCCCAAAACTTGCAATTAATCTTGCCCACTTTATCGTCTGCTCGTCATTCGAGTTTACTCATTTTCTCCGGAATGATCACCAAGCTCGTTTCTCGGAATCAAATGCCTCCCATTTCCCAGTACACCTCAACCTTGTCTGTCTCCACTTGTGCAATTAATGCAAGTGGAGAAAGTTAAGCCTGCTCAGCCAAATTATTTTTCTTATCGCCACCAAAAACTAATACTCGCGTCGTGAAATGAAACAAAATTCGTGGAATGAGATCGACAGCGTCGTAATATGTAGCAGCAGAAACAGCAGCAGAAACAGGAGGAGAGGAGGCGGAGGGGTGGTTGTGGTTGGTGTCTCCGCAGCAGCAGCAGCATCGCAATGTGTCCTCGTCGTGTCGTCTCTTGTTGATCATTAATCTCTGCTAATTCGAACCCCAATAATCTCAAACCGCAGCAGCAGCAGGAGCAGCAGAGTCGTGAAAGGCGTTTGTCGGAGGAGCATGAGCCATGCCACGATAGCTGCTGCTGCCGTGTCGGGAAATTAAATGGGGACGCGTGACCAAACTGAATGTCGATGGATTACAGGCGACTCACATGCTCTACATGACAAATTCTCTCCTCCCTTCCAAATGAATGCAAACAAGGATCGCACGACCTTTACGTTTCGCCATCCCGCCGGTCTCCCTCCCTTTTCACTAATTCGCCACTCAGATTTTTAAGAATGCAGTTTGAAATTCAAATATGCTCAATTTTTAAAGTAGTACAAATCTTGTGTTAAAACCTTATCGTCGTTATTTGCAATATTTTGTGCTTAAAACAATTTAAATCTTTTCTAAAGATAGGGTTTTTTGTCCTATTCGACAAATATGTATTATTTTTTCTGTCCACGCTGTTGGATGGGATTTGAAACTGGTGGGAATAAAATAAAATTCGTTGATCATGCATTTCGAGGAGGATGAAAACACAGTTGTTGAGAAAATAAGTGAAAACGCAACGTTGTCGTATGTACTTTGGGCAGACTGCTTTCACCCACTCATCCACTTCACTCCCCCCTTTTCCATTTCCTCCTCAAATTTACTACGAAAACCAGAGAGAGCAGATTGTTGTGAATGTGTGTAGATGTTCGTATTTACATCCGCAGATCGAGTCCTTGTTGTTCCTCTCACCCGTCAACCACAGACGACTGTATAAATCCCAGATGAAAAAGAATCTGCTCCGAATCAAAGAAATGTTTCTCTTTCACAAAGAATAAAAAAAACCTTGATTGTGGAGAGACCAATACTTTCTCCTCGCTCGCTTTTCAAGGTTGAATTATCATCGGGGCTCAAAATAGGACGTCCAAACCCGGAAAATCAGAAGCACATATAGTTTTCAAAATACAATTATCCCATCGACAACTTTCTCCGCGACACTGCTCCTCGTTCCGATTTGTCCCTCCACCAAGCTCGGCACACAAACACACCTCAAACCACCCACCCGTTTCTCATACGAAGCGTGAGCACACAAATAGACGTGCATTTAAAAAAGAAGGCGACGAGGAAGCTGAATCCTAAATTAGGACCCAAGATTACAGCCAGCCCACCACCACCACTTCTCATGCGACATGAACATAGATTCTACATATGAATGTGCTGATGGCGAAACTTTCCAAGGTCGCGTCCTCCTCCTCCTCCTCCTCGCAGCACAAAGGAAGGAGAGGAATGATTTAGATAAGGACGGGAGGAAGAAGAAGTTGCGTAAGAAGAGGAGCAGAAATCGAGCCAGAGAAAGAGCACCTGTGCCACGGCCTGATTTATTATCACCAATTCACCACCACCACCATCACCATGCCTGCCGTACAATGGCCATCTCGAGAACCTGCTCTCCTCACAATTTAATACGCTCCTCCAATGATAATGTTATTAATAATTGTCTCGACCTTGTCATATTATTTATCTGGGTCCCCAAAACTTTTCCTCCTCGTCCTCCCAGCACACAAAGTATCAAGTGGAGTGGAATGTGATGGCGTCAGGCGCGGTCGGCCTGGCTCTCTGGCTGAGTGCTGCCACCCTCACCCACGAGCACCAGCCCAACCGGGAGATCTGACCTACAACCTTTCACACAAAGATCACATGCAAACAAGGTCTGCATCGCCACCATTTCCATAAAACTCATCGAGGACCTTATCCAAATTTGCTGCTGCTCCCCTTCAGCGCCCACACAATACTTTCCACGCCACTTGAGAGGACAACCTTCAGACTCAATCTCCACGCCAAAAAATGAGAGCCTTATTCCAATCCTCGAACCAATAATAATTGGATCCATTAAATTACCCTCCACGCAACTCTACAAGGGTTGAACAAAAACCTGAGAACACAACCAACCTCACAAGTGCGCTTATTATTTTCTGTACTCTTGTTAAGACAAGGAGACTCTACGTATGTACGAGGTGAAAGAGTGAAGTGAGTGGTGCTCGTGCATATCTCCCTCCACTCGATCCACCAGCATTTCATCGTTCCGTCCGTGTAGTAAAATGAGAAAGTAAATAAATCTTTCCATTCTCCTGTCACTCGTCGACTTTTTCTCCTCGCCAAGTGAATCGCATCCCTCATTTCACCCAAATAATTGCAATAATTGGCGAAAATACTTTCTCTCTTGGATAAATATTATCATTTCTCGAAAAATGCCTCGTTCCACCACGAGCTCGAAACGGGGATCGTGAGAGAAAGGATGCGAGGAGGAGAATGGGTGAGGTCTGAGTGAACATTATTAATTAATTATTAGAGAGAAGAGGCCGGGAGATGAAGGAGGAGAGCACTTGTTTATTTATTTCCACGACTCCACTTCATCATGATGATCAGGAAGCAGGCTTTGAATTCCTCCAGGACTGGACCCTGCCTGCCTGCCTGCCTGCATATGCAGATTCGTCACACAATTTCCCTTTCCCTCTCCACCCAACTGGCATAATTTCACAGTGAGAAGCAAACTTCAAACAAATCGAGAACAACTTTATCTGAACCAATGTTCTCCCAGTTCTGGAAATGCTCGCTTGATCATTAAATCAAAGAGGAGAGAATTGCAGAGAGAGACCAATCATCGAAGGCCGATTTGCTACCCACCAAATACCACACTGCATGGGCGACGTTTGATGGTCTGATTATGATCGTGTGTCAGGGAATATTTGAGTACACTTGGTTGAGAATTGAAATGCATGTTAGGTGACAATATGCGGTGGAACAGTTTAGAAATTCATTGCCATTCCGTCTACGACGCAGTTGGAAGTTTGCATGTCGTTCATGACACTTGTACAGTGGAGCATGTACAGATAATCCAACAAAAGAGGCTTAAAGCAACTCCTCAAAATTCCCAAAGTTGACTTAATCAAGTTGATTTGGAAAAGTTGCTGGGCTTCCCGACAATAATTAATAACAAACTTTGCAAGTCAAATAAACTTTCCATGTTTTATCATTTACAGGAGCATACGTAGTTATGTATGTGTGTGCATATGGCACAAATTGTGCATTGCGTAATAAGTATAAGACTTGAAATTTCATAATTTCCAAGAATCTTCGTTCGCATTGAGAGAGGTTGTCATACATGCAATAATATTTGAGACATTTGGCCAGAGAATGGCAATAATCTAACCAATAGGCTGATTTGGCAGTATGTGAGCTTGCTTGCTTAGTACCTGCGTGAGAGCAATCTCGTCCTATTTTTACCTCGAAATTAAAATCTTGAGTCAACATGATTGCACTGCTAAGACCTTCTCCTTGACTCGGATGAGTACATGCAACCAACTGTCTGCCATCCGATTCTGCGAATGAATAAGTAAAGCTCGGGATTGGGAGGATTGCATTTTTTGTAGCCGCTCATTGCGACTGAAGGAAGGCAGGTTAGTTCAGCATGAGGAGTTCCGAGGAGCCGTGTGTAGTAAGTAGGAAAGTGATTGAGTGGTGTCACAGGACGGGACAGGATTGCCGCCCCGTCAATAAAAGAAATGCGGAGAAAACAGAGGAGCCCTATTTTTGGAGAGAGAATGAATGCGAAGCCCGTTATGCAGCAGTCTATCTGGGTCTTATTTGGGTATAAATAGTAAATGAACATTTGCAAGGCCGTCCTCCGTTAGTTGCCATTCTCCTCTGTTCTCTCCACCCAAGGAGCAGTTGGTGTGTTCCTCGGCTTCATTCCCACCCGGTAAATGTCTTGTGCAATGTTTGGTAACTGAAACCCCACCAATAATCCATACGCCATGCTTTCTCCAACCCCGTCAATACACGGGTGGGATAATATTGCGTGCCAAAAGAAAGGATGCGGTGGCTTGCTCGCTTTTGTTTCTCCATGAATGTTGATAATCTAAAACCCGTTTTGTTTCACCTGCAGAAACGAAGGGCTATTTGGGTTTCATCAGATAAGCACATGCACAACCTTGGCGCATAAAATCCATAACATCACATCACCCACATTCCTCCAGGACGACCACTACCACCACCACCCACCACATGGCAGCAAACAATAACAGCAGGCCAAGCTGAGGAGAGAATGAGCGAGACAGATAACGAGTGGACGGAGGCGAATGGAGAATAATGGGCCTTCCTTCGTGCCACCAAGTAACAAAATGAAATGATAAGTGGCAGATTAAAAGTGAGTCTGCCCAGCCAAGTCGATGCTGCTGCTGCTGCTGCCACTGATACGGACTCGCTGCTGCGGAGTAATGTGTGTGGGTGGGTGTGTCCCTTCATCAGCGTGGAGAAAGCGGAGAAAGCAGCTGGAATGGAAGGTGAAAGCTGGCAGGATGAATGAACAGAGTGCTCAGGAGCCGTGTCATGATTTACAGCCGGCAACCAAACCGACAACGAGAGGAACGGCTACCCAAGCAAAACAGCATTTTGTTCCTTTTGGCAATAATGTAATCGCGATAATCGTTCTGCTTATGGTTCTGCTGATGCTCCTGCAGTTTGCTCATTCACAGCCAACAGAGACAAGGACACACTTTCTTTCTCCTCTCATCCTCATTCACATGGCGGCTAATCCAGTTACGCAATGAAAGGAGAAACGTCAATGTCGCACTTTTCTCCCGAATTTCTTTCTATTATCGCCACCTCTGCACAACATGAATTAGAGGAATTTCATGTTTTGATGTTATGCAATCCTCGTTCTCTGCGTGTCATCATTTCTTCCCTCCCAGCCGACCAGCCGTGTGCTTATTGGCTGCTGCTGCTGCAATTGACGGATTACACGAGCGAGTAGGCGAACCAATTAATACATGAATTTCGTTTGAACTGCTTCTTTCCGAAGCTATGGGTGTAGGACGCCGATCAATTCCCTGGCTCTCACTCCTCGATAATTGCATTTCTCCGACCGGAGCCCAGCAGAGAGGAGTTGTATTATTCCCATTAAATTTTAATCCGGTGTGTGGAATCCTCCCCCATAAATGGGAGCGGGTGAAGGAGAGAGTTGAATAAATTATGCGGTTGCTACACTCTTTCTAAACCATCCGTCTCCTCCTTCTTCCAGGTGGGTGGTTGGGCCTTTCCCCACGTAAATAGCACTCCCTGTATGCGGACCGAGTAGTTATGCAGCCTGGGCGGATAATGGAGCCGCCTAAAACCTGTGGCTGGCTTGGGAGGAGAAGATCCTCATTTAATCCTTTAAGTTATGTGATCCCCTGATTTATTCCGGATTATAACAAACGCCCTGCCTCCCTGGCTCTGATTCCCGCTTAAAAATAGACCCCAGAACGAGTGCACAGTATTCACAATCTCTCTCGAAATCACAACAACCCCAGTCTCCCATTCTTGGAATCCATTATTGCTGGTCTGTGGAGAAAGTAAACACGTGTCAATGCTTTTAAGGCCAGCATTTCTAGACGGATGGGCAGTTCAAGGTCTTCGTCCGCAATACCAAGGAGAAATTATGGGCTTAAATGTTCCCATGTTGCGCTGCTGCTGCTGGTGGTGGTGATGGAGCATGGTGGGTTTGTTTGCTCTCCGACATTTAAATCACCTCATCTCCTCCACCAACATCGCCACACTGATGCTAAAATCCTTTTCATTTCATGCATAAGTTAGTCGTCACTCGATCCACTCCACTCTCGAAATTGGAACCATTTCCCAATTTCATCCATCACCAAGCCGGGCAGGGTGCAGAGCATGGCAGAACTTCCGCCCGGAGAAAGTGTAAGCCCAATACCGCAAATATTTCAATACGCAAACAATTAAATTTTAGCCAGTGATCACCAACACATCACGTCCAAACCTGCCTCCCCAACTTCCACGCTCCCACCAGAGGACGGAAATTGAAGGCCAGGCTTCGAATTGCACTGGAGTTCCAGGAATCATGCATGCCTCGTCCCGCAGCGGATATGGAAAGGTATTAAGTTGCTGATGTGCCAGCGCAGTTTCTAGCTCTCTCTCCTACTCCTACATGGAGCTTCAGCAGAGAGAGACGCCGTAATTCTTGTCTGCAACTTTTAATGAAATTCCGAAGCGATTGAGTTGAAACAGTAGTTGGGCCGACTTGGCTGGGGATGAACATTTATTGTGATTGTATAGAGAAACTTTGCTCGTTTATCCAGCAGGCAGCGAATGAGAGAGAGGCAATGGAAATCCGATCCGAGTCGTGTCACTTCAACTCTGCCTCATGTTGCACGTTTCCCTACAAAGTAGCATCTCGCTCTCTTATCTCCTCCTCCGCCTCCAATGCTCCAAGTCGAGCAAGCGAATATTTCGTTGAAGGATCATTTTACATCGGAACAACAACCCCATGCACGAGAAACACCAGCGTCTACGCCTGCCCCTCCTGGGGAGTGTGGAGGCGATGGAGAAAGCCATTCGCGACAAGAATGAGTGGTGGTGGCGATGTTGGCGGAGAAAGTATGACCAGGAGGAGAGCGAAGTGGGAGCAAATCCGTTTATTTTATGGAGTGTGCAAAAGAAAGAGTACTCATAGCGGGAGGAGGAGGACTGGTTCAAAAGCTGTCAAATTCATGCACTTTCTCCCGTGGTGGATAAGGAGAAAGCAAGCCAACAGGAGCGTAAGATTAATCGCCACTTCCTTCCAAACACCACCAGCTCACCATTCTTTTCCCCTTTCTCTCCCCATGAATAACTTATATGCAGACGGAGAGAGTCAGTTCAGGGACGAGGATAAATAACTCGGCACCGATTAACTAACTGCCTCTGCTCCTCCGCTACCACCACCACCATCAATACTCATCGATGATTAGGTGGTGCAGGTCATAATACTTGTGCAAAGACATACTTTCACTCTCTTCCTCCCCATGGTCACGTCCGCCGTCCTCGGGTGGGTGGTGGTGGTGGTGTACGCCACTGCTGCCACTACCACACCGAGATGGAGAGATTAGCTACCCCTGTCCCATTAATTTCCGCTCCGAGTCTGCCAACTCTCGACTACCGCTAACCAACAACTGCTTGATAAGGCAGAATGATGACTCGACTAGTCTCCCAAACACAACAGCCTCCATCCCATTATCAACTCACAAATGAGTGAATGACTGACTGACAAGACAAGGAACCATCCTCCTCCACAACACACTTTCTCATCCTTCTTTTCTGTCTCCTTCTGGCTGGAATGTGTTCTTGGCAGCCCAGAGAAAGTTGCAAACATGAAAATGCAAAAAAAAACTCGCAAATAAGACGACGCCAAGTTCGACTAAGGCAGCACAAATAAGCACAAATAACCACAAAGGAGCAGTGGGAGTAGCATCGAGGATGGATGGATATTGCAGGTTTTTGGTAATGGGAGATAAAAATTAATGTTTATGGCTGAATGCTGGTGGTGGTGGTGGAGGTGAATGAGATCTCGAAATAGATCTCATTTTCAACAATGCCTGTTCTAGCGCTGGCGAGACTGCGCAGTGGAATTTTCACCTGGTGGACGGATAAGAACATAAACGGAGAGATGGAATGTGAGGGGTGGGTTGTACGTACCGGTATTTGGAACGAAATCACATAGCTCAGGATTCTTCCTCCGTAGCTCGAGGTACTCCTCCGTGGTGTAAATTCCCAGGAAGATTGGTGTGAATGACAAGAACGACGGCAGGATCCAAATTGAACCTGGAATTGAGCAGAAAGAGAAAAAGAATGAAACCAAATTACATTACTTTCTCATCCATAGTGCAAACATTGTTTACTCTCCAACCCAACCAAGATGGAGACCGGGAGGAGGAGGAGATGCACAACGACATAAAGCGCTGCACATGCCGCCCTGCCACCTTAATTCGACGTGCATAACCATAAAATCTAGACGCCGTTTGACTCTCACCTCCTCGGCACAAATTAAACCCGACTTTCTCTCTCTTTCTCTCTCTTCTTCTCTCTCCAGAAATCTATCCAGCCAGGAGAGGAAGAAGTGGAGGCGGAGGATTAAGACAGGTTGACATTGGCACTTTGTTTCACAGGTGAAAGTCCTCTCATAATAATATTATCCAATTCGTAGAGAAATAAAAAATACACATTTTTTCATTGGGACAACAAAATGATGCGGCTCACATGCACTTTCTCAGACCCTGCTCCTCCTCCTCCCACCTCGCCCAACGCTTTTCTATACATATGGGGCTCTGTCGTATATCGGATGTGGATGGGATTTGCATGACTGGCTGGGGCTGGAGAGGACAAAGTGAAAGTGGGTGACATGTTGTGATTTCTTTCTGTGGCAGATGCCATTCTTTCCCTCTTCTGCTCCAGTGAAAGTCAGGCCGTTTTCTTTTCCGAGTCAGGTAGGCGGATATTCGTGGTGGTGGTGGGGCACACAATACTTTTATTCTATTCCTCTCTCTTTAAACTCATCGCCTACGATGTACTTTCATCCCATTCATACATGTTTTCATCCCCGACTTGTCAATTCTCACCCATCCGAGTGATTCCTCACATATTGCGTAAAAGAGATGTGGACGTGCCTACCCGAGGTGGGAATCTCCTCCCTGCCAAGAATACACACGGAGAGAAAGCAAAATCTAAACCGACCAACTCATGCAAACGGAGACAAGTAGCGAGAAGAAGAATCCAATCCAAGAAAGCAAACCTGGACCAACAGCCTCTCAACTTTTAACCTCAACTTTTTCACAACATGAGTTTGAGAGAAAGTTTGAAAATTTTAATGTACCACATTCCCACCAGCCAAATACATACGTAGGATGAGATATGCATATCTCATCCTTTCTTAGACGTATATCCCAAGTATGTGCCGTGCATGTGGACTAGCTTAACTTTGCATGAGTGATTGAGCAGGGAAGGGGGAGACGCTACATGTGGGGAGGAAGATGGATAATGTGGCTTGACTGGTGGCATGGCTTTCTCTTCCATTCCACCAAACACACGTCCATTATTTTGGGTGAAAGCCATTAAATGGAATTTTTAACTTTATTTCATTCAACCATGCCATCATCACTCCTTCCTTTCTTCCTTCCCCCAAGAAAGACACAGACACAACACTCTCAACAAAACCTCGACACGCCTGACACAGTTTTTGAGCTATTCATAGCCACATGCACATATGCAAACTCGCGAAAAGATGAATCTCATCTCTGCATTGGTTTCTGGGGGAGAAGTGAAAGTCGCAACAGAAGCCAAGAAAACCACCTAGAAAACCTTGCTACCCACGAACCACAACCGAATCAACAAAGTTATTTGGATCAAGTTCTTCCTGAGGAGGAGCGAATAATAACTCTGCTCCGATTTCCCACCAGCTTGTGGAGAAAGAGAAAGTCACGGCAGGAGGAGAAGAAGAAGGAATAGGGTAACAACTTCAATTTGCATTCGTATTCTGCACAATGGTAATAATGTTGACTGGGATTGGATGCGATATCCTATTTCTCGACATAACATCATATTAACTTAAATACACAATGACACACATTCTCCTCCGCGCTCATCCCATTCGCCTCCCTCCACAAAGCCCTGATTCAACTTTCTCCCCTTCCAACCAATCCAGTCTTGCATACAAACACGAATAAATGGATGAGCACAGGGAGGAAAAAAATGTGGAGGTGACGGCGACGATGACGACCAAGATGATGATGATGTGTCTCAGTCTCTTGAGGGAGCGAGGAAGTGTGGATCTGATTTATGTGGTGATTGGTGAGAGCGACTTCAGGTGAAACGAGTGCACACTCTTCTTCTCCCTCCGCCAAATGCCTTCTTTTTTCCCGTGTAGCCTGTGATGGAGTGAAAGTGAGACAAATCACTCCGTCACAACTTTCCGCTCTGGAGCAACAAACTGATAAATTGAGGGGCCACCTATGTCTAAACAGGACTCATTAATTTTCCCCAAATCAAATCATCACAACCACCACGGCGGCCATTGTAACTTTAAAAATTAATCAAGTTTGTGGGGAAGTTGGCAGCTATGTGGTTTGACGTAGGGACGCGTGACTCACTCCTAACCTCCACGCCTAAAGTACACGCGGAACATGGCAAGACACACAGGGAGACGATACAACATCTGTATTATGATAATATGGACTCGAGTTATGAAGCATGTCAACGCCAAGAAGGAGCGCTAGTAATCCTCAAAAGCCAACTCTCTGAGCCTCTTGAGCCAAGGAAAGCAAACAACTCCGGCGGGACTGGGAGGAAATGGATGTGCCCTCCTTCCCATACACCGCACTTCCTTTTCCCATGCACTCACTCACCCTTTGAATACCAACTCTCAACGCCACTCCACCCACGCATCCCCCTCTCCACACACACAAACATCGACCTACGCAGCCCCCCCCCCCCCCCACACCTCTCAGCCCAAACAAATGCAATTTCTTGTCAACTTTCTCTCCACACAAGTTAGTCGAGGAGTTATCGAGTCCAAAAGTTGACCCTGTAGCCTGCATTGGGCGGCGAGATATAAGTAAATACGACGGAGGACACATATTCCAACCTGTTTTCTTTCCATCTCGTATATTTCACAGGCAATGGTTGGAGTTCCCAAAAATTCGTAAGCGAGTGAGTAACTGTTTCCTGAGAAAAATAGAATGCAGCTCGCCTCGCTCGTTGTGGGAGAATGTGTGAGAGCGAGACTTTGAAAATAAACTAATTTACAAGTTGGTCGTCGTGATCATGGAGGAGAGGAGACAGTCAAGTGGGAAAGTTGTCGCTTTTCCATTTTCCATTATCTCCCTCTCTCTCAGATGCCGAGGGCTGTCCACTCAACGAGTTTTCTTCCCCTGCTGGGTGAGGATCAATCAAGGAGACCTACAGGACTGGGCTCGTCCGACGCTTATATTCATCCACTCGCACCCAAGGAAATTTCCCTCCTCCTCGGCACAATGTAACCAGAGAAAGTTTGACTCTTGGTGAAAGTCAACAAGCTGGAATTGGATTCGACACCCGCCATAATGGCTCACACACAGAGCTCCACGTCGCCTACATCCATCAAACTTTCCCAAACCTGATCATGCAAAATCCCACTCAAACTGCGCCCAGATTGGTGAAAAAACGTTCTGCATGGATCCTTAAACCCTTTAAATTTTTACACGATAATTAGAATCACGGGAATTTAATTAGATCTCCAAGAGTGGCGCGTTCTCCAATTTCGTTGGCTTGCTTTTCCTCGACGCCACTTTGCATAATACGCCTGGGCAACAAGACAGCGATAACGTTGTCGTACGTCGCGGATCTGTTGTTCGAGGAGGAGGAGCGAGGCGTTTTCAGAAACTTTCTCGCCCTCTCAACCAGGAAGAGCAACGTTCCTCGCCGAGCCCACCAGCATCACCAGCACATCTGCATGTGTACAACTTTGTCTCCTTGACTTGCTAATTTATTTATCAAGTAGATGCCAAGCCTGAGCAGCAGTGGAGTGGAGGAAGGCAGAGGTTGTGTACACAGCACTTGTTTAGTTCATCATCATCACTTAACAAGGAGGGAGAGAAAGCAGGGCAGGCTGTGCAGTAACTTAACTTGAATAAACTAAACAAAGCCGAGACGACGACGACGACGACGACGATGATGAGGACACAAATTTAGTTTCGAGTTTCAAAATCTCTTCACAAGACTCTCAACTACCGAAGAAGAAGAAGAGGGAAACCAGCCAACTTTCAAGGTGGGAAGCAATTTCAGTTTAGCCGAGCAAACTTGATTCTCATCTTATTTTCCTGCACGACGCGACAGACTTTTCGGAAGCTGGATGGGCGAAAGTGCGAGAAAGTTATATTGTAGATTTTGGCACAAATTCGATCCTCGTCTCCTAATCCGAGGTGTGTGTGAGAGAGGCGACCAGGTGGTGGTGGTGGACAGCACCAACTCATCCCCTCGGTCGGATCGGATGAGACCAGCATTTTTCCCACGACGATTCTTGCCATGAGGAGAGGAAGGCCATTGGGAGGAAGGCGATTGGGAGACATATGTCCTGGGAAAATGGGTGTGTCGCATAAGCATGTACTTAGAGCGGGGATGACATTGTTGTTCCCATGTGAAATGTCATTCCGCGTAATGATTGCCAAGAGCGGGATGAAGTTGTTGCTTCGGCGAAACTACATGTGTGTCGCATTTCCAAGGACAAAGTCGACTCAGATTTCGTTAGAGACTACTCGATCAGAGTTTGTGCCATAATATTATTGTTTGGATGACAGGAGAGCAATTCAAGTGACTAAAGTCATTTTAGTAAAGTAGGCACGGCAGGCAGGAGAGGCCCAAATTGAGGCATGCAGCCGGGGGCAGGTAGCGCGTGTGTCTGTACTTTCTCCGAGAGAACCACGTAATCCCCTCACCCATGACTTTCCTCACTTTCTCTCGCTCTCACTTTCTCTCTCTTCTGTTTTATCAAGATTTACACGAGGTTAGACAAACTTTGTAAATGACGAAATCCATGTCTTGATTTACACAAACACAAACTAACTGCTCGCCATGTAACCCCATTATCCTCATCATCAGCGTCGTCCTCACAATATTTCAGCAAAGTCAAACTTTCTCCGCCAAAAGTAAGTAGCCGCAAATTTGGGATGGAATTTAATTAATGCACGGAGACCAACCACGGCACACACTCGAGGACAGCGCGAGTGTGGAAATATATTTAGCATCGTCGTCGTGATTTGGCTAATTCAGTTTACGCAACATTTTACACAACAACTGGCAGATGGTCAAAAGTACCGAAAAATACTTTTAACTTTGTCCCACTTTGTGTGCAAGCCATTAATTAACGTGCTGCATTCCACCCAAAGGTCGTCATCGTCATGTTTATAATGTCATGAGCCATGACGACCATGGTGGACTTTTGTTGTCCTCGTCATATTGCTCACACATATGAAAGTGGGGCTCTTGTTGCGGTTAAACGAGGGAGGAGAAATTGGTGCTAGCTCACCTATCATGATGCGAACAGTCCTATGCGTCATCTTGAGTGGGTACTCCAACGGGCGGCAAATTGCTGCAAATTAAAAACAAAGCTTTGGCCATATTTCGTATTTTTCCGTTTACTTCTTTGTCATCGAAATGCATGAGACTATGCGCAATTAAAATTTCACATGCTGTATTGGAAAATACTGAGAAGATTTTAATTTTCACCAAAAAAAACCGACCAAGTAAGGAAGAGTTGGTTCTTACCATAGTAGCGATCCACCGATATACAACACAAATGGAGAATTGACGCTGCAAAGAAAAAACAAGAAGAGACGTAATAAAAATGGAGTAAAACTTGGTTCCAGCCTTCGTCCCGATCAAAAGGAGTTGAATAATTCAGCGTAATTTCTTCAAAGTTTTGAAATCCTTTGAGACGACGTACAAGTGATAGGACCACTTGTCGTAATAATAGTCCCGAAAACTCTATCCAATTAAGGAGCTAAGGAGAAGATGGGAATATGATATCCCTCTCGGAACACGGGTAAATTATTCGGGGAACTGCGAGGACCGAGCGTATGGCCACACTTACCAGTGCAAAAGTAGACATCTAACGAATTCCAAATGTCACAGAGGTACCATCCCCACAACCATTTACCTGTAATTCACAGATACAAATCATTATAAATTGCTGAGAAAAACAGAACAATTTTCCAAATAATTGCACAACTTTCTCCCAATCGCAGCATTATTACGTACGTGCACCTGAAGCACCAGACGGCTGGATTGCGTAATAATCTGTACATATGTAAATGCACCCCTAAAAAATTGATGAAGATTCATCCCCCACTTTTATGCACAATCGGAGAATGAATGTCTGGAGAGGACGTTGCCGTTCGCATCTAATTTCATGCTCACTCACTCTCACGGTTAGTCATGGATGGATTGGTGAAACCAAATAGACATCATTCATCCGTGTAAGTAAGCCTACCAATAATATCCACATAATAACCCCATGGAGCTGCTATATATAGTTATGCCGAGTTATGACGTGACTCTGCCTGCTCAGCCTTGAAGGTAATATATACCCCGTTTCCTTCATGACGAATACATGAGGCAGGCAGGCTGGCTGGCGGTGAATGACTGACTACGTAATGAATATTTCATTACGAGGAGAACAATAGTAATGGGTCCACACCACTGTACTCACTGCAACCCGTTTACCCCCACCGCTCGGCCACGAGGAAAAGAATGGGAGAGGAAATTGGGGAATTTTCTCTCCAAATTCCTCACCTCGTTGGAAAGAGAAGGAGCCCTGAATCAATGATCAACACTGGGCTCGCTTTCTCCACTTTCACTCCTGGTGAAGAGTATGACTCTCTGCTGGTCAGGTGTCAGTCAGTTCAAAATAAAAGTGGGGTGTATCCTCCTACTTACTTGCTTTATATTTGGTCTCTGCCCATGCATGCCTACCTCACCCTGTCAAGGAGCGAATGCAGCTCCACTCTCTCGGGTATGTATTTATCTAGCTATCACAATCCCGAGGGTGGGAGACAGGTGGACGGGACGGGAGCAGAGGAGCTGAATAATTAATGTCCTCTCAATCCCCAATGTCTCCAATCTCCAGTGCACAAAAGAGTTGTTGACGGCTCACTTATTTTCTCCCTAAATAGTTCTCTCTCTCTCTCTCTGAATTGTGATCAATGGACGGGGATCGATGGCTGCTCCTGAAACTGAGACCGGGTTCAAGTCTCTGGCTTTTTTATCTTGGGAACTCAAAAAGAAATGAAATGGGTTGAATCAGAGTTTGACTACGTACCTCCGTTGAGACTGAGAGCTGCGTTGAAGGACATGGCGCACAGGGCGACGAGCCTGCACAAATGACAAATTAGGAAAATGTGCTCCAACCAGTTTGTTTACATATGCATGGAAATGGGAACTTTTGCTTACATGTCTGCCATGGCTAGGGAGACGTAAAAGTAATTGGTGAGGATCCTTAGCTTCCGATGTCTCATCACGGAAACAATCTAGGCAAACATTTTATACAACGTGTGAGCATTTTGATTAGTGTCAAAACTTGTGACAATTATGTAAGACGGCTAGTTACTTACCACGAGCATGTTACCAATCACCGCAGCCACGATTATACTTATGAATATCAGTCCTTTCAGGGTTAATAGAGCCACCTGAAAATAGACAACAGAAATATTTAACAAACGGCAAAAGTGTCATCAATTCCAATAACCAATCAGTCCGTTCTACGAGGACTTAAATAGTGCCCATGCTTCTAGAGGAGAATGAAACTGCTCTGGTCTAAATGCGATAGAAATATCCCGAGACCACAACAGTACACACCACTGCCCAAGCAATTTGTATTTTCTTCCCATTCTTTACGATATGGGAGCGTCGTTGTGTTCTCCGATTCCATTTTTTTCGCTTGGTTGGAGTTTACGAGTTCCAGGAATCCATATCCTCCTCGCTTTGTGTTATTATTGTCTCCCTCAATCGACCAACAACTCGGGACAAGTAGCAAATCCTTCAAGAAATAAAATTGAATCGGAGACAGAAAAGGAAAAAGGAGCGAATGTGCGAGTGAGCAAATCCGCTCGGCCTCCGGCAAAGAAATTGGAATGCCCAATTCTACAAGTTCACCTCTTCCCCTAGAAATAAGATGCGTCTTCTTGTGTCCCATGTACATAGAAAATAAAGCGTACAGGTGGAGGACCAAATGCCCATCATCTCATCAGGACGTTGTACATACATTCACAGTTCCTGGAATTCTGCAAATGAATTCGCAGCATAAATAAAAATACGGGAGACCTTGAGTTGCTCTTTCTCCGTGTGTCCATGCCTGTCTCTGTCACTGTGTCCCAATGCATGGGTGTGCATATGTGCTGATATAGTACCCTGTGTATGTATGAGTCAGCAATAAAAAAACACATGGATTGGACGTATGTAGTGCACGTAGGCAGAAGGAATGCGAGTGTTTGTACGAGGGGCTGGCTGGCTGGTGGAAAGTCGTTGGTTTGGTCGAGTGGATTGAGGGAATGAGCAAATAAAATTAGAGCTTTTGATTGATTAGAGAAACAAAAGGGGATTTATTTATTGTGCTGATAGATCAATTGGGCGGATGGATGGAAATGGGCCAAATTGAGACCATATTTGCTCAACTAGCCTCCTTTCTCCTCCACATACGCCTTTCTCTCCCTGAATGTGTAGTTACTTTGACTGGCTCTCATCTGCCAGTCTGAACGGGGCCAGGCAGTCAGAGAGCACAATACCTGGCTACGAATGGGAGCCACATGCAGACACCCATGGGAAGACAGATAGCTGGGAGCCAGAGTACGAATTAAGGAAGGAAGGAAGCTGCTGCCTGAGCACAAAGCCACAAAACCTCTCTCTATTCAATTCCCTGCAAAACTCCCCTTTGCACAATCAACAGACCAAGATCCACAACTTTTGACATTAAGCAGACGAGAACAAAACTGACCTTCTCTGACTCGGCGTGCAAACAACGTTATCTTCACAACTCGCTCGGCTTACGTAACAAAATTAAATTCAACTGCCCCGGGCTGTGCCAAATCATTGGCGAGGATGCGAAATTAATGGCAATCAATATTCGGCAGCAGCGTTAAAATAATTTGCTTTCTGACCTTTAAAAAGTTGAAATATTTTTCTGTATCTCCTTTTTTGCTAGCCATAATTCTCCCCGAAAATTAACCACAGCTGAAGGATTGGTGTAAAAAAAAGTGTTGACGCTGCGAATGGAATTGGAATAAATGCCAACAAATAAGAGAAAGCTAGTGGAAGCCTGTAGTCTACATGAGGCTAGTTTGGTATGACTTGTGCCCATTATCATCTCCGTGCAGTGGGAGCATATCCACTCCTTAACGGAAGCAGACATGCAAGGAGAAAGTGTGCACAAATTGATATTAGCTCCATTTTTAGGAGGCAAAGGAAGCAAATCCCTTTTCCCATGTGGAAAGCAACTCTGCTTTCTCTCCAACACCAGCACACACTCGGCAACCGCAGAAGGGCCGCTCCATCCACTGCTTTCACCAGCGGAGCCGTTTCTCCTCGTCCTCTGCCACCAGTCGTGCACACCCCCAGCGCACACTGGAGATCATTAGAAGACGGAGCAGTTTAGTCGCTGTGACTCGACTGACTCTCTCTCGATCTCGCTCTGTTTTCCTCTGTGTCTCATCCCTCCGAATATTTGGCTTATTTATGCTCTTGTTTTTTTCTCAAACGACCACGGATGCGAAGCCTTTTGTGGTGGGTTTGCGGTTAAGTCTCTCCCCACGGTATATAACCTCCTCTCTCCCTCTCTCTCTCTCTCTCTCTCCCTTTGGTCACTGTCCTCCTACGCCACGTGTTTTACGGTGGGAAGACAAACTTTGTCCATTCGTAGAGTGAAACGCTGTCGTATTCGTGGATGTCAGTGAGTTGTGTGGGGAAGTGTAATGGATAGTAATGCAAGGAACTAATGTCTCCGCACGGGGCGACTCTCTCCCAAATGACAATGAGGAGCTGATAACTTTTTATGTTTTATGTTCCTCCCACATAAAGGATGAGATGAGACAGGAATGAAATGAAATGAAATCCACACACAGCAGCAGCGGCGGCGGCGGCACAGATGCAGCAGGGACAAAAAATGGGAAGAAAGTCTCCCTTGTCGTCGTCCTCGTCGTAGATAATGACATCTTCTACGGCGGAAACAGTCTGGCCAAAATGTGTCCAGTTATTGTGTCACTGGATAATAACGACGCATCCGTTGTGCTTTATCTATCATTCCCATTATTTTGTGGGACGCGGATCGTGCTGGTTGTGGAATGAATAATTCATGGCTGGCATTCCTTTGATTATTTTATTATGGACAAAATAATAGTAATAATCTACGTATTGATTTTAAATTACTCGAACGTTGTGTGTCTATATGTACTGCACAAGAAGGAGCCAATAATAGCTCGATAGGCCGAGCGTGGACTTTTTACGTAGCTATTTTTCCACTCCACGTGTCCACATCCGATTTAATTTCAAGGACAAAGGGAATAACAACATCAACAATTACTTTTGACAGAGCCTAGTAATGTACGTGGGTGGACAGCGACATGGACGGACGTAAGTATAGGATCAACTTATTGCATTATCCGCCTCGCTATTGTTGTTGTTTCAATGTTGACGTATATCAATTTCCTTAAATATGTGGATAAGTACTTATACTTATATAGCCAAACAACACGCAAACATTCTTGCGTATAGATATGTGAATCCTTCTGTTTATAGGAACAAATTTCCCGTGAAATGACGTCCAAGTCTCAATTTGAGTCAAAACAATCAAAACGAAAGAGTATAAAGAAATGGGTTGTTTTGTTTGAGCAATTAAATGAACGAATGTGAAACTAAAATACAATTACGTTGCGCAACACTAACCAACTTATGCTCCAATTCATTCAGAGATAAACAGCTTCAGCATCCGCTCCTTTGTTGCGGTCTCCATTCCTCCCAAAGCACCAATAAACTCATACAAAGCGATGCAGCCATTGCAGAGATATGTGTTTCATGCAATCAACTCCCTCTCCGCCGGAATGCCAGCTCAGAGATGGAGCGATGGGCAACAAAGAATATCCCTCTCCCAGTGAATGCGAACAAGAGTTCAATTGAATCCTGGGGAGAAAGTCAGAAAAGGAAAAGTCCCAATTAATTACGCAACCTCATCATTCCCAACACAAGTGCTGCAGCGTTTTGCTCCCTATTTTGTAACTTGTCTGCCACGAAATCCCACGCCCTCGCTGCCTCGCATTTATTCCAAAGTCTGATCAACTTGGTGCTCGAAACCATCCAACGATCATTCTTCCCCCTTCTTTTGAAACCTGAGAAAGCGAGGCCAACTGCGTTACCTGTGAATCCATATTCTTCTCCTCTCTCTCTCTCTCTACGCGTTAATTTCAACCGTCATAAATTCCATCTCCCTTTCTGTCTCCTCCAAGTTTGTGACGTTTGTCAAGTTGCAAAATTTAGGTTTCATTTAGGTGCCCATTATTATTCCCTTTTGTCAAAGTGGTGGGTAGAGTGGAGTGGAGAGTGACAGGTAGGAAAGGCCAGAAAACTAGACAGCCACATCTAAATATTATTCATTCACTACTCTTTCATTCCCTCTGACTCCCGTCGTCCCACCTTCCTCAATCCTATCCACGCTCTCCCTACGCATATATCGGCCTGGTCCTCGTCCTCCTCAATGTACGAGTGCTGGCTGGATGAATGTGAATGCGACTTTCTCCCGCATCGATCCATATTAATTAGCTGTTGGTTGGGTGGTGTTTGAGAGGACGTCTTTTTCAGCCGCTCTATTCTCGTCCCAGACCCTTCTTCCCGTGGTGGCCTTTGTGGTGGTTGGTGCTGAGCAGGTCTCGTCCAGCCTCCGCACCGGTGGGGACATCAGGACCACCACGAGAATCAAAGGACGAGCTGTGTACATAAAATGCAGCCAGTCACGCACCCACAAAGGGCGAGGAGAGAAAGGTCCACGTGTTCACCGCACACATCCACCAGAGGAGAAATCAAAGAGACTAATAACGAGCTTGTTACCAAATTCTGGGGAAGTAAATAAGTGGTACAAATTAATGTGGGCGAGGGAATTAATGAGGAGCGGAGAGCGTGGCAGTCGTCACAAGTTCCCCTTTGTTCCTTGAACTTCACTCGCTCTTCTCTGTACACAACAGCAGAATGCAAACTTGCTCGTATCCAGTTTCTCGGAGGAAATCGGACCCATTGTTCACCGCGATCACTGCACAAAAATTCAGACAAGTCGACTGACTTGTGCATGATAGCCTCATTATTGGCAAGTACTGACTCAATCTGGCTCAATCTATTGTACTCGGAAGGATAGAATAACCCTGACAGGATTTGTCGAGAGGAATGAAGGCGGATGTTTAGGCTCAAGTCCTATCCACTCAATTTCGCCAAGTATACGAGATTATGCGATGCACTAAAAGCATTTTTTCAGGAAAACACTCCATTTCCATACTGGAATTATTGGAACATGTATCCTTTTTAAGAGAGGAGGAAGGAGAGACGCGAATTTAGGACGCACTCTTAGGACTCTTAGGACTTTTTAGCCGAGCCATTCCTTATGCAGGCGCCCGTCACATCCGTCCGTTCGTCTGCCCAGATAACTCTTAATAGC